AAGGGAGAGAAATAACAAAATAATGAAGAATTCGTCGGTGGTAGTGTGAATCTCATAGTTCTCCTCTATACACAGCTTGTCTGTATATAGCCCCAGTAGCTTAAGTTCATGCACTCATTCACTGCCTAAATACTAGAATAACTAATCATGAACACATAAACTGTCTTTCTGATTATAGGTATACTCTCTGCTGTGTAATATGCAATAAACATACTACTACAGCTGAATAAAGCAGTGAATAAGTCCCACCATTTAATCTCCTCTAAATGAACTGTCTCTGTTGTGTATATTAATTAACAAACCAAACCAATAAAGATTTGTACATTTAACTCTCTCTCATCCTTTTTATTACTCTTTTTATTCTTTATGACATATTTATATTTTAAAATAGCTCTTTAATGCTGTATACGAAATGGGCATTTTCGGGTTATTCGGGTATTTTTCAAATCTTCTTGTTGATTTCTTTTAATTCTTACTGATGTGTTAATGTTTTGTGTTGTAAATATAAGAAAGACCCATTTTATTCCAAGATTATAAATATTTATTGTTTATAAAATATTATTAAAATGCTGATATTGCAGGTACTTAGATGGGCAACAAATACAAAGCAGAGAGTTCAAAACATTTCTATCTGTCTTCTATGCCTCTTCACTATTGTTGTGCTCTACCTGTGCTACAATGTATCTTTAGAAGAAATTAAGTGCTATAGCGACCAGCTAATAAAGAACGCAGAGTATTCTGTAGAATGCACAAAAAGCAAAATACCCCGGGTGGATGAATACAGAGACAGCGAATATGATGAGTATAGCACAATTCTATTAACAGGAAAAAGAGACGCGGCTGATCTTATTGCGAAAATCCATAAAACAGCGCAGGAAATGGAAAACAGAACAAAAGGATATGACATTAAAATAGGAGAGTGCTCGCATAAAGATATGCAGAAGTATTTCTTAGTATTAGAAATTGAAAAGAGTGACAACACCCTATTATACATCAACAATCAAGGGTGGCAGGTAAATTCAGACATTCTTTCTATCTTTTGTGATCGTATGTTTACAGCAGACATAACAGGAATCAGTGGGAATAGACTGATAAATTTGGTATTTAATAAAATATCCCTTGGGCTTTCTGATGATGGCATTGAAAGTGTCCTTGCCATCTTGCATAACATACACAACTTATATAGCCACTCACTAGGAGTATACTTCTACTGGGTGATTAATGAAAAAGCCATTTTTCTCTCTTCTAATGTATTGCTAGTGCTTGTGCTGGGAGTATTCCTAATATTTCTGGAATTTATCACTGGTGGGAGTTTTAAATTTGATTTTTTCCGAGGAAGTGCGATCACGCATGCTCTGCTTGGGTATAATATGGTATTTATGAATCTCAATGAAATGACATGTTTTGAAGTATTTCTGCTCTACTCAGTGCTTGTGCCCCTTAATTTTCCATTGGCTGTTATTCTGGGGGTCTTTCGGGTTGTTTTATTTTTCTGTCTTCTAATTGGATGCGCAGAGAATCGAAGCATTTTTCTGCAACAATTCAACCTCCTGTATGAAACAATCAACAGAGCCACAGAGCGCGAACCTCTTTCACTATCTTTCTCTGCCGAGGGACTCAGTAAGGGAAAGCAGATTCCACATGCCAGTCAGAGCCATTGAAAAAAAACCAACACTTTTTAAGCGGGTGGTCAGTTTTATTTGCTATCCTTTTATAAAGCACAGAAAGCAAAAAAGACAGTTGTATACCACAGAAGTAACAAACGCATTATTACACCTTATAAACAAACAGGCGTACTTAAACAAGCAGATATTCATGCATGCGCGGCTGAATACAGACATGAAAGAAACCTTTAAACAGTTTGAGTGCATAGACTACACAAGATATTCGCATGAGGACATATTTGGGTTTGTTAAGCTTTACTTGCTAAAGGAATTAGGACCGCCAGTTAAATCATCAATTATAAAACGAATCATTGACAACAAATACGATAAAACACATATTCCAGGAATAGTAAAGGACATATACACAAACAGCAACTTATACACTATTAGAAATCTTCAAATTATGTTCTGCTTACTGATTTATACATATAAAATATTTAATTACAATAGTATTAGTGGAATGTTTTTGGTGGGGGCATTTATTCCTTTATTCTTTGGAGAGAAAGAAATTTCGCGGCTTAAGAAAAAGAATCCACAGAAGTATTTCACTCTTATAAACAGATGGAATGATATTATAAAATATCTTCCTAAAGGAAGTATTCATTAAATACCCCAAATATGCCAAATGCTCCTATGAAAATTATATATAATAAATTGTGTGGTTTACTAAGTATGCTTTGGCTAATAACAGTATAAATAAAATAAAAACATGCTTCTTCTTTCTAAAGGTAGAAATAAAAAATTTATTAACAGATATGCATTTATAATTTGCTTAGTAGTGGGATTGTAATCAATCAAGCGGGGAACAGAAAAAATTAGAGTTTAAGAGTAAGTATCATGTAAATAGAAGACAAGAGTATAATTTTCGGGTTATATCTATAATTTAGTTATACAAAGAGTATTTAACGAAACATAATTATGTATTTTACTATAGAATATTTAGTCTTATTAAAATATGAGATAAAAGATCCTTTATTGCCCATTATATCTGTTTATGTGTATGATTTTGTGTTGTATAAAATAGCAATTGTGCTTATATAGTTATGTACTTTTTTCTGCAATTTTGAATTTTCTTTATGGGGAATCTGTTGAATGAAATACTGAACACATTAAAAGTATTTAATATAACACAGGTGTCAGTTGGGGAGTCTTCGGTTCAATTTGTATCTTCTGGCCCGAAGATTACTATGATAAGTGCATGTGACTTTAATGCAAGCGGATCTGGTATATCCCGTGTCTATTCAACAGAGGCTCTACTGGCTGGGGTTGTGGGATGTATGCAGATTGAAGAGGTGAATGAATCTCTTGTATTTACACAAGAAACAGATACATACAAGATTGTTAATACAATACAGCCACTTCTGCAAGATGATTGGTCGTATGAAATTCCAGAGGAGTGGAGCACAAAGGTTATTGTGGAAATAGAGGCATTTAAGAAGTTTATTAACCTTCAGCAGGAAATAGAAACATCAGTGTATCTATCAAACGGAAACCTATATTTTGACAGCGAAGAAGCAAGCAATACAAGTATAATGCAAATAACACACTTAGACATTATGCAGGAGGGAACTGAAAGAGTAACAGTTAATTTTCCTTCTTTAAAATATTTATCAGGCCTTTTAAGCCGTTGTGAGAGAGTCTCTATTATGTATACAAAAGAGTGTTTATCCTTTGTGTTAATGTTCGAGGGTGATGCAGCCTACCACAGAGCTATTTTCAGTGGGCTTCAATAGAATTTCGGGTTATTAAGAGACAGCGCGCCAAGCTTATATAAGGAGCAGTAAAATATATTTTACTATTTATACTGCACATAATAATTCTAGTAGTGTTGGTTATATAGCATTGGCAAAATCCAGTATAATATTGTAATAAGTACACATTGTATATGAAATTATGTAAAGAATTTTCGGGTTATATATAACTTGGAATATAGTGCGAGATATAGCAGTCGCAAATGTTCGAATATAGAACAGAATAATATAAAATATATGTAGAATACAACTTAGTTGGATTATTTGTTAAATGGGCCTAGGAAAATTAAGAGCTAAATAGAATAGAGCAATAAATCTTTTATTATAATTCAAATAGAGCAGGGGAATAAATTTAGGCTATGCTTAACAGTATAATATGTAAGGCATAAATAATATTTTATTTTAATAAATTTCGGATTGTATTACAGCTATAATAATAATCTAAATACACATAGAATAATAATTAAAATAATACTATAAAATTATTGCTCCAAATTATAAATGCGAATGAACTCCTCAAGCATAGAACAGTCTAAATATCACCGAGCATAAATACATGCACTGTTTTGATAACATTCAAGTACTTTTGAAAACCGATCAGCATTCATTGTAGGAACGTTTTTGTATATGTATTCTTTCATTGAATTTAGTCTAGTTATAATATTTTTGTGATACTCGGCACTCCATAAGTCACAATCAATTATACCATACTCAGCACAGACATCAATCATTTTAAATAAGTTCATTATATGCCCTTTACACTTGCCTTCCTGGCACAATGCGCCAATAAAGATTAGTAAAAGGCTTGAAGTGCTTTTTGTATTAGAATGAATAGGCTTAATTAGCAAATTGTTGGTTTTCTCATTTTTCACAATAGACACAATATTATCTATATTGGCATAATTATTTGTTAAGCATTTAGTCATTACAACTATTTCTAATGAAGATATCATAGAAAATATACTTGATAGTGACCATGTATATACTACTTTAGATGTGTTCAAATGAGTATTTATCCACTTTAAAATGGCATATTGCGAATTAGTGTTGATTATATATCTAAAAATTAGCGCTAATTTACGGCACTCTATTTTTTCTATAGCATTGAAATAGTGCGCGCTTTCTACTTTCAATTTTTTATGTATTAAACTATGTTTATATATTTTACTGTATAGAATACAAGCTAATGGCAGGGTTGTAATGTTTTTTTTGTTTAGGGCCATGCTTCCAAATATATTACTGCATAATCTCACAATATGGTTTTCATCCGATAGAGTTATTCCAATTACTCGCATTAAAATCCCTGCGAGTATTTCTTCTTTATACCAGTTGGATTCTATCTTTTTATATAGAAACAAGGCAGCAATGAACTCTTGCGCGGTGTTTGATATGGCTTTAATCTGTATAATTGGCGCGGATAGGCTGTATCTAGAGGAAATGAAATTTAGTTCTTTCTTTTCTATATAATATGCAATCATACACTGTGTAAAAGTGAATGGCGGGGGTTGTTGTTTTTTAAGTTTATGTAGTTGTGCCTGCACACTGTTTGGCACGGTTTTTTCCTCTGGAAGAATAAAAAACTGTATTAATCTAGGAAGATGCTCTATTTTTAGCAAGCTAATCACACCATCTCTTGTGTATTTCACTGTAATATTTCCAAGTATATCAATTTGTTCATTGCGTAGTATAGACTTTAGCCAGGAGATCTCTACTTCTATCTCGCTAATTTTATGATTTTCATTACTATTTGGCCTATAAGAGCAGCTTCTAGATGCCTGCTTAAATATATACGTTAGATACTCTTGTATGTCTAAGAAAATAGTGTCTGTGCAATGCACAGGGTGCGCCAGGCTTATTTTCTGTAATATCTCATTAAGCCTGGAATTTCTATCGTTTTTGGAATTACAAATACCTATTAGTTTTAGTATTATATATAGCATATTAACAATCCCAGGAGCAATGCTAATTTTTATTTCTTCATTTAGGAATAAAGTAGAATTGTCCAACGTTTTTCTTAGGAGGAATACCCAGTCGTTCATCATTTGGATGCTTATTTCTTTCTCTGGCACCCTGTACTTTTGAAAGAAGTTTTTTAGCTTGCTGCGCTCTGGTTCAATATGATCCATGGAGTACGTATTTGTAGTGGGATCAAATGCAAAATAACAGAAAAGCGCCAGTAACGCGGCTTCAGATGAATTATTAGTAGTAGTTTTTCCCATATGGAGAAATCTCCACGGAAGTTTGCCAAATACATTATTAGAGTCATATGAAGACAGGTGTTCTTCTTTACTAAATGGAGTCACTTTCTCTTGTGGTTTATTTAGTATACTAGTATAACTTTTAATATACTGTATATTATTAAGTAAATTATCGGATTCTGCATCGCTAGAAATGAACATAAAACACTTAAGAATAATATTTGTCTCTTTTCTTTCTTGGTCACTGTTTTTCTTAGTATAGAACCTGTTTTTATTAACTAAGTTATATACTACACGTATAAATTCCATCATTTGATCTGCAGTATCTATATATTCGTATATATATAGTTGAATGAGCCACCTTGCACTAGTTAAAAACTTTCCCCTTTTTAGCTCCTTTAATGAAGTTGGTTCAGACATATTTTCTTCTTTTTGTATAAGCGGGCTGTTCTTACAGTCTATAAAAAACTGGATAATGTTTTCTGTTTCTTTTTGGTATACACATATTTTTGATTTTTTTGAATTATTACTATTTTCCGCGATAGAAAGGGATATGTTCATATTAAAAGTACAATCCTCTTCTACGCCTTCATTATTATCTTTTTTCTTTAATAAAACAAGTGTTTTCTCTGTTTGGTTTTGTCCCTCAAGTGTTAGTAGTATATCCATCCCTTCTGAGAGTAGAAGTAATGAGCCAAGTATTTTATATGCATGTATGGGGCTTTTCAAGTTTTTAAGAAAAATAAAGAATGAGTCATTTTTCTCCTCTATTGGATAAATGTATAAACAGTCATTTACAGGCGAAAACATACTAATCAACACATTATGATAGTTTCTTCTATACTCTTCTAATTCGCCTGCATTTTTATGTATAACAAATGTCTTGTCTTTGCCATAGTTTCTTATATAAAAATTCTCCTCTGAGTTTAATATTAAGCCATAGTCAATATCTATTTCAGAGGAAAATATCCGCTTATTAAATAGATATCCTTCGTCATAACTTATTTTTGCACGAATTAATCCTAATGGCCCTTCTGGGTTAACTCGTATTTTAAATTTAGTAGAGCCAATGCTTTGCATATGTATGTATAGTATATCGTTTTGCTCTAATCTGGCATTTGCTATTATATAAAATAATAATAATACAAATATAATTTCCGCTCTTTCTTTCTGCATTAATATCATTTTTATTTTAAAGTGTATATTAACTACTATTGTTGCGGCTGCTAACAAATTAAACCAAGATAAAATTTTATTAAACTAATTATCAATATATTGCTCTCTGTCAAAACGAATAATTAAAATATATATGAACTATGCATAATTTATTAAAAATAAAATATTATTTATGCTTTACAATATATAAATAACTGAATAATGAGGGGGAAATGGTGCAAATAAGTTAATTCATATTGAATTTCTACAACATAAAGAGAAGCGCATCAGCACTAATACCGACGAGTTGAATATTTTATTATCAGATACAATTAATGCAATAGAAGAGAATGAATTAAAGCCACTATCACGCAGTGTGCAGGATTCATCAAAATCTTTAAACACAGCTATATCTAACATTAAATACCGCGAATACTGTATAATAGAACACTTAAACAATATTGTGGACATAGAGCCCAAGAGAAAGTATAAAGTGTATCTGAAATATATTGTACTGTTTATTATAATGTGGGTAATTATAGCAATGTTTATAATCATAGTAGCTGTTTATCTTCCGGTGCACAATTAAGGCGTATTAAAACTGTTTATTATTCTCGTCTTATATACCTTTAATTTTCCACATATAACAGCTCTATACATCTTCGTACGAGTGAGTGTGTGGCTCCCACATTAGGCATGGCCCATTGTGTGATAGAAACCAACAATGGCTTTTTAAATTTGGTTTCTTCATTCAGAGCTGCTTAAAAATTCTTATTTATTATTCATACTTAATTGGATAAACATATTTAAAGGAGAGGTTTATAAACTGGTTACATTAGTGAAAGTATTTCTATATTTAAAAACATCTAATATGCTATATTAATATCTTATTTATTCATATGTATTTGATATACTAATTCATACATAAAGATATTTTAAAGTATGTAATCTATACTTAACACATCTATTGTTTTTATATTATAGTGTATAAACATATAATAGTAAAATATACCACAACCTCACAAAGTAATATGACTATTTCCTGCTGAGGCAGTTTATATTGGCAAATTATTAATTTATGTGAAGGAATATTTGTTTTAATTTTATTAGATTATTCTACAAGCAATAGTAATTCTCCTTTTAATATTGGCATAGAGCTAAAATTTATATAACTATACGTGTTTAAATATAAATATAAAATGTAATAGGAAATCATTAAAACGTGCAATATCTTTAGTATTTAGCACAGAGTTATGTGTGCGCTCTTTTTTATTTAAGGAGTTTCGAGTTATTTCATGTTATATTGATAGTTTGGGGCTAGTGAAGTCGTATATTCTGTAGTTAATCTAGTATGGATTTATAAACACTGCAACTTCTTTGGATAAAAGATTCTAGAAGAAGTCTCTAGCACATTTACTGTTTTAAGATATATTTACTTCGATATTTACATTTTCTTGTATATTTTACTGTCTTCTTTTCTATTAGTATCTATTTTTATTTTTCTGCTATGGTGAGTGTTGTGGTTTTCTTGGTGCTGTGCATTTTCTCAGTGCGCTGTATGGATGTAGAGGATATGGACAGAATATACTATAAAATACAGAATGATACTAAATATGTTCCAGGCGGAAAGAAAGTTCCAAGCGCATCAATTCTAGATGAAATGAATATACAGTTTGTAGTTGGCGAGAAAAAAAAGGAGCTCAGTAAATACTATACACCTTTAATAGTAAAGATAGACAAACTATTGAATCTGGCAGGGAAGGAGCTGGTGCATTCAGATAAAAACAACAAAATTATTCTTACTCCATTTAATAGTATAAAATTGTTGAATGATGATGGGGAAGTGAATGTAGGGTACTATGCAGGTAGCTATATAAAAAAAGACAGAATAATACAGAAGTATATAAATGGAGATGTATGTGATATATGTAAGAGCAAGAACTGGACAGGCGCAGTACATTACATTGCAGACTCAAATGAAACACATCTATCTGGCCCCGTGGAGGCATCTACATGCAGTTATAAGTTTTTAGTAAGTGGCAAGGATCTGACAAATATGGATGAGTATACTGTGCTGAATGCAACACTGGCATATACAGACTCTGATAAATCCAGCGATATTAAAGAGCATGCAAATGCATCTGGTAATGCAGAGCAGAAATCAGAAGAAGCCACCCCACCAAATACAGAAGGCCAGAAGCAAGATGGTGAGCAGGGGAAGAATACAGAAGAAAAACCAACAGATGTAGTAGAAGAGAAAACAGATATAGTAGAGGAGAAAAAGATAGAAAGCAATTCAGAAGGTGTGCACACAGCAAAGAAAGACTTATAAGGGGACTTACTGCTGTAGTTGTAGCATATATACAGCTTTCACTGATTGGCTCACTAAATCCTGGATTATAACTAGCGGAGGGTAGTTGGGCACCAATCAAATAGATTTAGTGGTGTAGTATAGAGAGTGCATGGACAAATGAACATGCACTATTAGCTGTCAAATTAAAATTGATCTGTGCATGCACCAATGAGTATCTAGAGTTATGGCCTTAGTGTTTAGCAAATTGACCAATAGAAAAGGATATTCTAAGTATGTTTTTCAAATTTAGCAGTTTTTATTCAAAAATAAATTAAATAGCAGCGAATTTATGCCAAATAGATTAGCAATCAATAAAAAATCATGAAGAACATTTCCAGCGGAACAAATTGGTCTGCATAATTTCCGTTATAACCTAATTGCGGGCGGTTTCTATTTAGTAAATCGGAATTACTTTTTATTTTATTTATGGAAAGAAAGGAGAAAACCAGTCTTATTCAAATGTTGAACACATCAATAGGAAGCATAAGTGGTTTGTTCAAACAAGCAAAGCAGCCAGAAGAAGAAAAAGAGGTGGAGTTAGAAGAAATAACGCCAAGCCAAGAAAAGGAAGAGAGTTTTCTTTTAGAAGAGGAGGAAGAATTTGAAAAAGACCTAAGCCGCCTTTCGATCTCAATTGAAGAGAGATCAGACCAGTCCAAAACAGAAGGTATGGAGAGCAAAGCTATGTTAGCTGGGGCATCTAATACGTTTCTTGATGAAATACAAAAGCTAAAGAAAATTATCGCACTAAAGGATGAAATCTGGCAGAAGGAAAGGGAAAAGGACAAAGAAACAACAGAGTTGCGCATTTTAGAGAGTATAAAAACTCAGGCCGAGCTGGACTACGAGAGAAAAAGAAGAAAAATACTTTTGCAAATGATAGATTCTCTTGAGAAAAGGCTTGAGGAGAGTGAAATACAGTGCTTAGAGCTGATGAAGTACTGCAATTTACTGATTGAGCAGCAGGAAAGGCCAGACGTAGACAGAAAAAAGTAAAATAAAAGTAAAATATTAATATTTCTAAAATGAATGGGTCTGTGTAGTGACGGGATGGATAGCAGATGGGCAGAGAGTAACTGCAGAATGAATGGGGGCATTGTTCCTGTTCTGTCAGTAAAAGAAAAGAAAACAGAGTGAGCCCGAGTTTAAACTCTTTTATCCTGTTGTCATTCAAAGGAAAGTAAAATGGAGAACCCGGGTATCGATCCCGGCACCTCTCGCATGCTAAGCGAGCGCTCTACCTCTGAGCTAGTCCCCCACATTTATTAGACAATTTATTTTTTTCATTCATGTTTTCAAGTCACTGTAGAGTTATAAAAAGAAAGCTAGGCCGGTGGACTGTGTACGACTATACAGGGGAGTTCAACCCTGAGCTATACAAGTACATGCGGAAAATGGCAACTCTACTTCCGCCAACAAAGAACAATAGCTTTCTTTTGGACATTGAGTCTTGGTATTCCATCACCCCCGTTGATTTAGCAAACAAGATTTCTCAGGGGGTTCAGAAAAAGTATGGTGGGCCAGTGAAGGTTCTTGACCTCTTCTCCGGGGTGGGAGGAAATACGGTTTCTTTTTTAAATTTTGGAAATACTGTGCACTCGATTGAAATAGACTACAAAAAAATTCGATGCTTGAGGCATAATATAAAAGAGTGCACAGATCGCGGTGAGAGCCAGATTCTTCACTTTAGTGTGTATGACCCTGAGGTACATAGTTATTTAGACCGCTCATATGATGTGCTAATGGCCTCTCCACCATGGGGAGGAGTGGATTATAAGGAGGACTCTGACTTAGCTCTATTTAATAAGTGCCGTATACTTGAGCTAGAGAAGATTTACAGTGATAAAGTTGGGCTAAGAATATATATGCTGCCGCGCACCATATCAAATAGTGTTTTTTCGCTGCTGAATTCTGATTTTGCTATTTTTAATGGAACTACCGACCGAAACAGAGTTGTTGCCAAGATAATTGCAGTTGGTGATATTTCTGGATTTGTGATATAAAACCATTCCTGTAAACTATGTACTCTGTGTTGTTTTATGTTGTAGATAAGAGCTTAGGCCGCCTTGCACATACACACAGCCAACACGTATAAAAATACTTTTTGTGCTTAATAGCCGATGTAATAGAAGGTAAGAATACATACATTTTTGTGATGTGGCTGCTATGGATTTATTTATGTCCGTGTGTGTTTATAGTGTGGGCAGTCTTTGCACACGTTTTATTATGAAATCTAGATGTTTATTATTTCTCATCATTCTAGCATTAATAAAACCTTTCAGTGTAGCAAAAAAACTGTACATATTTGTTTTCTTATATATTTAAGTATACTGTCGTATCCGAACAAATTAGGATAAATTAATTTATTTTTTTTACACAAGTCGGATAAGAACATACATATCAGAAACCATACCAATAAAGAAGCAATCAACTAATATCAATTACAAGCTTTGCCGTTCTAGGAACGTAGTGGAGTATTACGTAGAGACTTCACAGTCACCACCTACAGGACACAACATATACATTACTATTAAATAAAGTCAAAAATAAAAAAATACGATATGCAAGATTCTAGCGAGAGAGAGGCCAGCTCAAAATTGACTTATATCCAGCAAGGGCAAAAGAACCATATACGAAAATTGTATTTAGCAATAGAAGCCAGCAGATTTATGTGGACCGATGTATTTAGAATTATAAGAAACATTACATATTTAAACTGTTTGCTATTTTCTTGTCAATTTGTTTTAAATAGTGCTTTAGAGAGTATTTCTCTTGCGGAGAAAAACAGGTGTATTATTCAGAAAATATCTACTTATTATTTTATAGTTATTCAAATAGGACTTATGAAAGACATAATGCTTCTTTCTATTAACAAATTATTTAACCACAGAGAGGCTAGAAGGACTGCTAAATTAATTGTGGCAGTAGTTTACTTTTTTGTATTTATTCTGCTCTATTTTATTCCTACTATACTTTTAGAATACTCTACAGATCTATCAAGGAATAGCATTGTTCTGTTTCTGGGGATATATGCCTTTAGTGGTATTATGCTGTATCACTTTCTTATAAAAGAGATTATAAGCATTTTTATACAAAAAACTCTATACACAAGAATAAAAATAGAATTCACACAGAAAGCAGTAGAGAATATATGCAATGTAGTATATTCTGTGGCGCTAGTGTTAATATGTGCAGCCATTTTTCTATATATTGGTTGGCTTATACTGTTTCAAATAATAAAGGCTTACTGTGTATATTAATTAGGATATCAATTGAAAATCATCTTACACGAGGAACGGCTTAGAGAGTATGTGGTCCTCAACGGCCATCCATTCGAGGCCCCTCGAACCTTATATCAATAAACTGATTTCCATTTAAAAAATCATCTTAAATATTTACAAGCAATCTGCGAATAGTTCCAATACTTGAATAGCTGTGCTGAATTGTTCTATTGTATAAACAGGTGTATATCTGCGTATTTCCATAAATAGAAGGAGCTTTAGTTTTAATTTCAGAATATATATTTGACTTTTTGGATTTTTATAAATTTAATATAGCCTAAAAGACTTTTGTGTTATATAACCAGAAATTATTAAAAATACTTATTATTAACTTTTTCCAAGTCTATTTTATATAGAAAATATTAAAATAGTTATAAAATATGTTTCAGGGGTACGGTATAAACTTGAGAAAAAATCTGCAAGTGATGTTTAATGAGAAAAAATTAAGAAAGCAGTTAGCACTAAAAATTGAGGAAATTAACAAAAAAAATCGAACACTGCGTGCGCCATTAAAAACATTTGTTCCCATAATACTAAGCGTATGTACAAGAGGGGAGGTATTTAAAGCCGAGAGCGCGGTACTAAACAACCTTGAGTACAATGCGTTTATGGTCTTTTTAATGCAGCGCCTAAATAATATTGATACAATTGATGCAGATTTATATATAGAAGCGGTGAAGAACGCTATAAGAGACACTAAAACAACTATTACGGGTATAGAAAATGCTGCAAAAAAAATAAAGATCCCAAAACAAAGAGATGCATACTATAAACTGATGAATAGCAACCATTTATTTATAGCGAATATTTCTATAGTGAGAAGTTATGTGTGGACCGATATAATACATGCACTATATCCATATTATGCGACCAAAAAATTAAATAAAATTAGCAGCTCTAAAGCGTTAGATGAGATTTTAGAGCTAACAGGAGATGGCGAATGTTCTAGGCTTCAAAAAGTGTTGGATATAATAACAAACAATACAGGAAAATTTACTCGATGCAATGAGTTGGGAGAAAAGGAATCAAATTTAGATACTCTTGGACTATCAGAAGAGGATATTGAATCACTACATTTATTTACAAGCGTCAATTATAAACATTTAAGTATGATTATAAAAAAAATATACAACTCAATTAATATAGAAAGTACTAAAGATGGCGACTTTGATAAAATAATAGTTCTGAAAAGTTTATTTTTCTTTTTAGAAAATAGCTCGAATTTTGCTCCCATTGACGTAAGCTACTGCGAGAGTGAGTTTAAATATGCCTTGTACAACAGTCTACAGAGCTGTGATAATTGGGATGTAGTGGATTTTCTGTTCACAATCCAAGAAACGTTAAGTCTAAAAAAAATTAAGGGGTTTAGCTCTATTAAATTTAAAACTAATGTGGGGGATAATTATGTAAAAACTATAAAGCCAAATCTAGATCCTTTCTTTATCGAAAACAATAACCAAGCAAGAAGATGTCAAAGGCCAGTGGCTAAGCCGCCTAAAAACAACAGAACAGCAAAAAAATTGAATACAATCACTCCAGGCCAAGAAACTTCTCAAAATCAAGAAGATTCCCCTTCTGAATCTACGAATTGCCAGCCAACTCTAGTAAGAAGTTCGAATCAATTAGTTATAGGAATATTGACTATTATAGCATTAGTTTTTATCAGTATAATTATATACTGTTATAGGGCGCTAGAAGTAATAATTCTGAATTTATTTGAATATTGAATGGTTTGATCCAGATAATATCTACTATAAACACTATTCATAGGTTACTAGAAAGATTCAGAAAAAAGTTATAGAAGTTCTATGAAAGATTGTTTAATATTATTTCATAATTCATCCTATGTATAATATAGCCTCAGAGACATATGACTGTTTAATAAAGATATTTCAGAGTATTTAAAGCATATTCTTTTAATAGATTTTATTTTTGTATACAGTGCATATTTGTTCTATGAACTATATACAAAATTGTACTATTTCTCAACTACACACATACTCTTTTTTTCTTTTTTTTGTTTAGATTATTTGTGTTTGGCTTAAACTATTGCTTATATTAGAGCAGTTAGTTAACAATTGAAGCTATTTTGAAATATATTTTATTGTAGCATATGAAAATTAAGACATATTAAGACAACCATAGTATAAAAGCAAAATAATTTAAATTAGCTAATATTTTATTTTAAATAAATTATGCATAGTTCACAACTAATATTTATTAATTTCTTGTAAGATATAGTATAAATATAAATAATACCCCAATATTACTAGAAATATTATAAAATGGTCTATGTGATGCCATAGTATTAATAGTCTACGAGACTATTTCTATAAACGAGGGTTTTTCTTGCCATTGAAATTTTTAAATATAATACAAGGAAGCCACACGATTATATTAAACAAAGTAGTTATTCCTGCCACTATAATACTGATTTTATATGCATATAAACCATAGATCGCAGATTGTTTAATAAAAGAGGAATCTGCAGTCGAAAATATGTATGCATCATTGTTAGGTTTGAGTATGCGGGCAATTTCAATTAAAAATATAAAAATCATTACAATTAATGATGCCATGTAGATTAATATTGTTATGTTTCTAGTCTTTTTAATTGGTAATATACTAATTAAAATACTTGATATTATTATGGAAAAAATGGGCAGTGCACAAAACATAGATATAGCAAAAATCTTATATAACTCGACATTTTTCTCAAAAAACACTTCATATTGGTTATATATATAGATGTACGTAGGAATAAACCCGCAAACACAAAAAAATAGATTTGTAAATATAGAAATAAGCGGAGAAATTGCTCTATTATATATTTTTTGGGGGCTTTTACTTACATTTAGTGCAAGTCTTAAAATATATTGATAAGAAAACACAAATAGTACCATAAGAGCAAGAACTTTAAAGAATTCTACCGAAAATTCTTTTAGATTTTCAGTTGGGAGTTTATTTGGCTGGCTCATATTATACATTATTGACTGTATTATATCATTTAGGAAATCTTGAAAGACTGTTTTGCTAAGTTTAACTAAATTATTCATAAAATTTTTTTGTATTTTTTTAAATAGTCTAGAATGGAGAATTTTTCTCCGAATTAATTAATCTTTTTTACTAAGAACATAGTAAGTCTCTTATCTGTAGACGAAATTGCCTATATATTGTGATAGCTAGTGCGTGTGGTTGGTTTTCTGATATTGAATATAATGCCTAGGAATTGGAATGCAAAAATGTAATTATAATGAATTTTCAATTATAATAAGAAAAAGGCAGTATAAGAGTGTAGAAAACTATCAAAATAATTTGTCAGATGTTCAGAGGAAAACTTAACTATGGTCAGAAAAGAATTCTATTACGAATCTACTAAGTATATTTAAGATGCTAGTCCCAATTTAGAAATTAAATATAAAAATTGTTTTAAAAGACTAACTTTATAGTGAAAATAGTGTACAATATAGTGGGAAAATAAATATAGAAGAATGCATGTATACAGCCCATATAAAAGTGTTAAGTTTTTCTAGTATGCTTAAACTAGCCTATATATTTTCTATTTTAAAATGATTCTATTGGTGCAAATGTGTATGAATCACGGAGTATAGTATGCCCGGAATCTATTGAATTCTTAATGGTCATTTTAATATTCAGGAGAATAAATTGTTTGATTGTATTGGTTTACTGTGTAAAAATTTATAATTGAGTAAATCATAATACATTGCATTTATGTATATAAATATATATTTTTGAGTTAGTTTAAATATGTTAAAACAGAATTTTATTTTATTTTAAGTCTATCGAAATGTCTCTAAAATTAGAATTAATATAATTTAGTCTAATACTAGACTGAAATAGACATTTTATCTCTATAAATTTATTGCTTGTCTATTTAATAGTGTTAATATTTGTGTTATACAGATAGTATTGCACCTTTTGTGAATACTAGAAGATTGCTCTGTTTTATCCAGTTTATACATTGTGCATAAAAAAAAGCTCCTAAAGGAATAGATACGCTAAATAGTAACATCAGAATAATAATGAAATACACCCAATTGATTATAAATGAAATTTTTTCAATGGTTTCAGATGGATATTTAAATTTGACTATAGACTTAAACATACTAAATGCCTCTATTAACAAGAACAGAAGGGTTACATTTCCTGTTATAGTATATAGTATAGACCCAACTAAATATTTTTTAATCAAAAATCGATTACTAAAAGATATTAAAAATAGCTTAATTATAGAAATCATGGAAAATGATGCATAAAATATGACTAAAAGTGCAGTTTTCCCTAGCCAATTTATACCGTACAACTCACTTCTATCCACGCACCGAATTTTTAATAAGTTTTTGTTTGGCTCGAAAAACAAACCAAGTGCTAATAATGAAAATATTAAATTTATCACACTTAAATACAACCCTTTAAATCTGTAGCTTGGCGCAATTAGTATTGCAAAAAAAATCTTTAGTGTAAATTCAACACTAAAAGAAAGTAATATATTGAGCGCTATAATTGAAAATAGTTTTTTAATAGCTACTGATTTTTTTCTCTTGTCCCCATTTTGCCATTCTATAAAATTGTTTGTTATATCATTTGATATTTTAACATTCATTTTTTGAATTGATGACCATCCTTCCTCGATGCTATTCATGCTATAAAAAATTGTAAATTTTTATAAATTTATGCATCCGAGAAAACTATTAGCCAATAACGGAATAAATTTTTATCACATCAAATCAAATCAATCAAATCATTATTCAATAGATTAGAGCTGTTTGTATTGCAATTAGAAGAATATGCCCTGTATTGGTTTACTTGAGGCAGCATAACATAAACATTAAATATTGGTAATACTTTTAAAGGGGTTCTTCTTAAATACTTACGTAAATTACAGCAGTATGTCTATAATATGTAGTAGACATACAAATTATTATTTTATTATGTTTTGTGAAAATATTCTATTAAATACAGTTCCTAGCCTAAATAGATTCTTAAACCCATGAAAATAGTTCAACTGGCAAATACGTCCCCTTCTAACTATATTAAGTGCTCAAATAATATAGTTAAAAGCATAAGTTGTCTATAAAAATAAGTATATTTGCTAAAATAATGAATGTATTGCAATAGATGAAAAGAAAAAGCAATTAATATAAAAAATACATAAAAACTGAAAACAAAATATACAGAAATTAATGAAAACATGAGAAAACACCATACCTTTTCTAATAATTGTAATATAAGCATGATTTATTAAGATAAAATACTATTTATGCCTTATAATAATTATCTTTATTAATTTTTACTCTTTTGAACTTTTATAAATATATACTAGGCCACCATACTTAGAGAACTTCATAATAAATTAAGATAGAAAGAGCTATTTGTTATGTAACACTTAAGCAGCGCTTGTAGATGGATGAGCTTCTTGTTTTTGTGTAGAGGGCGCATAGCATTCAGTATTTTTAAAATTTGAAGTCAAAATATCCCAAATTTCACAATGAATGCCCAATTTGGACATTGTATAGTTATTTTCTTTTACAATTATTTTGGCGCATTCCATTTTTTCCATATTGTCATCTGTAATTGGGGGTAAAGAAAGAACAAAGCTTTTATAGGATTTTTTTATCAAACTGTCGTCTGTTTTATCTAGAAGAGATCTAAGTACCGGGCATAAAATAAAGGAAGTATACTCTACCGGGTCGTCTTTGTTTTTGTATAAGCAAATGCCATAATAAACCATGTCTTCTGATATATGCGGGCTTTGCAGCATTTTTACAAGAGATTTAAGGGCTTTTATAGGAGAATACTCGGATAAATAACTTTTTTCTGGGTCTTTGGGTCTTGTATAATAATAGGTAGTGTACTCATCTACACTTTGTGTAATACGAACATTCCATTCTAGAACTATTTGGCTTGGGTTATTGGTTTGTTTCATAGCTGAGTTAAGGCAATAACAATCCAGGTCTTTATATTCGCTATAGATATTTCGTATAAAAAAGTCACTATAATAGTTTACAGTTATTTCTTCATAGTTTTTTAGGATTTTAGCTTTATTTGGGATGCCTTCAAAGAATATTGAATTAATGGAACTATAGTTGAACTGAAATGGCGCTGTATTACAGATTAAATTAATATTAGCCATATATGTTTTTTTGAAGGGGTAGTAAGAGGATAGTGGAATAGAAGACAGCAGAAAAGTAGACAAAAATAGCGGTATTCTTGGGTTTGGTTGCGCGTCTTTCATTCTAGGCAGATTTTTCCTGTTGTTGGATGAAGAGGGATTAAACTGTGCAAAAATAAAGGAAGAGTTAAGCACGCTTTCCTCTAGGTAGTAGAATATAACATCAAGCCCTTTCTTGTTCATTTCATGCATGGTTTTGTCCATGTATAAGTCCGTAGTAGACATCATTGTCCATTTTTTTGTTGTTCTATTATAGACAGCTGGATAGATACATTTGGAATCAGTAACACTGCTTATGTCTTCATAGATTTGTTTTGTAGGTCGGCTTAAAAATGTCTGGCCAGTTTTGATATTTATTCCAAAGGCGACTGGATTTGTGGATATTAATCTGTCCAAGTAGACTACAATATTCTTAATTGTATAGCAGAGCTTGTTATAGAATTTTCTATTTTTAGAATTAACCACCGTGTATCTAGGAAGGTGTATTATTTTCACACGATGCTTTGAATTAAGAACCAGCTGTATGTGATAGTGAATGCTATGCGTGATTGGGATGTCATTTGCTAGCTGAAAATACGATATGTATGATTTTACTACACTGGAATCTATCCACTCCTCTGCATCACTAGGCAGATTGCCTGCCTCTTTGTTTGATTGGGTTTTATAGGTTATTTTAGAGGTAATGAGCGCATAGCATCTGTTAAACTGCGAAACAGTAATAACATTCTTTCCTAACAATTTTCGAAGTATAGTTTTACTAGCACAAGAGCTAGCGCCACTGCGTGTAACGGAGGGCATATTTATACCCTTTATTGAAGTTTCATCGCACACTTCTGCATTAGTAAGAGGGGTTGTTGTTTCATATATATAAGGTGCATTTATATAGAATACTCTAAATAGGTTGAGCATAACATCAAGTACCTCACTGGGTTTGCAATTTATAATAGGCACCCTATTAATTTTTATCGCACACACTGCCTGCATGTCGTTATCTGATAGTTTGAATTTGCTTTTCTGAACTATGTGTGCTAAGGCATTTATTATGAAAAAACTATTCGCCCACTTTTTATTAAAACCGATAGCTACCCGGTCTCGTATTTGGTTAATTACTTTCTCTGTTATGTGGAACATGTCTTCGTATATCTCCGGTATTTTTAAAATAAACCCTAGCTTATTCTGTATTTCATCTGGTATATCCTTTATTTTAGATAACAACTCGATGGATTTATTTTTTTCCTTGCCTTGGGAGGTTATATCTGAGTGGTTTATCTGGCTATAGCTAGCTATTATGCCATGTATAAGCAAAACAGGATCTATTCCCTTTTTATCATATATATCTTGAATGGTTTCGTTTTTCTGAATAAATTCCTTTTTTATGAAAACAGCTTTAGGCGCTTTCTCTACTTCTATACTCTGAGGAGACCCCATATTATAAATATAATTATATAGATCGTCCAAGAACCCATTGTAATAGCATGAAATGGAATTAGTCGTAGAAAATAAAGCTTTTTTCAATTCAATTGGCAGGCTACACAAATATATAATGCAATCCATCTTTTTGCTGTGGGTTTCATATGTCAATGAAGAAATAAACAGCCATATATTCTTATATAATTTGTACAATTTTTGGATTGTTTCATTAAATATGGGTTCTGTATAAAATGGTGTGGTGTAGGCCAATGCGGGTGTCTGAGGTGTGCGATTCATACGAGCTAGCCTTTGGCACTGATTTTTTTTGTAAGCAATTATATCTGGGCTGTGATGTACATGGCAAGAAAACTTTCTAACACTGTTTTTTTTAATGTATTGATTTATCAAATCATATGCATTTTTGTTGTCTAGTAGGCCTGATTTTTGATTTACTTGATCTAAATTAGTGCCTTTTTCCATTTTAGGGCATTTTGCATCTTCTACTTCTGTTATTTTTGAACTTTTGTTTGGAACATCTAGTGCTGCCAAGGTGGTAGAGTCAGATGTTGCGCTTTGTTTCTTTTCAATAGTTTTTCTGTTTTGTATGGGATTTAAGTTGCTTCTGATGTTAATCATTTTTTGAGATTCTTTAAAAGATTTATGTGATTCACTAAAAGTATATTCAGAAGAAGACGCTTGGCTCTGTTCCAAATCAAAGCTGCCAACGGAACTATAGCAGGGCTTTTTAGTGGTTTGTGAAACTAGATTCTTTTCGGCTGCAGAAGGACAAGAATCCCACTCTTTTTTCCTTTTGATAAAAGTGTTAGGTGAATTGTCTAAACTACTTGAGTTATGGGAAAGATTTGAATAATTGGAAGTACTTTGGCTGCTTAATGTATTTTCATTTAGATCTAGTAACCTCTTCGTGCTATTTGTAGCATTAAATGTGCCTGTGTACGATTTATGTTCCTGGGCATTTCTTTCTTTACTATGGGTAGAAATTTGATCGCTGTGCGTGCTGCTGTTCTCATTACACATATAGAAACGAGTCATATCTTCTCCTTCTGTGTTTGGTATATAATCCTCTGCGCATTCTAATTCTTCATTTAATTGGTTAAATATACTATTGAATGCATCAATATTAAAATCGCTACATATTATATTTTCAAAGTCGCTGCTAGGTAGATCATCTATGTTTATAGCAGGTAATTCAGGCCGGGCAATAGTATTTGGCACTTGTTCATTTCTATTGTTTGATTCTGGCTGGTTGGCTTTTTCTAGTTCCTCGAAATTTATGTAATTTCCTAACATTTTTGCAATTTCATTTAAATCTGGCAATGAATCATAATTATTTGTCTTGCTAATGTTCTGCTGGTCTGGTTTACTAGTATCCACTACACTGTGCTCATCGAGTCCGGAAAAACTATTAAATGAATCAATAGATCGCTCACTCTGGCTATGGCGAGCTATGTTCATAGCAGGACTTTCTCTTTCTAAATCGGTATAATAGTTATTCTGCTCCACCATGCCATTAAGTAAAGGAAATTCCATTTGGTTTTCGCCTATTAATTGATTATTTTCTGAGGTCGGTATAGATGGTTGTTGGACTTCATTATCTATGTATTCACCTCTGTGCACTGGTGTTGTGGCAGCAATAGTACTTAACCGGGCCCGTAATCCAACAAGTATAAACTTCTTTGTAAGAAATAACTTTATAATGAATTTCATTTGAAATGTTTAGTTTTTTCTCTTCAAATACAATTACCAGATATAATAGCCAATGATCAGAACCAATCTGTATACTTTTGGATCATTCTAGTGGCGTTAGGAGTAGTATTCTTGTTATTGGTAGAGCTGTAGGTTTTCTAATGTTTATTCTGTATGGTTTATCTGGCTGCATATACTAATTCTTAATACTATTCTATAATTACACATCAGATATAATCTGAGACCCGAAATATGTATATGTAAATGATATTTAATAGCTATTTATTGGGGAAGCTGTTCCTGGCGCGTTATATGTTATAATTATAATTAAGAGAGTGGATGATTTTACTAAATATCATCTATATTTAATTTTGTATGTGATTTTTTGGATATTCTTGTGGGTATTTATAATATAGAAGTACATGTTTAAAAATATACAGAAATTAAACTCTTCAGCCAAAAAAATTTAAAATTAAACACTTTAATAACACTTTAAACCAAGCAAATTAAGCAAAAACAATCTGAATAATGTAACTGGAATGGAACAGACATGTATTGAATTCGCCATATTTATTAATTATTACTACACGGTATATAATAAAATATTATGAATAAAATAGACTATTTAGATATACTATATTTCAATAGAGTAAGAAGTTGTATGCAGAAAGAGTTATAATTATTTAGTAAATTATACAGTAGGATATGAATTGCGTGTGTTTAAATAAATTCTATTTATTTATAAAAGAAGGCAATTTATGTAAGGAATACATAATATATACGAGCCTATAGTAGATGCTTCATTTTAATGTATTTAAAGTATAAATATTTATAGGATTTTTGTATTTAGCAATATAAATCTAACAAGTTTAGTATTATATACCGGATTGGTTAAATCTATTTCACTATAAGTGCTCTAAATAACATATAACTTGATATAATAATTCCAGGAACAAATGTGCATGCCATAAAAAATATAGCCTGCGCTTTCTTCTTTTTTTGTTGGCTTATTTTATGTGCGATTATCTCATTTAATAAACTAATGTATAGGTTAACTCTATCTATAACATATTCTAAAGCCGGCATTGTTAGTGTATTATTTTCTATAAGTAAGATTAATCGGGCATTTATATTGTTTAGCATATGCCCTAGCTCTAAAAGACTTTTTTTAAATATTGTTTCTTTCGGCGCTATGCGTGTGTTTAGAACAATGTGGTTATAATCTATGCAGTCCGTATAGTCATTTGTTATCTCACGGATTATACTGAATACATCTAGTACTTCTGAAATATTGGTTTTTAGTGCATAGAGCAAGCCCTTTTCGTAGTTAGAAAATTTTATATTGCTTGGTTCGTCTTTAAACTGGTGATAAAACTTAATCTTCCCCAGATTATTCATAACTAGATCCATTGCACAATCTATTTTGTACATTCCGCTTTCTGTTTTATCAAATAAACATACTTCTTTTGTAGAAGAATACTCTTTATAATATTGAAAAAACTCACACAGAGTATTTTCTATAATTTCTCTGACATAAAATGACATTAAAAGGTTTTCATTCACTGTAAACATCATGTATTTTAAATACGGATGATACGCATTTCCAGAAGACCGTATTAGAGAAGTGTGCCATTTATTGCATGCTATTTCTGTATATTTTATTTTATCTAATAGTGCCTTGTCCTTGAATATGTTTAAAATATAGTCTTGGCATGCCTTGCTTAGAATTAAAGTTTCATTATTGGTTTCCGCATTGTCTATTTCTATGCAGTAATTCATTATACTAATCCCTAGAATCTTTTTTGCGAGAATCTTTAGCTGTGCGCTAACACAGTCCTTTGGCCGTATAGATACTATACACAGACTAATATAATTAAAAATAGCCGCTCGAAATAACTCGAAAAAGACATTCTGTTTGCTTAAAGTGTGTATATAGCAATTCATAGATAAACACATTTTCATAAAGATTTGGGTGATATGTTCTATATTAAAGTATTCAATAAAATCCTCACTGTTTGAATTATGGATAGTGGTGTCTGTGTATATAGAAGGCATTATATACATGAACAATTTATCTGTTTTTATGTTTATATCTTCTTCTATATCACTAATTTTTATTTCTTCTATGAGAGGAATTTGTTCTAAATTTATATTCTGTGAACTATGCATAATTTATTAAAAATAAAATATTATTTATGCCTTACATATTCATAACAGAGAATGCTCAAGTTACATTTATAAGCAAGGCATCCACATGATATTTAAAAAATAAATATTCTTATTTAATAAACCAGATTTTAGGAGTATGCTAGTATAATTTACTACTGAAATTAAGTTATATGTATATGTGCAGTATGGTTTAAATATGAATGTGTAAAGAATTGTTCTTTTTAAGAATTACTATTAGTATGGAAGAAATACTCTGACTTTCGGGTTAGTCTCTTTATAAATAATTCTCCTTTTTCTTATCATACATTTTACTTTTATGCTGTGTTTTAGTGCATTCTTTTGAATGTATATACTCTCCCTCTATTAAAATAAAAGGGGCGGCTTTAATAAGAGTTTCTATAATAGTGAATACGCAATTGGTCTACTAAAAACACAAGCACAAATAGCAACATCCAGGGGAATTCATGGACAGTGAGCTTTACTATAACATCAACGAAAGTGCGATTGATCAATCGGTTGATAAAAGAATGGAAGAGTACTTAAAAATAGCTGCAGAGACCAAAACCACAAAGTCTATGATATTCCCGTTCTCTGGTTATCAGATGGTTATTGTTCCTGCTGTAAAAGACTGCATTACCAGGAGCAAAGAAACCCAGCTGCCAAGAGAGTTAGAGAATTCCATGAGCGTCTGTATAGAGTATGAAGCAAGGAAAACAAAGCTCTTCAAGAAAACATCAAGTGATTTAATTTTACTTCTTCAAAGCAATGAGCCCAGCCCAAGCATTCTTAAAAGCATTACACAACAGCTCAAAAAAGAGGTGAAATATTTTTTGAAGGACTTAAGCCCGCGAATAAATGAATACTTAGCAACTAAATTAGAGCATATTTCAAAAGAAGAAGCAAAACAGCTTGCGAATAAAATAGACATAACATGCCGAATAAATCTGATTGAGATAAGTGCAGTAGAGTTAGGAGGAGTGAGTAATCTGGAAATTCTTCTGGAGAAATTTGCAAAAGAGAATAGCATACAAGAAGAATCACTTTTAGAGAAAATGAACAAATTATATCCAAAGATACCAGCCAAGTATAATGAGTATCAAATGAAGTATTTAATGGGGTTTATGCTGAAAGTGTACAAAATAGTTGCCGGAGAAGTTCCTATCTCTGATACTGCAGCAAACACTCTGAATCAACAGGGAATAACACTAACCGAAGTACAGTATTTAGAAGAGTTAAGAAGATTCTATAGCCAGGTGATAAGCAGTATTCTTGGAACGGCAGAATATACAGAGAGTTTAGTAGAATTACTTCCACAAAAAAGCTCCAGAAGCAAATCAAAAATCGCAGGCTACAAACAGTTTAAATATGGCATCTTTATACTATTACTAATAGTTTTAATTATTGTAAGTTGCTGGGTTATTTCACATAGACAAGAATTTAAATTGTAATACGCTCTGAAAGGCCTTAAACAAATTTGAGTTATACTATTTTAAATCACCAAGAATGAATAGAAATATAGCCCGACATAACAGACATAAGGGCCATGGACGCATCGATAAGAATGGCTGAATAAATGCATTTAGACAAGTATTATACCAATGTAAACAGAATTAATTAGTTTTGTATTATAGAATTGTATATTCCACAGTAAAGAATAAAGAAAAGTAATCCAAATATGTATTTATTGGCGTGCTGATGAAAGCAGTGAGGTTACATATCCCCAGAAGGCAAGAACCTTCTCTCCTGCCTTAACCTTTTCTTTAGCCTTGTCTAGGGAGTTTTTGAACAGGCTCTGAGCAGTAAGAATGCTTGAAGGGTTGGAGGTTATAGAAGAGCCACTGATTACTAGATGCCCATTTGTGAAGTTCTGTGCAAATGAAGGAAGCTGCATTTTCTGATCGTCATTTCCTGGGGAAAGTGGGCTAGCGGATGTATTTTCTATGTTTATTGCAGACTTTTTCTGTGCATCAAACAATCCATGTCTGATCATATCAGATCTTTCTATGCCCAGAGAAGATTCTTTCTGGTCTTTATTCTTCTGATCCTTTTTCTTTCTTTTCTTTTTCTTTCTTTTCCTTCAGTTTCTTTTCTTTCTTATCTTTTTCCTCTTTCTTATCTTTATTCTTTTTCTCCTTCTCCTTTTGATCCTTTTCTTTATTCTTCTGATCCTTCAGTTCTTTTTTGGTCTTATCAAGCGACTTTCCCTCTTTTTTCTCCTTCTTTTCTTCCTTCTTCTCAGTTTTTTTCTCGGTTTTCTCCTCTTTCTTAAGGTCTTTTATGATTGTCTCAGTGTTTTCGTTCACAAAGCCCTCAACAGTCTTTTCGGCCTTTTTCAAGTGGTCTGTCTGTTTCTTTGTTACTTTGATATCTTCTTCAACCTCTGTTTTCTTGTTTTTGTTTTGTTCCAGAACAGAGCTGTTGCTTTTTATTTTTTTCTCAATTGCTTTAATGCTCTTCTTCACCTCCTCCTGATTGATTTGGAATTGCTTCTGAGCACTTTTCAGATTTTCCATCTTTTCTTGGACAGTATTCTGGTGTATGTTCTTCTGGCTTTCTGCAACTGCAATGTTTTTCTGAATCTCAGCCAGGTTTTTTTCCAGAGATGCAAGCTTCTTTGTCGCCTCGTCCTTTTGCTTCTGTAAATCCTTCAAAGTCATTTTATTGCTTTTTATGACAGTTTCGCTTGCCTTTTCATGGGCTTTCACGGCATCCACATTAGCCACCTTAACAGACTTTGCTGAGCTGCTCAATGCACTCTTTGAGTAGTTGTTGTACTTCTCAGACGCATTCTGGCTAGACTCTGGCATAATTGGCTTGTAAACAGTCACTACACGTATTTCTGTTACAGTAACAGTCTTAACATTGTTCGATGATTTGTCGCCGTCTTTCTTATCTTTACTACTGGATTTATCTTTACTAGTAGGCTTATCCTTAGAGCTTCCAGACTTGTCTTTGCTGTCAGATTTGTCTTTTCCGCTGGATTTATCCTTTATGCTTCCAGACTTGTCTTTGCTACTGGGTTTTTCCTTGGCATTCTCGTAACTGTTGTTATGCTTATCAAGAGTCGTTGACTTAGTGGAAGACTTGCTGGTGGATTTTTCGGTAAGTGTTTTGGTATCTGTCCCAGTTGATTTTTCTTTTTTGTCTTGGGTATCTTTTGTTGTATTCTGCTCAGTCTTTGTACTTCTATTAAAAATGTTTAAAAAGGAAAAAGGTGAAGACTTTTTTTCTTCCTCTTTTGGCTTTTTGTCATTATCACTCTGTACCTTTCCTTCTGTGTTCTGTGCTGCTGGTGCATCTATAACTATATCCTTAGCAAATAGTTCGCTGGCTAATACAGTAGAAATTACTGTCAATATAAAAAACTTCTTCATAACTAATAACACATCTATTCATTAAATATACAACCATCATACACTGTTTCACTCCTGCCAAGAAACATAAATACAATGAAACCATAGTACACAATAGAATAAAGTAGTAATAGAGTGTAAAGCAACCGATCCAATCATATACTTCTTTCTACAATAATATAATCACAGTTTTAACCTAACATAATATAAAAATACTAGAAACATTTCTATCTCCAGATAAAGTAACTAACTAAGCATAGAAAGCCATTAAAGTGAGGTTATAGCCTGAAATATCAGGCAGCAAATACAATCAAAGGTGGCACTAATATAGAATATATGAGGTGCTCATCAAAATACTAAATTAGATTATCTTATAATATGTAAATATTTTCAAATACTTTATTCTTAGTTTATACAATAGTAGGTATATCTGGTGTATTTCTAGCAGGGGCAGTATGTATGCCGGCACTAGTGCTGCTTGCACTAACACTGCTGCTTATACCTTGTACTAAATGACCATCTACTATTTGTACATGCCCAAGTATTTCTCCATCTATACCCATTGGATGTATATCACCAATCTGACCCCCCTGGTGGATCTGCTGCATTTGATCTACTTGGCTTGCACTGCCACTATTCTGGCTGATTTGTACACTTCCCTGCCTATTTTGTATGCTCTGTTGGCTGCCTTGTATGTTCGTCTGATTGCTTTGTAGATTTTGGCCACTGCCCTGTTGTGCTTGATCTATATGACCAGTGCTCTGGCCAGATTGGCTTATTTGTCCACTGCTTTGTTCATTACTCTGCGTAGATTGACCGCTGCTTTGACTGATTTGGCCAGATTGGCTGTCAATCTGCTGTATTTTATCTACATAATTGGCTTGATTGCTCTGCCCTATTTTTACTTGTTTATTTTGTGTGTTCTGTATACTTTCTCCATTATTTAGTATATGCCCATGCACTGCATCTATCATGGGCGTGCAGGGATTAAGACAGAATGCATTCTCACATGGACATAATTCTTCTACAAAGGCTGAAGCATCAATTGAGATGGGAATTGTCTTATACTCTGTATATTCTACATTGCACAATTTACATGCATTCTGTGGTTTAGGCTTTACTGTAACGGTGTTTGTTATGATTTTAGTATGTATTTTAGTAGTATACACTGTATTAGTATTGTATACGGTGTTAGTAGTGGTGACTACTCTATCTACAGTATTAGTACTATATATTACATTTGTAGTAGTAATTAATCTATCCACGGTTTTGTATACTGATAGTATATTTGTAAGTGTAGATATAGAGTGTATTACAGGCTGAGGCAACTTTATCTTAAAGTATCTTACAACGTCATAGCACATGTTGCCACATCCTTGCTTACTGCCAGAGCTGGGTAAAGAAGGATTGGGTGAGCTTTGGTTATTTATACCAGTATTAGGAACAGTAGGAGGAACAGTAGCTATAGAAACACTAGATGAACTACTAGACATATTAGCATCGCCACCATTTGCATTTGGTATGGGTGAGCTAGGTACATTTGCATCGCTTGCACCTGCGCCTGCATTAGCATCAGCACTAGCACCAGAAGCCGCGCCTACATTAGCACCAGAGGCTGCTCCGGTATTAGCACTGGCATCAGTTCCAGCAGTTGCACCTGCATTCGCGCTAGCACCAGAAGCCGCGCCTGCGATGGCACCGGCCCCAGCAGCTGCACTTGCACTATCTGCACTATTGCTAGATACATTTACACTATTACTAGTCGCACTGGCACCATCTACATTAGTAGTGCTGCTGCCGCCAGATACATTATTAGATATACTTACACTATTAACTGTACTGCTACTAATATTATTTTTGCCGAGTGTACTAACCATGCTTTGCAGGGATTTTGTCTGTGCGTCTATTTCCTCTTGGGAAATATTTGTTTGGTATAATCCAGTCGAAGTCAATTGTGATTTACTTCTGGCTTCTTCCTTAGTCTTACCACAGTCCACACCTATAAAAATTCCTGTTTTATCTTTAATCACGCCATTAGATGAATATAAACTAATTCTATCAGATACATCTTTATAGCAGCTGCACTCTACATTGTAGTATACAGCTATATTGGTAATAGACACATTGGTTGTGTTATAATTAGATATACGGCTACCATACGATAGCACAGTAGAAATATAATCATTAGAGGCAGAACCAATCATACTAGACACAGTAGATACACTAGATATGCTGGATACACTAGACACAGTAGAAATACTAGATACACTGGATGCACTGGATATACTGGATACACTGGATATACTAGATACACTAGACACACTGGATATACTAGATACACTAGACACAGTAGAAATACTAGATACAGTAGAAGCACTGGATATACTAGATATACTGGATACAGAACTGACTGTAGACTTATCATTCACGCTATCAGGCTTGTTATCTTTGTTTTGCGGTACACCTGCAACGATTGGTGTAGCTCCCGAATCATTTTTATCTTTGCCATCCTTAGACTTGTCATTGCCATCCTTTGCATCCTTAGACTTGTCCTTGGCATCTTTATCATTCTTAGACTTGTCCTTGGCATCTTTATCATCCTTAGATTTATCTTTGCTGTCTTTAGGCTTGTCCTTGGCATCTTTGGCCTTGTCTTTAGCATCCTTGTCTTTCTTGGCCTTATCCGCCTTAACCTTGTTTTTAGCATCCTTGTCTTTCTTGGCCTTGTCTTTAGCATCCTTGTCTTTCTTGGCCTTATCCGCCTTAGCCTTGTCTTTAGCATCTTTGGCATCCTTAGACTGCTTGGAATCTGTTTTAGACTTATCCTGTGACTTACTCCCACTAAATAGCCCAAATATACCACCAGAGGATTTATCTTGCGACTTATTTTTTTGATCTTTAGATTTATCCTTGTCCTTATTTACATCTGCGCTATTTTTCTTGCTGTCTTTGCTCTTATTTGTGCTTGACTTGCCTCCAAATAAACCTAATATACCACCAGACTTATCTGATGATTTATCATCTGGCTTATTTTTATCCTTACTCGCGTCCGGCTTCGCTTTAGATTTACTCGCATCAGGCTTGGCTTTACTCGCATCAGGCTTGGCTTTGGCTTTGCTTGTTTCAGAAGTACTTTTATTCTTTTCAGAGTTAGCCTGCTTAGTATCAGTGTTTGCTATATTAGACTGTGTCAGATCTGGGAATATTTTTGCAGTGACTATAACTAATTGTAATAGGCACAAGACTGCTCTTCCACTCACCTTCATAATAAACAATAACAAATGAAACTAAAGTATAAGGAATTACTTGTACAGGTATAAATAATCCAAATAAACAAATAATATCCCGAAATACTGATCTGTATATAATACAGACTAGGAAATACCCAAAGAATACTGTATAGCCCAATAATACTCTAGCTATAATACAGACTAAGAAGTATTACTCTGTGATAATTAGTCCAGAATATATTATAATTAGTCTATACCACATGCAGTGTGATTAATTGGTCTAGAGTGTTCTATAGTATAATTTGTGTAGACAAATTTACATTATGTAAAAATAGCATATTTTCTAGTATAACAATAGACTAAAATACATTAGTAAATACCTTTTATTTCTATATTTAGTAATTAACCGTTATATTTAGCAATAATACGGTAAATTACAATGTAATTACTATTATTACTAATTATGGAATATAATCAGTATAATTATTGCCTATTATAGCCGTGTTTATTATATAGTCACTCTATTTTCAGTTTTCATTTCTCTATTACTATATAAGACAAATACTAGCAATGCAAAGCAATCACTTAACATATTTAATAGTGATTTATTATGCCCACACTCTATTACTAACACTCAGTATAAATCCAACTATTAGTCCGAATAGGCCTATCAACTCACCAAAAACAAGCAACAAGAAGAAAGAAGGCTTAAATCTCTTCTGCTGTGCAGCAGTAACAGTGGCTACTGCAGAAATATCTCCTAGACTGATTGACCCCCAGAACATTCCCATTCCAGTGACAATATAAGCTGCGAGCCATTTCATGGGAATAGAAAACTCTGTTGGAGTGCCTTGTGGGGCAGTGGTGAAGAAAAGTAAAACAGAGTAAAGCACACCCACACCAATAAATGCAGATGGTATTATAGTCAGTATTATATCTGACTTAATACTAGCTGAATTACAGATACCAATTGATGCTTTGCTCATGCCCAGACTTACACCAGCAAATGTGGGGCATAGCAGACTAATTACACCGATAGGATAGATACACTCAAGAAGTAGTTTCTGCATGGGATAAAAAATAAATAAAATAAAATATATTATTTATACATTGTGTATAAATAATAGATAGCTTAAGTATAATATAGACTAAAGAAGAATAACACAAATCAAATAAGAGTAAAACTATAAATAATTAATTATTTAATAAATATACGCAGAGTTATAAAAAGAGAATTTCTGGTTATGCGTGTAATACGGGCATTCTCTGATTTTATAAAATTATTTATTATGCAATGTAGAGCATTGCTGGGAATATATTGCATGTTTTTTTTTCTATATGGGAGCAGTGCAGGAAATGCGCCTTTTAGTGGCTCAGATAGTGCAGAATGCAGGAGAGGGCCATCCAGGGAGTGCAATTGGAATGGCACCTTTATTTCACGTATTGTACAGCAGGGTTTTAAAAATAACAAAATGTGATCTTAAATGGTCAGAACGAGATATTTTAGTGCTTTCTAATGGGCATTCAGTTGCTATTCTGTATGCTGCTTTATTCTGCCGAGGGGTTTTGACAGAAAAAGATTTAAAAGAATACAGGCAGATTGGGAGTAAAACGCCTGGCCATCCAGAGTACTCACGAGATAATGCAATAGATGCAACTACTGGTCCACTTGGGCAGGGAGTAGCACAGGCCGTAGGATATGCGATCTCGATAAGTAAAAAACAGAAAAACAATCGAGTATTTTGCATTCTAGGAGATGGGTGCATGCAGGAAGGAATTTCGCAAGAAGCATTTTCGCTTGCGGGGCATTTGCAGCTGAAGAATCTTTTTTTTGTTTTTGATAGCAATAAAATCACGATTGATGGGGCAACTTCTTATTCCACATCTGATGATGCTAAAAAGCGGATGGAATCCATGAATTATGAAGTGCTTGAGGTGGATGCAGAGGATACAGAAGGAATAGAAGAAATTCTCGGTAAACAATACGGCAGGCCAGTGTTCTTAATTATGCACTCTGTGATAGGGAAGGACACATCTGTAGAAAACAACAGAAAAGCCCATGGATCTCCGTTAGGAGAAGCAGAGGTAGCAAAACTCCAGGAAAAGTACAATTTATGCGGAAAGTCATTTTACATCTCAGAAAGCACAAAAGAAATCTACAGAAAACGAGAAGAAGAAGTGGCACAGGAATACATGCAGTGGAAGGAGAGACAAATAGATGATTTGAAAAATGCCAATGCTGGCAGAACCTGCAATGGTGTGGAAGAAGTCAATATGGAAGATGAGAACAAGAAAACAAATAATAAATACGAGAAAGAGTTTGTGCAAATGTTAGAAAGCCAGAATTATGTTGAGAAGAAGAAACCAAATAAATCAACACGAGAAATATTTGGTGATCTTGTTCCTGGCCTTCTAAAGAACCCAAACATCCTTGGGGGATCTGCAGATCTAACAGAATCCACTTGTCTAGGTGCAGCACTGACTAAAAAGCCTGAAATCATTGAAGGTGATCATAGTTGCCAAATAGATCCGAAAACAGAAAAAAACACTGAAGAGAATCAGAATTTCATACACTTTGGTATTAGAGAGCACGCAATGTGTGGGATTGTATGCGGAATTGCTTTGTTTGGTGAGCACAGGGCGTACTGCAGCACGTTCCTTAATTTTCTAGCCTATGGATTTCCTGCTGTCCGCATAGCTGCACTTTCTGAGGCACCTTCTGTGTATATTGCAACGCACGACTCAATAGCTCTAGGCGGCGACGGCCCAACTCACCAGCCAGTGGAAATGCTTGCTCTTCTTCGGGCAACACCTGGATTGATTACATTTCGCCCAGCATCTAGATCAGAGGTAGAGGCAGCAGTTCTGTATGCCTTTTATCAATCAGAGCGCCCATGTGTCATCATTCTATCCAGGCAAGGCATTGAAGAAATCCCAGAAAAAGGCATTAGAAAGAATAGCAAAGCACAAAATACAGGAACCGATAATAAATTAAAGACGGATGTACAGGAAACAGAAGGCATAGCAGAAAATCAAAGTATTTATGATAATTCTGCACCATTGAAGAATACTTCTTATATTTCTAGAATTACTTCAATACTCCGAGGGGCGCACATCATTTCAGACTACTCCCCAGATAATTCAGCACAGAAGTTGCTTCTTCTAGCAACGGGCTCAGAAGTACCTCTGGCCCTGCGTGTAAAGCCCCTTCTGAATAATTACAATGTAAGGGTAGTTTCTCTTCTCTCTTTTGAACTCTTTCAAGAACAGCCACAAGAATATGTAGAGGATATTTTATTCTGTGATATATCTGTGAGTATAGAAGCCCTAAGTACATTTGGCTGGGATAAATATGCTCAAGTTCAAATAGGAGTAGATACATTTGGAGCAAGTGGCCCAACAAGCGCAGTATATGAATACTTTGGGTTTACACCAGAAAAAATAACCGACAAAATACACAATGAAATTAAGAAGAAACAACAAAAAGAAGACAGACAAAGAGAAATAAGATGGCTTCAAAGCAAATAATCTCAATTGTCTCCATATCCATCACGAATTAATCAGAGAATGCGTATTTAAAGATTATTTCTACTAATTTAATGAATAAATCAGTAACCCATTTGTCATTCATATTTCATATTTCGTATAAGTATAATTAAATAGCTGTGAATAATTCAATATTCAGAAATAAATTTATTTTTATTACTTTTTCTGTATGGAATATATACCAATTCTATTATTTTCTGTATATAATCCGAAAATAATTGGAAAAATTCGAAAAATCCGAAATTATAATTTTCTCTTCTTTTTTCTTTTTATGTTCAACCAAGACAATTACCACTGGACACAAGATGATTACACCGCAGAAGGAATAAATTTACTTAAAGAACACTTAAAAAGCAAAGGAATCACATTCACAGAAGACCCATCCACAATATATTTAACACAAAGAATGGGCAGGAAATCCTACAGATTGGATATTTCAGGTGTACTACAGAAAGACAGCACCAAATTATACATAGTGGGGTATACTGGCATATCATCAGATGAGGTAGAAGAATCTCCACTTAAGGAAATATTCATTACATCAGTAAAAGAGGTCATAGAAGGATTACAAAAAAAACAGACAGAGACCAAAAAAGAAATACACCAAATATCACAGGTAAACACAGACACGTCAAAGAGTAAACCAATAGAGTCAGAGGAATTAAAGAAGGAAATAGAGTTTAAAGGACCAGTACAGCACATATCCAGTATATTATTCAACAGAGACATAGTTCCTGTTATATCCCCAGAGGTCTCTTTTGTAAGCTGTCCTGGGAAGGTTTTAGAAATACTTCCATCTGAAGTGAAAGAGGATGGAGAAGGATTAAAGAGAGAGTGCACGGTGCGCATGGAAGGAAAGACATTTACTTTACAGTTCATTTTAAAGGAAAGAATGCAGGGAAGTGTTCTAAGGATATGCGGTACAGTTCCCATTGGATTCTGTGACAAGTTTATTTCGTATTATGAAAGCCTTGTGATAGACCGCCTTAAAAGAGCCAATTTAATAGGATAGAGCAGTGAGATCCACAAGAATATGATTTTTATGATTTTGAAGTATTCCAGTATAAATTATTTCTTGGGTTTATACCACGTGTAATATTTCGTAATATTTCATATTCCTATTAAATATGCTATAATATCATATAGTAATATCTGTTGATGATTAGCACAGTCTAATAATTAATAAACATTGCATATAAAATAATACTATTTATACAAACATCATTATATAATGGAATATGTTACACAATATATTATGTAATTATCAATATATATTGCTTAATGTATACGCAGTACTTATTACTATATGTCTTATATATACTACTTAATACACTATGTCTTATATATTCTGTATTAGTATACAGTAAATTATACTAATTCTAATGAATAATATATTTTGTATATAATTATACACTGTATTATTTATACTTAAGCAGTACCTCTATTTTATTGTAGAATATTTCTGTGGTGCACTCTCTTTCTGTGATATTTCTGGTTATATTTCTCTCTGCTGTTCTATTTTTTTCTTTTTTTTCTTACCCCATGAATGCAGATATTTGTAAAAACACTCACTGGTAAGACAATTACCCTGGAAGTAGAACCAAGTGACACAATAGAGAATGTAAAAGCAAAGATACAGGACAAGGAAGGAATCCCTCCCGACCAACAAAGATTAATCTTTGCAGGAAAACAACTGGAAGACGGAAGAACCCTTTCTGACTACAACATCCAGAAAGAGAGCACCATTCATCTTGTACTGAGACTGAGAGGAGGAGTAATAACCGACACCGACAGAGTATTTGTTACAATGAAGAGGACAAAGCTGCTTATTTGCAGAGGGTGCTACTCCAGAAACAGCATCAGAGCCACACACTGCAGAAAGAGTGGTCCATGCGGTAACTCCACCAACTTAAGACCAAAGAAGAAGCTAAGAAAGACAAAGTAAGTCATAAATAAATGGTATTCAGTTGATAGATGTATAAATACAGTGTAACAATATATATTATACATAGGGTATAATATAATTATTTATAATGATTGTGTAATAAGTATTGTCTTATATTGCTCCAAGATTAATTATACTATGCGTTATTTAAACTGCACAGTATATTATAATATTTTGGTAATGGCTTATTTAGTCATGAATTTTTATATAATGTGTATATAATAATGCATTATAGTGTTCTTTTTACATAATGTGTAATTAATTCTTTTATTTTAGTAGAGCTGCTTGATAGGCTTCGTTGTAATTAGTCTATTATATAAGTAATTTAATTTTTATTTTTTATGAAGTGCATTCTGTGGGTTGTGTGCTTATTTAAAGTATATTGTAGCAGCAATTTTATGCGCATGGGAGTAGACAATTCTATTTTTGTTCCTTGTGTGAACACGTACAGTAATTCAATCATTACATCAGGAAATACTGCAGGAAAGAAAATAGATAAAGAAAAAACAATACTCTTTCAATATCCAGAGGAGTCTAAAGATAAAGCATCAGAGGTACTTAGCACTCTGTACTTTCCCCAAATAGTTGCCACAGAATCTGTTTCTGTCGCCAGCACTATAAATAAAAACGTATCTGTAAAGGATGATGCTTATAATAGAACTATAAGAATTGACGATCTGTACTCAGATATACCAGAAATATTACTTCTGAAGAAGTATCTGCAAAAGATTATAAATAAGAAAAAGAAAGAAGATGTTCCTGTTCTAAGCCTGGGCATGGTCACTCGGGGGTACCACACAGAAAACACAAGGGATATTCTATTCCAAGTGATGAAGGATATATTCCCAATGTATCAGCTGCATCTGATGACAGATGGTATGGCACAGGCAATTACTAGGATAGTTACCACACCGTATTCAACTGGATATGTGGTGGCGTACAGTCTGCGTGGTGAGAAAATGGTTTCTGAGATATTTTTCTATGAAAAGGCAGAGAATGTATCTGATATAAGCACAGTGAAGCTACTGCATCAGAAGGAGTATTCTGGGTACTCTGACTATTCTGTGCTAAGCATGGTATACAACTACTTACTCACACAGGTAAGCAAGATAGCACAGGCAAGGCACCCACACATGAATATAAAAGTATCTGGAACTCCAGACTTAGGGTTTATCAAACCAGAGCGCACAGAAAGCGAGAAGGATACTCTGCAGGGCGACCAGGAGACAACTGTGTACAACATAGAGGTCCTTCCCTTGGTTGATTTAGTGCTTCAGAGGATATGGGAGATGAAATTCACATCGGATAAGGATTTCGAAAAGATTGAGAATTTGAATGTGATTCAAACGATACGGACTCTTTCATTGGAATTGCTTCCAGAGTCAGACAATGCAGAGGGGAAGCTAATTCTTCTTCCAACTATAGGAAAGGAGCAGATCGAGATAGACCTGGCCCTTCTTCTTGAGCAGATAGTGCAGTATACAGAAGGAGTCAGCGAAAAGATCAAGACAATGTTTGAGGAAACTACAAAGGTACTGGAGGACATACAGAAGGACATGGAAGGGCACGCAGAGAAAGAAGGCGAAGAAAAGCAAGAGAAGAAAGCCAGTGCACATGTAGACACATCTGTATACAACGATGTTCTCTGCCCGCAGCAGGCACTGTACCTTCTGCATAGAGTAGGCATGACTGGTGGATATGCCCCCAGCAAGTCTGACCTGGCAAGTGCTCCATTACAGATGCAGAGAATGAACATTAAAATAGTTGACATGCGCCCTAACAGTGCATCCAGTTCAACAGGAACGTACCAGGTAGACCATACACTGCGCACTTTTAGGGACTACACCCGGCCATACACTCTGAACAGCGAGCTGAAGCAGTGGTGGCACTACAAGAAAAATCTTGATGAAGAAGTGGAAATCAGGAGCACGCTAAGGGCACTGATAAGAAACGATGAAAAATCAGCTGAGTACAAGAGCGCAGTGAACAAATACGGCCAGCAAAGAGTCGGCGCACTGATCAAGCAGGTGGATGAAATAAGAAATGGTATGCCATACATTAAATTCTTCCAGAACCCGAAGTATCAGGAGGTGGCCAAAGCGTATAAGAAAATGGTCGTAGACTCCGCGCAGAACTCTCTTTTGGATAGAGACATATCCGCTCTTTTGAAGAATATTCCAAATCTAGTCAAAAATGCTGAGAGTGTAATATCCAAAGCGCAGGCACAAGTTCCAGCGCCTTGCGAAAATCTTCAGAGGTTCCTGAAGCAGCATCAACTGGAGAATGGAAAGGTCAAATCTGCAGAGAAGTATTCACCAGAGATGGACTTAGCTGAGAAAACTGCGCTAAAGAAGAAACTCAAGCAGATTGAAGAAGGCATCAATTATAGAACGTATGTGATAAACACAGACCAGAGACAGCACGAGGAAATTCTCAGGCAAATGCAGGAAGAGAAGAAAAAAGCAGAGGAAATGGCAGCTGAAAAGGAAAAGGAAGAGAATAAAGAGAAAGAAGAAGCGAGTAAAACAGAAAATGAGACTAAAAGTAAAGAATCAGTACTTGAAGAATCCCCATCTAAGCAAACAGCAGAAAACGCAATTCATTCAGATCCCGCAGAGGACACAGAAAGTAGAGAAAGCACACCCGAGCATAAAATACCCGGAGAGAGTGTTCACCCACTTGAAGAACTGCCAATTATAAAGGATGTTCTATAAAATAAAGTAATGGCGCATGTCAAGCATATATTATATCGATTTATTTATATCTAGAAGTAGAGCACATTTTATTACTATTTCCTCCATGCTTGATGCACGCAGCTACTTTTTATTTAATTTTTACAATATTCCAGGGATGAGTTCTTATTATTTGTTGTTTTCGGGCTGTTTCTATATGGTGCTTATTTTATATTCTTTTATTGCTTATTCTATTTTATTCAAATTACGTAAATGTATAATGACGAAGGTGTTTCTACACAGAGCTCAGTGGATGCAATGAATCTAAATGCGACGATAAAGAATAAGAAGCCAACATTGCTGGATAAGGACAGGCATTTAAAATATATAATAAAGCAAATGAACAAGCCATTAAACATAGCATATTCTGCCCTAATACCCTGGGTTGGTGCGTGGATGGCAAATGCACTTTATGTCATATTGGGAAGAGACCAATTCTATGACGGAACGCACGAAGAAGTAGAAAAGCTAGATAAAATAGCAACACAAATTATTAATTTACAAGGAAGTGGAACAGGTATATCTGCAGGTCCTGGGCATATGCCAAATCTTGGGAGCACGTACGCTGGGGTAGTCCTATTGAAGATTCTTAACAGACTGGATGAGATAGATAAGGCGGGTATAGTGCAGTTTATAAAGGAAATGCGAGTGCCTAATGGGTTTACCATGTATGCAGATGGAGAAATAGATCCTAGATCTATATACTGTGCTGTGGCCACTTACTCTATTTTGCACTCAGAGGATATACAGCAAGAAAATCAGCACAATCCATTAGAAAGCGAGGAAGGAAAGAATATATTTGGCGGCATAGATACTATCCTGTGCTCTCTCCAGACGTATGAGGGGGGATTTGCTGCTTCTCCTGGGGAGGAGGCGCACGGTGGGTATACATACTGCGCAGTGGCTGGATTAAAGATTTTACAAAAGCCTATTCCCAACACAGACATTCTGAAAAGGTGGCTTTTGGAGAGGCAGGATGTGATAAATAATGGGTTCAATGGGAGAACAAATAAAGGCTCTGACTCTTGCTATAACTTTTGGGTGGGTGCGTGCTACAAAATGCTTGGGTTAGGAATACGGTCATATGAAGGCTTAGCACAGTACACTCTGTCTAACTGCCAAGAGGAAGAAGGCGGCATAAAAAACATTCCTGAGTCACATCCGGATATATATCACACAGCATATGCTTTAATAGGGCTATATATCATAAATGAAACAGACTTTAACTATCACCTGGGCCTGCCTGTAGCAGCATAAGTGGGCAGTGCTAATTTTGAATTCACATGCGCAGTATGAATTAGTTTGCTTTTCTTACAAAGGTGTGTAATCAGTCAATAAATATCTTGACCAACCTGCTTGTGCGTATTATAATTAAGTTGTTAGTTATTATTTCAGACAAATAACCCGAAATCCAAAATTTAAATGAGAATTTTGCAATGACAATATGACTTTCTATAATAAAGACAATCTAAATGCATAAACAGAATAAATTAGAAAGAGAAAAGTAAAAAGGATTTTAAGCAGCTCTATACATGATACTTAGCAATAGAAATACTTAATATATTGAAGGAATTTGTATAAGACAGTGCCTTCTAATATTCTGTGTGGTTTACATCTAGTATATTGGAATATAACACCAAATTTACTAGCTTGTTTTCTATATCTATACTAATTTAAACAACTAATCCTTTACAGGTAATATTAATTGCTGAAATTTACATAAGTGCTTAATGCGCCATGAAGTGTAAAATTGTGCTTCATACAAATTTATTAACTTATTTCTTCTTTCTCCTTCCACCGAGCCCTGCATATTGGACACAGGTTATTTGTGGCAATCCAATTCTTTATGCAGTGTCTGTGGTAGCAGTGGTTGCACTCGCCCAGCGCAGGCACGCACTCGATTGGATGCTCACACTCTGAGCACATCTGTTCAAATGCCTGCTGGCATATTCCGCAAATGCCCTCTGCCATCTTCCACCTCCACGTGAACGATGCATGGATGGCATTCACTCGGATGCGCAGATTCTTCATGGATAAAAAAATAACAAACAGTTAAAGCGCTTTATTAATTGGCGTTGGCTTAGTCCCTCAGCATCTGCTTTCTGTGTGGTCCTCTGAGGTGACCCTTGACTGCAAGGGTGACGAACTTTCTGAATGCTCTCTTCTCAGCAATTGTCTTTACGGCGGTTTCTGCTGGGATTTCTCCAAGCTGCTCCTCTGCAATGAGCTGAACGTGGCATGGGGACTTGTTCCATGCAGTGACTCTTCCGTGTGCTCTGTACGTTCTGTTGTGGATGATTGGGGCTCTATTAACGTGGGCATGCACTATTTTCATCTTGGAGATATCTAATCCCTTGCCAACGGCAATGTTTTGCATGTTCTTCAGCATAGTCTTTGCCTGTATAACACTCTTCTCTGGCCATCTTCCCTGGAGGGCTCCAAACTCCTTTGCCTGGGCGACTCTTGGGACACCTCCGTTGAATCTTCTCATGGGAATGCATCTCTTGTGTGCCAGAACATCCTCTAAGTACTTTATGGCGGAGACCAGCCACATTCCCCGGAGAATTGTGACTGTTTGGTGTGTGTTCTTGAAGCTTATTTTTGCATCCTTAATAGCTGCCTTCACTGCCTTGTCTTCATTTTTTGGGGTGTACCCATAATTAGTCTTGACTTTTTTCATCTGCAGGGGAGTAAAAAAATTAAAATGTTAACACCGCAGATGAACCAAGAAATAATCCAAAAAGCAAAGAAAGGAGGGGTTTTAATAGTTGTGGGGGCCACTGGATCTGGAAAGTCCACAGGGATACCCCAGGCTCTTCTGAGCACAACTAATGATCTAATAACGGTCACCCAGCCCAGAAGAGTTGCCGCAATTTCACTTGCCAGCCATGTAAAAAGAGTCATAACGTGTGTGCCGGGGGATAAAGTAGGGCATAAGGTGCGATTCAGCGATACTACAAACAAAAATACAAGGCTGCGATATGTTACAGATGGAATACTTTTGAAGGAACTGCAGGAAGAAGCCAAGCTGTCAACTGTTGTTGTAGATGAAGTTCATGAAAGATCGATCAGAACAGATATTCTACTTGGGCTTCTAAAGAAAAGAATAAATGGTATCCGGCTTGTTCTAATGAGTGCTACTGCAGATGTAAATATGCTTACAGAATACTTTGCAAAGGACGGCATCCCTGTATCGCACTGCGAGATACCCTCCCAGAAGCATGATGTAAGAATAAAGTATCTCCCAAAGAAGTCATCAGATTACATACAGCTTGCATACGATACAATTAAAAAAATCATAAAGGATGCAAAGACAGAAAGAGAAAGCACAAATAAATCTAAAAATAATGAAAATTCAAGAAATGCGAAACCCAGCACTGGCAGGCAGAATAATAGCAAATGCTCTGCACCAAAAAGTTTAGAAAGTAGAAAGAAAAAGACACCCTTTTTGGGCGCATCTTCTGCAGAAGGAATGGATGAAATTGATTGCTTGTTTTCTGGAGTTAGTCTAAATTCTTATAATCCTGTGCAGGAAAAGAATGATGTGTTTACCTCGGGAACTATTCTCGTGTTTCTCTCTGGTTTGGAGGATATTGAAGATCTTTACAAAATGCTTGAGGTGCATTCTGGAATAGAGCTTCTAAAACTACACTCTTCACTTCCTGATAAAGAGCAGCAGCTGATATTCACCCAAAGACAGAAGAGTATTCGGGTTATACTCTCTACAAACATCGCAGAGACAAGTCTGACTATAGAAGATGTAAAGTGGGTTGTAGACGCAGGCGTTCAGAAGACAAATCTATCAAAGGAGGGGGTAGATACTCTAGGAATAATTAAAATATCTAAGTCGGCTGCCAAGCAGAGGTCTGGAAGAGCTGGCCGAGTTGGTCCTGGTGTATGCTATCGGCTGTACACAGAAGAAGCATATAACGGCCTGCAGGAGAACAACATACCAGAAATTCTTCGGGCTGACATCTCCTCTGTCACACTTTCTTTAATTGCTCTCGATGCAGATCCAGAGAAGTTTGATTTTTTAGAGTCTCCCGGAGAGAACTCCATTCTTTCAGCACTTTCAGAGCTTTTTATTCTTGGTCTGATTAGTGACAAGAAGAAGATTACTGCGCTAGGAAAGGAAGTGAGCAAACTGCCGCTTTCTCCATCACTGGGTAAGTTTTTGATTCATGGGAAGTCTCTTGGCGCTGGTTGCTCGGCGGCGGCGGTGTGCTCTCTTCTTTCTGGAGAAAGAATATCTTTATTTCCTAAAGATATAGACACATCTTCTATTATTAGTGTGCACGAGTCTCCTACCAAATGCTCTGATTTGTCTCTGTATGCCAGTGTGTTTTTTACATATTTTAAGTACTCACCCAGGCTGCGAAAGGACTTTTGCCAGTCACTGAAGATATCTCAGCAGGAAATGAAGAACAGTGAGAATATTTATAGACAGCTATTGTCTTTAATGAAAATAGAGAGTAATGCAGTGGATGAAGAGACAGAAAAGGAGGAAACTGGGTATGGCTGCACTCCATTGAAGAAAAATACTGCAGATAAATTACATGCAGCTGCATCTGCAGGATTCCTAATCAGAGTGGCTGAAGCAAAGGGCAATGGGTATGTTCACATGTACTCAGAAAGAATGGTTTACATTCATCCTAGCTCCGTTATGTTTGCTCGACGAGAAGGCCTGGTGTCGTTTATTATAACATCAGAGACAGCAAAGCCATATATCCTGCATGTATTCCCATACACGCCAAATATACTAATGGCAGATGGTGGAATAGTCCTATAGCCTAAAAATCCTTGCATCACTGGGTCTACTCATATACTAATTATTATACAGTAAATATGCCACTTAACATATATTTAGTGTCTCTTGTTTGTTCTTTGTAAATGGTGTGTTGTTTATTACATTATATGCCGCATATATTACAACATATATGTAAATTTTATATTATTTCCAAATATTTAGTTGATTGCTGAAAATAAACATGCATCTGTACAATTTTACTTTTTTCCTATCGGTAGGATTGATTTCTAGCAGAGTTATTGGGGCCTTCCATATATACACTGGTTTCAGTTGTTTTTGTAATTTGTTTGGTTTTGCTGTTTATGATTATTTATTAAACTCTTCATTTTCCCTATTTTCTGAATACTTTTATTTTTTCCTTTAATTGTATATTTAAGAATAAATATTATACATAATAAATAAAAATAGCAGAAATTATAATATTAACAGATGAATCACAATAAAATGCAATATTTAGAGCACTCCAACGAACTAACAAAATCTCAGGTATATTGTGTGTAGTAAAGTGACAATTGTACGGCAAATACCTTTTTAATAGACTAGAATAGACCACAAATAAGCTGGAAGCAAGCAGCCCATCTATTTATCTCAGCGGTATTTAATGTGCTTTTGCTATATGGTGGCGTACTAGACAATTAGTATAATTATAGATAGTTTATTGTTGATTTATTGTTCGTACTAATCAGACCTCAGTGGATACTCCTCTCGTGTGATGCCGTCCTTCTTTATTACGTACACCTCTAACCCGTCTCCTGTTTTTACATCAGTTTCAGCTACGCTGTTAAAAACATCTTTTACCAAAGAAATAACTTCTTCCTCTGTGCACACATAATCCTTTCCTTCCTCACAGTGCCAGTTCTTCCGAGTAATCCATGAGTCAAGCATTGGCTGCAGCATGGTTGTTCCAGATCCATTGCATCTGCACGGAGTTTCCTGGTATGAACCAACTGGGTCATATGAAAATATTTTTGGCTTCTCCTCTTCATTGAACCCAACTAAGCAGCAGTATGTAAACTTGGGAAAGAATCTGTGCTTATACAAAAGAACATGGAGAAGAGCGGCAGCCTGCTCTATACCCATCTTTTTGTTATATTTAAACTGATATTTATCTATTTGATATGCTAGTTCAGTGTAGACAAACCTGGAGTCTGCATAAAACCCAGTTGTGCTCAGAATGAATCTACCGTCAAGACAGAATGACTTTGTTGCGTGCCGGGTGTTAATATTGTACGGTGCCGAGTGCCGAGTATCTGAAGCCACCACACAGAAATCAGCTCCAATAATTGACAAGCTGGTTCCAGAGTTGTCGCCATATAAATCGTCACCTCCTCCGCATTTAATTACTCCTGCTCTGTTTAGTTCGGTCTCTGGTATATCTTCTGGTGCCTTCTCTTTATATGCAAACATAAATATTAAAAACACAGAAAGCAGGAATAAATAAATTGTAAAACTATTTGGAAAAGTGAAAGATCAAATACGCACGCATACCTAACACTTTACACAAATAACGAACACTTACCAAAAATCCAGTGTATAAAATAGTATTATATTAAATGAAACAACTAGCACATTTACAAACACTCACCAAGATATAACTATAAATTATACGCATATGAATAGATTGAGGGATGCATCGATTAGAGCCTATGCACAAGAGAGCAAAAACCGGCCGACCTAATTTTTTAGCTATACTTGAAATTAATCCAAAAGCAGAGCAGCATTGTCCTTTAAACAATAAATGGTGTGGTTATTGTCTTTTTGTAGGTGCATATTGTGTGCATCCGGATAGATTCTTTTTTTTATTTTGTGCACTCTTTCAGATACAACTTTGGGCATTTTGGAGCTTCGAGTTATCGGGTTTATTTTTCTAATTTTAAGAGTTTTTATTTGTGGACCAGAAAATGAGCGAGAAAAAGTTTGAGATTGCCTTGGAAAGACAGCTGGAGTTATTTAGAACGGCCACAGACTGGTCAGATTTAGTAGCATACTTAACAGGGCTAGAAGGTATTTTAAGAGTAAATAAGTACACACGCATTCCTAAACCGCACATGTTATACAGAAGATTAAACCAATGTCTTAATCCTGCGCTCCCAGCAGGTGTTCACATGAAGGCTCTTGGTGTGTACAAAATTGTAATGTCTAAAGTGTCAAAGGAGCATTTGTTGAAGGAGATTAACATTCTTACACTCGGTCTATTCAGTTTTTATTCACACGCAAGCCTAACAAGTATTTCTAGCTACCTAGACGTGATCAAGCAAATTATTGAGGTGCTGGAAGACAAGACCATAAGAATATGCAAAAACCTTATTCTGGGGGTGATTATGGGGCTGGAAGAAGACAACAGCGAGCAATATGGAATGACACTTCGTGTGTTAACCGTGCTAGAAGAGAAAGTAGGAGCGGCGACTGTTCTAGAAAAGACCTGGGAGGTAATGGGGCAGTGTACAGAGTTAGTTCCAGGGTGTCTAATGTACATTTTAAAGATGGATGGGGGATTAGAAATAATGAAAAACAAAACAGACCTTTTAAGTAAAGGGTTTGTATCTGCTTTACAGTCAAAGGAAATAATCACTCTTAGAAAAGGATTTGACCTGCTCCTAAGCTACAAAAACGATGGGTTAAACATACATTTAAACAGCGGCATGGTTTCTGTTGGGGTTTTAAAGCTTCTTCTTCTAAAGGAGATATCTCTACTAAAAAGGGTACAGATATGGATCACCCATCTAATAAACCACCCTAGTGGAACAAACCAACTATTTATTTCATTGTGCCAGATCTTTGATGAATCGCCAGCAGCGTACTTCAAAATACTCATGGCAATACGGCAAAATATAGAAGAAGCCCCAAAAATATTTGAAAGGTCTATTGTGTGGATTCTTTCTACGGTAGATGCAAAGACTAAAATGCATGCGCAGTCTTTTTTAAAGATACTTGACAGAAGAATTGTTTGGAGAATTATTCTAGAAAGGCCTTTAAGCACAGACTTAGTCAACAAAGCAATAAACTATGAGCTAATAGATGAGCAGACACAGTCATATGAGCTGCCCATTCTTATTTCAAAGTATTTACAAAATGACGTATATCCATATGAGTGGATAAGTATTATACGCCCCACGCCAGCAGCATACAAAGAAATATGGAGAGACATTCAAAAACACTTGGAAAGTAGCAAGAATCCTCTGCAAATAATTATATTCTTTCTGTCCATACCGGTGACTACAGACTTACTTAGTACGTATACAGAAGTGGTTGGGACGGTTAGTAAGATATTTGTTAAATACTGGAGGCAGCAGAATTTAGGGAAAAATATTCATGCAGAGATAACAACCGCGCTGACAAAGATCGTTGTGCACTATGAGTTGTCGGGCAGTGACTCTATTTTGCTTTATGATACTGCAATAAAGTATCCGGATATATTTTGGCAGTACGATGAGCTCTTTTCGGGCAAGCTGCAGGATATTCTTATACAAAGAGTGATATATCAAAAGGACAAAGTCAGGCAGTCTCTAGATGGATCGAAAGAGCTTAATTTGGTCTTTGATTTGGTTAGTCACTGCAACTATAAAAAGATAAACATTAATCTGATTATCTTTCTGGTTTCATTCTGTAATTCGCCAAATTACCTTACTAGAGAGTGCGCAAAGACATTCTGTAGAAAGGTAGGACAGCATGCAGACATATTCAAAAAAATTATAGAAGGGCTGAACTATCCGCCAGAGCGGTCTCTCCATGAGAAAGTGTGTATAGTGGATTGCGATTATAACAGAGTTTTATTTGGGCTTCATACGCTGAATAATATGCTGGGGTGTTCTAGCAGCTTTCATATATTTCTGCAGGAGAACCAGAATATATTACCAGAGGCTTCTGGAGTATCTGGTTTAATAGAGGTTTATATTGAAGAAGGAGAGAAATCCGGACTCGCAGATCTAGTATGCCTATTGTTTATGTACTGCACTGCAGAGTATCAGAGCTCAGAATTTATGGGGGCTATATACTCTGCAAATAAGACAACAAATGAATTCATTCTATGCTATATTCGGGAAATACGAGAAACTTCTGTTAAAATACTTAGAAGCATTCTTTGTTCAGAGACTATTGAATTCTGGCCGGTGATACACCAGAGTGTACTGACTTCTCTTCTGCACAGCGCAGTGACTGAGCAGAGCATTTCATATGCTCTTGATGTGTTTCTGCGGCTATCCAAGAGTGAGTATATTGATTCAGTAGTGAATATGTTTTTAACGGCCAAATCTATCAGAATGGCTCTTATAACATACTGTGTAAAAGAAAAAAGAGCAGACATACTTTTATCTTTGCTTAAAACATCTACAGACCTTATAGAAGAAATAGTGAATGCTGAAAGTGCAGGCCGAACGGAATGTAACATGCGCCATGTTGAGTATATACTACAACACTGTGTATATATGGACTCTGCCGGGGTGAAAAGCACATGCTCGCTAACAGACATTATACCAATGATTAGTGAAGGCCGCAGAAAAGTATGCTTCTGCGGAATTGTTTATTCAGAGATATTTACCGACCAAGATATAGGTGTTGTGGCGGCTATACTGCTTAAGCTATATGCTATATTCAGTGATAGGCTAGGCAGCCTACGAGTTCAAGAAAAAGAGATAAACAGTGCTTTGGAATACGAATATGAGAACAATTTGGAGGTTATTTCTAGGTATGTTTTTGCAATTCACACAAAGTATAAAAGCATTCTTGTAGAAGCAGTTTTGGAGGAATATATCACAACCAAAAGGATTGATTTTATTTCTGCCATTCATAAAACCATTGAGCTAGATGTATTTTTAGGGCTTCTGGGGAGCGATCTTAGAGGAAAGTATCAGCTTTTGCAGAAATGGACATTATACACAGAAAACAGGCTAATATTTATATCAACCCAGGTGCACACCCACATTTCCACAATACTTTCTCAGATAAAAATGTATCCTAAAGTAAGCGATTTGTTGTGGTTCTGCATGGATTATCTAAAGCTTGTTGGGGCGAGCGCAGGAACTATTCTAGGAAACAAGATTCTAGATGGATGTGTTGTATTTTCTGGGAAGCTAGGTCTGAAAAAGACAATTATTGATAGAATTGATCATTCATCTGATTTGCTTGAGCTTTTAAACATTATTGGCTCTGTTATAATGACTGCTGTGGAAAAGGAGTACTCTCTTGATGTAATTTCTGTTTGGAACGCATTAATAGTTCCCTGCTTCAAATTCAACTCAGTAAACAGTCTTTATACCAAAGCGCTGGAAATCACAAAATACTTAGTAAAACTGCCCGAATGCAAGATATGCAAGAAAGAGTTCTTTGAGTATATTCAGGGAGAAAGATTCTTCAAAGACACGCTTGAAAATATTCGGATTAAGGTAGATATTGGAGCACAGTTAGTGGACTGTGAGAAAGTATTTGACTTAGTAATCAGGGCAAACACAACAAGTTTTTTTATACGAGAGTCAGATATTTTATTCCGTGCATCTTTAATTAAAAGGGTCAGATATATGATTCTGTGTGCACCTTCGGGGGAGTATGTTGAAAACCTTCCTGGAATATTCAGTTTGATTAGTGAAATATTTGCAGTATCCAGCGGGTGCAAAGCTTTGCTTGTAGAAATATTCTCTCTCTGCCGGGTGCTGTGCATAAAGATGCCGGTGGACACTCTCATAAACATGTGGCCAATATCAGTAAGCGAGGCAATTGACACTCTTTCCTTAAATGCGCTCTCTAATGGGAATAGGTCGATTGCATACTCTGCTTTGCAGTTTTTAGACCTGGTTGCATCTTTGAACTATCCTGAGCTCATTGAGTTCCGGTGGCTTGTTGAAAATCTCCCCAGCACACTAGGCATGGACTATGAACCAGAAGAGGGGCAGAGCGAGACTATTTCAAAGTTTACTATAACGCACAGAATTCCATACATCTCTACACTTTCAGAGAAAAACAACATGCCGCTTGACGAAATGATAATACAAGTGGCGCTTCACCATATAAAGCAGAGGAACTGTGTAAATATGGACTCTACAGCAATAATGGACTCTGTGGTGAATGGTCTTCCAGAGTTATAGTTTACAGAAATCCAAAAAACACTTCTCAGATTAGTGTAAATTCCGCCTTAGCATAAATAAAGAATTAAACAATAATATATTATGGCTTCATTAGTTATATTCTTCCTGCACATAATGGCGCATGCATCTTTGGGTTTTTATATAGCATGATATTTGTCTACTAATTAGTTCAAATGGCATGGCCATAATTTTAGTAGATTTCTATATTCTGATTTGCTCTTCTGTTGTGGCTGGATTCTCTTGCAATTTTCAGGTTATATATTTAGAAGAGAGGCTTGATACTTGATTATTTTTCTGCACAACGTGTAAATTATATCAAATAAGAGTCTTTATTTAAGCAGGTAGTCTGGTTTTTATAGCAAATCTAGACTATTTCTTTTCCTTTTCTGGCACATCTTCTTTTTCTTTTATGGCTTGCTTTGATTGTGGGCGCATTGTTGGGAAGAAAAGTACATCCCTAATGTTCTGTGCACCGGTTAGCATCATGACTAGTCTATCTATTCCAATTCCCCAACCTCCTGCTGGTGGAAGGCCATATTCCATTGCAGTGCAGAAGTCTTCATCAATTTCTTGGGCTTCATCATCCCCAGCACTCTTATCTTGTGCCTGCTGCTCAAATCTTCTTCTTTGATCGAATGGATCGTTCAGCTCCGTGTATGCATTGCAGACTTCTTTTCCTAGAATGAACAGCTCAAATCTTTCTGTGATGTTCTTTCTGCTTCTATGCTCTTTTGCAAGTGGAGACATTATCTTTGGATGATTCATCAAGAAAGTTGGGTTGTTACACTCGCTTTCTAAATACTCGCCTACCAGCTTATCAAGAAGTCTGCTGGTGGTTCTAGGATTGTTACATCTGATGTTATTCTTACGGCACAGATCATCAAGCAAGAGCCTTCCTTCTTCTGTCTCTAGAATATCTCCAGTTATCTCTACACCTAGCTTCTTTGATAGCTCTCCTAGAATGTCTACTCTCTTAAATGGAGTTGTAAAGTCTATTCTTATTTTCTTGGCATCTGCGCTATCAGAGCCATCTGCGTTTCCTTGTGCGGTGTATTCAATTATCTTCGTTCCAAATATCTCCATGACCATCTGGCTGAGCATTTCCTCAGTTATCTGGAGAACGTCATTGTAGTCTGCATAGGACATATAAAACTCGCAGGTAGTAAACTCTGGATTGTGAGTGGCATCAATTCCTTCATTTCTGAACTGCCTTCCAATTTCATATACACGAGGTATTCCTCCTATTAAAAGAGTTTTTAAGTGAAGCTCTGGTGATATTCTTAAACTTAAGTCCATGTTCATCTCGTTTAGCTTTGTGGTAAACGGTTTTGCAGCAGCCCCTCCTGGGATAATGTGCATCATTGGGGTTTCTACCTCCATGAAGTCTTTGCTGTCCAGGAATTTTCTTATAAAGCTAATGATTTTGTTACGTGCCACAAATCGGTCCAAGCTGTTTTTGTTCAGCACCAAGTCTAGATATCTCTGCCTGTATCGTAGCTCTGTTTCCTTTAGCCCATAGTGCACTGTAGGATAAATGTGCAGACATGGAGAAAGAACCCGCATATTGTTGCTCAGAACACTCAGCTCTCCCTTCTTGCTGTACCCAATAGCTCCTTCTACACCTACTATGTCTCCTCTAAAGACTTCTTTACACTTGTCTTTATATATAATTTGCATAGAAAGACCGCCTGACTCTATCCGTATAAAAGATATTTTTCCTATTGATCTAATAGCAAGAACTCTTCCAGCAGTTGTTATACGCTTTGTGGCATACTCGCTTTTATCTATGTTTTCAGGCGTAAGCTTGTTTTCTTCAACCACTCGAATAATCTCTTTAATTGGCATGCTTTCCTTAAAGTCGTATGGGTATAGCAACTCTCCTGCAGCTGCTTTGCTTTCTAGATATTTATATCTACTGGTTTCTTCTTTCATTTACAGGATATAAAAAAATAAATTATTTATAGCATGAAGAATACATCTGTATAAATAATTACATAAAATAACTTAATAAAATAGAAATATACGGCGCTGCCATTATATACAGATGATCTGTTCTACTGAATCATTATATACGCAACTTTCTAGTTATATTCCCCGAGTTTGTTAATTTCTTTGTTTTGAGAATATTTAGTATATATTTGGCAATTTTATTCTACTGTAGAATCAATTACTATTTTTATTTTAAAAAACGAAAAGGCGCTTAAATGGCAATATCACTACAGAGTATACTAGACAGTTTAAATATAAATAAAATATGTGAGTTGGTTCGCTCCTGGGCAAACATATTTATCAACTTAGTCATGTTTTGTCTGGCCAAATTCAGTGGGCTAATAAATAAGTTCTTTTTAGAGCCTAGAAACAATGTATTTGAATAAAATATATATATGCAGCTAGTAATCATTCTCTTCTACCCAGAAAATAAAATATAACCCAAATATTTCTCATATATTATGCCTGGCACTCATTATATTGTGATAAGAAATTTATACTTAAATATTTCTTAGAAGATTTAGCATATCTTAATTAACTCCTGTATACATCTATATACTTCTTTATATAATCTGAAGATAAGTCTGAATTGGGTATGTTCTTTATTGAATGTGTTCTGCAGGGGTTTAAATATTTCCTTAAATATAGAAATCCTAAATATTATATGCTGTGACATAATGTTCTATATTAATATGTCATAAAAATTATATTATATCTGAATAATAAAGAATTGTTTTTTCTTAATAATATTTATTAATAGTGAATTTCTCTATTCTAAGTATTTGTATATTAATAAGTATCCGATAGTATTTATTAGATAAATTGTATTTATTTGAGTTAATATAACTTAATAAGTTATTAAACATGTAAGGCATAAATAATATTTTAATTTTAATAAAGAATGCATAGTTCATAAAATATACTGTGCTATTCTGTTCTATCTATATCAAAGAAATAGGACATATTGTTAGAGCCAATCTTTTCTTTAATCTTTTCTATAAATAGATCTAAAATTAGTGAGCGATCTTTGCAATGTGAAGAGATTCTTATTATTGAGTGAAAGAATTCCTTAACACTTGTTTCAATCTCGTCATTATTAGATTTATCGCGCTGTTTCATTATTAAGGATGTGATTTCATCAATGTAATAAAATGTGGTTCTGTTTTTAGTAAGTGTATTGAAAAAATCCACCTGTTCTTCCTTAGCGACAGTGGAGAGCATAGTTCGTATATAGCCTACGTTATACTTTTTATCTAAGATTAAGTATCCACGAAGCAAAGCATAAATGCCTTTTTCGGCTTTCACGCTTTTTGATGCATAAATAAGTATTTGGTCTACTACATCACTAAAACACTCTTTTATCTGACATTCAGGTATGGATAACTCTACATTATTGAAATAAGATTTAGATGCCTTTCCTATCATAATAAGAAAGCACAGAACCTTTGAATTCGCATTAGGAGCAAATTTCGTGCTTTGAAGTAGATTCTCAGCAAATCTAACAATACAATTGTTTTTTGGGAGATTATAGCAAAAGGCATAATATATCAAAAAAATCATTAAATCGGTTCTATAGCAGGAATTCTGTAGCTGTCTGGTTGTCATAAAACATAGAATGCCTGCATTCAGAGAATTTTTGGAGTTTAGCTCGGCGGAATTAATAAATGTTTGAACTATTTTCTTTTCAGATGTAGTTTGTATAGCGGATTCAATGTAGCTCCGAAGCATGTGCTCTGCTAGTGTGTTTTTCAGGTTTTCAAAAACCTTTTCTAACTCATTAAGAAACCCATTATGCGCGCCTAAAGGAATACCATTATTTGGAAGGCTGGGAATATCGTTTTCTGGAAGTCTCGTATCAGATGGATTTTTTATATTAATTAATATGGATTTCTTAATTTTATATGCAAAATATTTCAATTTAAGATAGCCATATACATCTATTTTCTTCTGGCTGGCATGGCCCTTTTTGGGGTGTATTAACTCTACATTAATGAATTCTATGTGCGGGCACGCTCGTTTAAAAATGTCATAACTAACATCCTCAAGCGATTTAACCAGATCACAGCTTATTGGATTATCTATACCAGATTCATTGATCTTCTTTTCTATAGTGTCTATTTGGGCCAATCGCTTGAATTTTCCCATGATGCACAGTATAGTCTGAATCATACTTATTAATCCTGGTAGAATAGTTAAATCACCCTTGCCAACACCAATTTCTTTAAAATTGAGTTGATTTATAATTAATTCCTTCCAATCATCTAATATAGGCTCTGATGGTATTTGTAGATCTTCTTCTGAGTGTTTTTCAAAAAAATTAACTATTGGCTCTGGTAATATTGCTAATTTTTGCTTGAAATTTTTCTGTTTCTGGTATGATTCGTATATAAGCAGACTAAATACCTTTAACAAAACAGCCTCTGTATAATATTTTTTTATAAATTCCTCCTCTTTTTTAATAGCCAATGTTCTTACGTCTATAATACCCCCTTCATATGCAGATATATTTTGTTTTAACCTAATATATAGGGCCGCGCAGTCTACTCCAATATATGTAAGATTATTTTCCTCATTAGGGATGAAATACTTATCTAAAATATAATATAGACAAGTTATTTCATCTTTCAAACTCTGTTTTTTTTGTTCTTGCTCTTGCTCTTTTCTTTTTATAAGACTACACAGCATGTCATGGACTATACTAACAAACTTTTCTATATCATCCGCCTTGGTAATGTACTCGTATATATATGCCTGTATAAGAAATTGCGGGTTGTTTAAAAATCCACCTGCTTGGAACTCTGTATATGAAGTTGGCATAGGCGGTACTTTTGCTTTAATAAAACTGGATTTCTTATAGCAATTTATGAATAAGTCAATTACATTAGCTATCTCAGAATAATAAGAATATTGCTTCTCACAGATTTTTCTTTTTTTTTAAGTGGCTCATCATAAATACTTTCTTTTAGGTTTATGTCTATACCAATAACACTATCACCAATTGTAATCTCATCCAGTTTAAAAAACACCTCACTATCATTAGAATTTATAGTTACTGGAACGTCTATTCCCTCCGATAGAAGAAGTAAAGAGGCAAGAATATACATAGATTTTTGTTTTGTTAATCCATTCTCTAAAAAGTCCAAAAATGATTTTCTTTTACTGCTGCGTATGCTTAAAATGTTGTTTTCTGATGGAAACATTATAATAAGTGCCCTATGGTAACTATTCATATAACTCTGAAAATTATATTTGTGCGATGATAGATTAGAACAAAGCGTATCCATCTCCCGTTCTGCTTTACAAGAACAGTTTTTTTCTAATAGATTTAGGCCAGATATCTTTAATTTGCTATGTGGTTCTATTTCTATTGCCAGAAGTCTTTTATTCAGTGTAAGTTTGTTTTCATTAAACAACTTTCGATTTAGAAAATCTAATGGCCCAAGTGGTCTAATTACCATACTCTTTATTATGCTCTTAATGCTATAGTTATATATGTTTTCTATTTTATCGAATGCAGCTATTTCCGCCACACAGAACAAAATAAGCAATGCCCGCTCTACTATACTCTTGCGCGTAAATCTTCTTATAGAAGTATATGTTTTATAGTGTGCTCGGCATTTTATCGAGAAATTTTTATCCGTATCTGTTATAAGCATGTGTTTTAAAATATGAACTATTTTCATTAAATAATTCATAAAAAGATCCTTTTTTAATTTACCAATTCATATAACCCAAAATTGCTTTGTTGTACATAATTTAAGCATTAGTTCATTCTATTTGCATAAAATATGAATATAGTTAGTGTCTCTAACGTGCTCACGGGGAGGCACCGTCACCGCCCGGATAGCATAGTTCAAGATAGATAGAGATAGTATTGATGGATGCTCTTTATTATGATTATTGGGATGTGGGGGTGCGCGCGGATGCGGAGTCCTTGTGGCGCTACTGACGCTGAGCCATGTAGTAAATGTTTTCCGTGGTTCTCCCATGATTTGTTTGGATGCTTGCCACTTATATAGTCCAAAGTTGATCTGTGATTATTAAACCTTGTCCTTTTGTCGAGGTGGGATCACCGCGCTAATAGGCGCATTGGAAGATCGGTATCGGGCATGCGCGCTTGAGTGGTGGTGTCACCACAGTCTCTATAATGGTTTTTGATCTATTTAAAATTAATTAATACTTCACTAAATCATTTTTTAGTGCATAAATAATTCTAAGTAAACCTGCATTCTTTTATTAAATTCATAAAATAATAGGCTAACTATTATACATAAAATATATTTTTCTATTCTCTAATAAAAATATATAATGCATGGTATAATATAAAATGTATTAGAATACTTGAAAAATATCCTTATAATGCAGTCTAGAGTAAAATACAGTGTTAATGTAAATCTTTGGCTACTAATACTTACCCACAATCTGCTGTTTCTATTCTAAATAATTTAAATTTTACTTCTCATTTTATAATATGTTATATATATTATATTGGTTTCCAATCATTTTATGCATTCATAGAAAATAGCGTCTAATTAAGCATGCATAGGCAGCATTCCACGCATAACTATGCGACTTTTTCTCTTTTCACTTGAATTATGATCTATGCTAATTTTAGTGAATATTTCTGTTTATTCAGTTTTTTTTCTCTTTATTCTTTTTATTTTTACATCCCGGTTAGTTAAAAATGACAAAGGGAACAACAAGTTTTGGTAAGAGAAATAAGAGAAATCACATTCAGTGTATTAGATGTGGTAACGAGTCATATCACAAACAGAAGCACAGTTGTTCAAGCTGTGCATACCCAGAAAGAAGATGGAGAAACCCAGGATCACCAAAAGCACAAGGAAGAAGAGCACAAGGAACTGGTAGAATGAGACACTTGAAAAAATACATGAAGATTAACCAGAGAAGATCAATTGCAGCCAACACTCTTTAATAAATCATAGTTTACTAATTCTTATAACCCAAATATAATAGAAATTGAAGTTTAGAGCCAAGATTGGTTGGTAGAAATATATTTGCTATAACGACCAAAACTATTCAAATTTGCAACTCTGTAATAAGAGTATTTGCTGTTAGCATACTTTACTTTCTTTAGCAACTCATGTAATTGTATTTAGTTTTTCGTGCATTTCAGAACATGTGGCAGGGCATACTCGTATGGTGTTTTCTTCGATAGAATGGAGTGTTTATTAAATTTATTTAATAATTCTCTAGAACAACTTATATTTATTTTTCATACTATGTAGTAACTATTCTTCATAAAAATAATTTATAAAACTAAGAATATTTTTTCAAAGAGTATTTCTTTGAATCATCAGAAAACTTATACAATAACCCGAAAATAATTATACATAATGGCATGAATAGTACTCTATTTTAAGCGCATAGCCTAATATATGGCTTAATGCAAGAAATCGTACTTGTTCTAACTGTTGTGTGCTAAGAATAGCATTGGTTTAGCGTGGCATGAGTTATTGTAATATTTACATAAACATGACAGCACAGATTAGATCAGAAATTATTGTTGGCACAACAAGTCAACATAAATTAAATTGATTATACGGTTTATAAATACGTATACAAATTCAATAAAAGCCAAAGTTTAAGAATGCCTTTTCCTAAGAAAACAACTCTAACCATTAATATATGCATTTGTGATATGTAGTAATGTAATAGCTCTTTAATATCATTAATTGTTAACTTGACTACCTGCAATTATGTTATTATGACTGTATTTTATTTAAATTTTTGCTTCTTATTAATTTAACTACTTATAAAGTAGAATAAATAAAATTGACTATAAATAATATAATTCCTTACTTTATTTTTAATATAACCTACAGTATATTTCGAGCTATTCTGATTTTTTTATAAATTACTAACCACATACGAATTTAAACTGTTTACTGTGATTACATAAGTAACAAACCAAAGGAAGAAAAGCTATGTAGATAATTATATTTATATTACCATAGTGTTTAACTTTGACCGTATTTATACTAAGTTGTAAAATATTCACACCATGCATATATATTTAATACTACTTGTGTCTATTTAAACCCACTATATACTGCACACTGTTGTGTTCCTATAGTATAATTCTAGGATGGTTTGTCTATTGGTGTTCTTTAGCAAAGTATTTGCTTATTATACCATGTGACTATTTTATTTTTATTTATATAAGAATGAAATTGAATAAATTATAAGGGGTACATATTTGAAAATTTAAATGTGTACATTTTATTTTAATAATTATATTAAACTTAATCCTAGAAATAGCCAGAAGCACTGAAGATAGAAAATTGTGCTAGTTAAAGAGATACCACTCATTCGATAGCAAATATACCATAGTTTGTTTCGACTTATACAACCTTAACTTATATTCTTTAATTTATTTATAGAATAAAATTAATAGGCTGCCAATAAATATAATACTCATAGCATATGAGAAGTTATACCAATTTCCATTGAATATAATAGAATGGATGAAACAATTAGTAATTTTATTGAAGTATTTTACATTCAAGAATTTATATTTGTTTCTCTTAATTACATATATTCTTAGAATACCCATGAAATGCTATATAACAGGAAGAATTATTTGAAAAATAGAGATATACTTCTACTAAAAATAGTGTATTTTAGATTTCTACTAAATGTGACTTGCTATTATGTGAAAGTTTTCTTCTATTTATAAAATAGTCATTGCACTTAGTTCAGCTAATAAACTAGAAATAAAGAAGCATGCAATTTGAAATGCATCAAGTAGACATAAATTATCTGTTCAACATGTTCTAATTGTGTACATATACGAGAATATTGAATAAATACATGTCTTACTTCAAAGTGCATCTTAAACAGAGTTACTATAAAAGGCAATTTTAAGTGATTTCTGAATTATATTATGTTGGTTTCTATCGTAGGAGAGGAACCATATCTCATGTGGGAGCCTCACGCCCACATCCGCGAAGTCTTATAGAGTTGCATAATTGGAAATTGAAACTATATAAGATAAGAATAATAAAAAATTGGCATGAGTTTTAATAATGCACAAGGGAATAACCAACTTATCATACTCTAAATTATACAGAAATTAAAGATACAAGTTCAAATTTTTAGAGCCCCATATAGTTTTATACAGTCTTATGGTGCTAGCTGAAACTCTATGGCATATTATGCCATGCAGGCGCCTGTAACAATGATTTTAAATGAGCCAGCTCTTTGTGATTTGCTAAATATTTAAATTTCTTATTAAGTGTAATATTATAGTACACAGCTCGAAATTTTTGCATAAAAATATCCGTTAATTATTATCTTCTGGCCTGCTGCTTGGACCCCCTATATTTTAATTATTTATTTGTTCTTTCCTCTCGGAGTATTTTCATCTTTTATAAAACCAATTGTTTTTCTGCTTTCTTTCATTGGAGCAACCAATTAAATCTGTAACCCGCATATATTTAATGAAACTACACAAAAATAAAAAGACAAAATGAAAGCGGAAGCAAAGGGCTATGCAGAGCCAAATGACACTAAAAGATCCAGAATAGAAAATAGAAGAGTTTCGAAAGAGGCATTGGAGTTAAAAACAATACAGCCAGCACAAAAACAGTCTAACGACATAGATAAGTCAATAGAGCTAAAGGACATTCTAGTTCTGTGCACAGCAGAGAAGATTAACATTATAAAGCTATTTGGATTCTTAAAAGAAAGAGCAACATACCCAGATATAAATATATACTTCAGAGAATGCATTCATATAATGACTAATGAGCCAAATGGAAAAGGAGACATATTTATATTCAGATATGGAGTGGTTGTATTCTGGGGGATAAGTGAAGAGTCACGAGATAAAATACTTGCACACCAGCAGTTCTTTGAAGAAAAGAGCTATAGCAAGGAGTTGGTTGAGAGAGAAGACTTTAGATATGGAATAGTTAGAGAGGGCGCATCTATTATTAACGATGTGATCTATTTGGACAACGAAACTGTCTATAACAAAATGATTATTTCTAATGCACTTGCCCAGAGTACTAAACTTGATGTCTTTGAGAGGCATGCAGAAAGAACTATTGAAAGCGTAAGAGGTCTTCCAGATGAAATAGTTGCAAAGGGGTTTACCACTCGAAAAAGAGAAGAGGTGGTCAAACTAATTGGAGTATTGCATAGACTAAAGTTCAACTTGAACTTGTCTACAAATATCTTAGATACTCCAGAAATTCTGTGGTACTACCCAAATTATACCTCTTTATATGAAAGCTTCAAGCTCTACCTAGAGCTGAAGAGTAGAACAGAAATTGTAAATCAGAAATGTGATGTGATCCATGAAATACTAACCCTCTTATCAACGCATATTAACACAATGAGCGGTGAAAGGCTGGAAAAAATTATTATTATACTCATAACTCTGGAAATAGGGATAGGCCTAGTTTCAATGTATTTCAACTGGGCAAAATAAGAATATACCTAGTCTAACATGTTAGTACTGCATGAAATTATTACTACATGCAGAAATAGATATATCAGCTGCCCTATACACATTGCAATATATACTTCAACACAGACATAACTCAGAGTTATAATGCATGGATTAGTTACTACATGCTATTTTCATATCTACATGACTCCATATAGTATTATATACGCAGGTACTATGCTTCAGTAGAAATGCAGACTGTGTATTATTAAAGATATACCCCGAAATAAATGCATTTTATCTTATCCTTGTCTATAATTCCTTACATACAACAATTGAGTGCATTAACCACCTGCCGTTAGCACTACATTCTATAATTTAAATAAAGAAAGAGTTACTTATAATTCACATTTAATTAATTAAAACTTGCCTGGCTTAAATACTCGACTTATTTACCTAATTGGTTATAAAGCACCAAATGTGTGCTGTTGTTTACTAAATTCTTAAACTGATTACATACTTGAAAAAATCTCATCTGCATTATTTGCAATAAAACTATCAAATAACTCAAGCATCCAATTAGTTGATAGCTTTATTTTCTTTTTGGTGTCTGCAGATGCTCCGGCAGGCTCTCCCATGCGCCTCTTCATTGGTTGGTCTTCGTCCCCAATTCCTTTAAAAAACCCACCCGGTGCATTTTTGACAATTTCTTCTGCAGTCTTAAGAAAGGTTATTCTTTTTCTTAAGTCATTATCCCAGGCCATCTTTGGCGAGCTTCTGGGCTGCTCTGCTTTTAGCATATTTAGAAACTTTAATGCTTCTCTAGAGTCGTAGAAGCGGATAATATTCTCCTTTCCTTTCTTTATGCTATCAATTACGTCTGACTCCTGTGTTGGTTTAAACTCTTCTGCTGCAGTATATACCACAGTGCCTTGGTTTTTATCTTCTGTGCAGCTGTCTGCTCCCTTAGGCACTTCTCGCTGGGATATCGTATACTTCACTACAAAGTTGTTCTTTTCTCCTGTAAGCAGAGCATGCGCCTTTTGGGCTGCTCTTAAGTCATAAAATGAAACAAAAAAGACTGAATGCTTACTGTTCATGATAAAGTGCTCTCGTACAGGCCCTGCTGCTTTGCACGTGCGGAGCAGGTCACTATGCGACACAGTTTTGGGAAAGTTCGTAATAAGAATAGTTCGCGTAATGTTTTCTTCCATATGCTTTGAAATAATTTGCAGAGAATTTCTTTTAACCAATGGCACAACACACATACGATGACTCAATAAAATCTGCAGTAGAAAAGTCAATTATTCTTCTGCACAAAGGAGAGGTAGACATAACAGACGAGATGGAAACATTTAATGAGATAGACCTCACAGGCAGAAAGGACCTTGAAGAAGCACTGCAGAGACTATACAGTGTAGACGCACTTCCGTGCATACTAGCATATGGGCAAGTCTTTTCTATTGAAGAAATAGAAGCAGTGAAACAAAAAGAGAGAGAGTTCAATGAAAGCGAGTATAATGCAGCAATAGACATGATAAAAAGAAACAAACGAGTTATATTTATAAAAGGAACACCTAATATGCCCCAGTGCAAATTTACAAGAGAGCTTATAAACATGCTGAAAGAAGAAGGTTTAGTAGCCGAGAGTGACTATAAGAGTGTGAATGTCCTGGATTCAGTGACAGTAAGGGAAAAAATAAAGGAGTATGGAGACTGGCCAACTTATCCACAAGTTTATATAAACCAAGAGCTTGTGGGTGGCCTGGATGTTCTTAAAGTAGAAAGAAAAAATGGAACAATCAGGTCTATTCTGGATATAGAGTAAGCTGTGCAGTATTATAGAGTATTTCAATGTTTCTGTATTTTCGGAGCACTAGTAAATTAAATTTAGTTTGGATAATAGGATAGGCTGGTTTATAGCCAATTTTTCAATATATTTTTATGAATTATTCTGCTTTATTTTAAAGTGTATACACGAATTATTTCAAATAAATACGAATTATTTATAATTAAATGAAAAATATGTATAATTTATATTTTCAGTTCGGGTTAGGCTGTCTTTGCCTACAATATCATCACCATTAACATTTATTGGAGAAAATTAAAGAAAACAAAGCATATTATAAAGGCCGGCCAAGCAGCGCCTTAGAGTAGGGGTTTAAAGACTATACTCTTTGGACATACTAATGCAGAGTGCATCCGGCTCTAGTTCACTAGAAATCTTAAATTCAATACAAAGCAGCAAGTTAAATGGGAAAGTTAAGCATGCTTTCTCTGGCATACTTTCAGAAAATACATAGAGACAATCGTAATACAATACTCAAAGAACTAAATGCACATGTTATTTCTAATTATAGTCATAGAAACAAATTGCTAAATCTCTTAAAGGGCATTAAATAAAAATAATACTCTCAGTGTATTATAAATGTAAATATTAGATGTGTTTGTGTATAGCCGATTTATTTCTATTATCTAATAATGATAATGTTTTAAGCTGTAGCTTATCTAAAATGGCTGGGTAATTGTTATAGTTATATAATACAGGCTAAAGACACACTTCTGTTTATACCGTGGTTTGATAAAATAGTTTGATATTAACTGCTCTATTTTTTTGGTTTTTGCTCTATTTTCATAATATTTCCATTTTTTACAATGTGAAGTTCTTTATAAGAAGAATCTTTTTCAATAAAAGTGCAGTAAGATTTCAATGCTTTTTTCTCATCATCGTTTTGGGCAGACGCTTTAGTTGGTGTTAGTTTAATATTAGATAGAGTCATTTCTTCAAGAGTAGGCATTTTGCTATTAAACATAACAACTCTGTACATATCCATTGGAGTGGAAGTAAATATGGAAAAAACTGTGATTTTCTTAATCTTATTGTGCTCTGCATACTTAAATAGCCTATCAGAAATCATTTCCATTATTTCACTATTATTTGATGCCATAAGGGAACTATTTAATTTGATTTCATCTATAACTGTTTCCAGTGTGAATGGAAAGTCAATGCATTTAAGACAATCAATTACATCTTGAATCTCTGAATCATCAGAATAGAGACACACGTTAATTCGGGTTTTTACTAAGCTAAATCTAAATTTAGTTGGCATTGTACCATCCAATGATTTAGGTGCTAATTGAATATTCATATAACATGAATTATTACCTTCTTTGCTTTTTAATTTACATAGTCCTAAATCATTGTATAACTTGCTGTCTACATTAACCAATTTAGGAGAAATAGACCCGCCAACTGCTTTGTTCTTTTTTACTATATCATCTGACTTGTTTAATTCTATTTGTTTCTGAGCAGAGGAGTCTTCTGGCTCGGCTGTTATTCTTAAGTATTCTTCTGGATTCTGCTTAATTCTATCCAAGTCTTCTATTTTAAATTCATTTGTATACGAATAGAAAATATTATTCATAGTTAAAGTAAAAAGACAATCCATTTTTCTAAGAAAAGAGAAGTCAGGTGAACCATCAAAAACTATATTTTTGAGAGTAAATTCGAATACTTTACTAAATTTTAGACTGTTAAGTGTAGATGTGCTCATAAAGTCAATGTTGCTTATAGATATTTCACTCATCCCATTCATTGCGTCTAATCCAATTAACAATGGATCTATATACTTTCTGTCTATTCCATCTATTTCTACAATAAATATTTTTGATGAGCCTAGATCTAACTTAGAATCAAAGTCTATAACTGTGTTCTTGCAAATATTCAACCTGATTATATCTGAGCACTCGCCTAATTGGGCTAATGTACTAGAGCAAATGCGGGTTTCGGCGAGTATAAGTGTGCTTATTTTATCAAAAATACCATATTTGTTGAAAATAGAAGCATTTGCTGCAAATTCAAATCCTTCAAGTGTTAAAGAAGACGTGCTTATTGGTAGATTTCCATAATATCTTAGCAGAGCGTGCTCTATGATTGGATTCTGCTGAAGTTCTTTAGGATAAGAAATAATAAATGTTATTCTTGTAGTCCGCATACTTGAATACTTATGTGATGTCTCTCCATTAGCAACGCCGTTTAGCACTTCCCATAGTGTGATTTGTAGAAAAGATTTGTTTATATCAAAATCGTCTTGTTTTTTAATTACAACCACATCTTTGTTCTTAATAATTGCATTAATAATTTCTGTGTCATTAGAATAGTTTACTTTTGGTAAGTCTGGGTTTAATTTAGCAATAGCATTTAGCATACTAACCAGTTCTTTTTCTTCTGCTGTGTCACCATCTAGATTAGAACCAATCATTTCAAATGATTTCTCTATACCCTCTAAATGCTCTTCGTTCTTTACTTCTTCTTCCACCAAAATAGCCGGTGTAGAACCAGAGCTCTGGCCTGCAGCAGGTGGTGTGATGGTGGAAACTGCTTTTATCTCCTCAATGGATCTAGATTCATCATTAGAATCAATTATATCAAATGATGATGCATTAGACTTTTCTTCTTTCACAGGAATAGCTGATGTAGAATTAGATCTCTGGTCTGCAGCAGGTGGCGTAATGGCGGCAATCACCCCTTCTGTATTAATTGGCATAGACTCGTTAACAGGATCAATTATATCAAATGATGATGTATTAGACTCTAGATGCTTTTCTTCTTCTTCCTCTTCCTCTTCCTCATTTATACGAGCAGTCTGTTTTAAGCCATTTTCTTGTTTTAACTCTGGTGAACTTCTAGAGTCTTTTTGTTCCTCCTTTTCTTTTTCTTTAGTTATACTAGAAACTGCATCTATTCCTCTAGATAGGGATGTAGTCTGCTGGCCATCCAAGTCTAATGCAGCATGTGAAGTAACAGGCTCTGCACTTAATTGTGTTGGTTTATGTGCATAAACAGTAGTGGATTCTGTATATTTTGGCGAAGAATCTATAGAAACTCTTTCGTCATTAATATCATCCTCTAACCGTGGATACAATCTGCTTCCACTGGCTGTAGATTTTGTAGGTGCAGCTGCCTTTTTAGCCAAATCATCTTTCTCAAGATTTACTGAGGACTGGGTACTTTGAGTTTGCTCTTTTGATTTTTTAGAATCCAAATCGTGAATATTACCTTGATTTTCTTTAGTAGAAACATTGCCCAATGAAGATGTACTGTCTACAGTGCATCTATTGGATACTCCTACTTTAGAAGTGGTTAATGCTGTCGGTGCCATGTTATCATTACTGGGTTTATTAACCATATAAGAACGTGGATTGATAGTAACAACACCAGGCGCTACTATTGCTGTAGTTTGATTTTGGTTCTGTTGTGTGGATGGATCGGGGTTTTTTTGAGCACTGGTAGATGGCTTTATTATAGTATTTGCTGTGCTATCATATGCCTCGCTGCTAGTTTCACTTTCACTTTCACTTATCTCTTCTCTTATTTCATATACAACTATTCCAATTGCGATCAAGATGCATAGTAGGAATATAATTAATAATATCTTAATGCTTCTCATTATAAATTAGTGATTTATCAGACTATTTATACTTTTGTCATTTAAATAACTGGTTATTTTCTATTTAAATTAAACAAATGATATCTTCAATTTATAACTTCTATGATTATAGCATCACAGTAGTTATGCGATTATAAACCAATAAAATAAATTATGAAAGAACAAATAAATATATTTGTTGTATATTACAAGTGAATATATCGGTATAAAATAGAGCTAATAATCTCTTATTTGTCTATTTATACGTTATTTCTAACAGAAATATAAATAATTCTTGTACTTTGATGCTTTTTATCTTGTTTGATCTATTTTCTAGTAAATGTACAAATAGAATATATAAGAATAAAAACCAATAATTTATTTTTCTATACTTGCATATAATTCAATAATTATTACTAATAGCCCAAATTATTATTCCTGTGAGAAATAAAATAAAATTATAACACTACTAACTGTACTATATAAGCAGAACTCCATCAGTTGATTATACGAATTTGAAACCCGGCTGTGTTTATAGAGCAGTAGTATATGAATATACTAATTATTTTATTTTAATACTTATAAGAATAAGTATATTTTGTCTTCTGAATAGAGAAGTCTCTTATATTTTATCTAAATATACATTATTTTATCATGTTCGGGTTATACAGTTGATTATATTGGTCCAATAATTCTTCTTATATTTATTTCTTATGATATGCAAATACTTTATATTAAATCATTCTAGTTGAAAATAAGATATATACTGGTTTAATTTGTAAAATATGAAAAATTCACAAATGCTCCGAATAATTAAAAGAAAGACAATAGTTCTGTTTATTTGGTACATGTTGATATACGCAATACAACTAAATGGGTTTAAACCCATTGTTTTTGCTTCCAATTGGGATGGCGTGCATATGTTGAATAATAGCACAAGTAATAATTATTTCTTACAGCAAAGTTATTCTAGCAACCAACCCGAAAATGTGTCTGTGAATAATTTAAAAGAACCATCTTATGATGAACAACCAATATATGGGGAACAAGAATATAATTCATATAATATTCTAGCTGCTTTTTTAAATACCAGTAGTAATGAGTTAGCAGAAGACTTATATAAAATACCAGTTTCAAATCTATTTGATCCAAATTATACAAATAATTCCTATAACAGCAGCTACTCTTTGTTAAATGGTGAATATTCAAATAGTTCATATATTGGTCAAGATAGTTCTTTCAATAATACACTCTTCAGAAATAACTGGGTTGAACCAGAAATATCACATACATTTGGCTCACCTTCTACAAGTATAAAATATAACCCAGAGAAAGAATATACACTACTTGAATTAAATAGTACTAATCTTGCTTGTAATAATATACAACTACAAAATATATCTACAAATCCAATGCCATATTCTCCTCCTGCCTGCAGTGAAAACAGAAAATTGTCTAGAATCACCAAGAGTCTAGAAAGCACTCAAACAACAAGTACATCTATAGATGGAAAACAAAAAAATCAAAACTCTGAAAGTGCTATATCATACATTTCTATAAATATAAATTACAACACTGTTAATAAATTAAAGAAAATCTCCTTTATAACGTCATCTATTCGAAATTCAGACGAGTATAAAAGTATTGTAACAGCTCTGCATGATTATATACTAGAATTTATAAAAAATGAACAAGACCAAGACAATTATCCCATGCCACTATCCCTCGATTCTATGATGTATACAGAAGATGAATATTCAAAATCAATAAAAGAGATAAGAGATAATGCTAATAAATACAAAAATGTATGGGTTGCACTGTACTTAGCTAAAAAAGAAAATATACACAAAAGATTGAATCTTATTGGCTATCTATCTAAGCAACAAAAGATAGAAAATGATATATTCCAAAGTTGTGATTTGTCCTATTATCCTAATATTTTGTCAGATTTAAATGCGAAATGTAAATCTTCTTATAGAGTCCCTATAAAAAACTCATCAAAAACCAATTTAAAAGTGGAATCTGATCTTAATCAAATCACGCTTGGTATCATCTATACTAAAAGGCGTATAAATCTTCTATGGCACGCAGAAAGCATGTTAATAGCTTATAATAATCAGGTTATGTTGAGCTCGTCTATCAATATAGTAGAAAATCTAAAAAACCGGCATTTAAAAAAACAGCTCCTATTGATTCTATGCCTCCCAGAAATATATGAAGATCTTTTCTATATGAAGTACGAAGAAATCCATCTATTAAAACAAAAAATCATGAAAAGTAACGCCAGCTTAGAATCTAAAAACAAATGCGCTCAATTTTGTATTATAGAATACTTATATGGAAAAGTTCACAATAACCACAGCTTAATGGAAAATGCATATAGCAATATACTAAAGATTAAGAAAAGACTTTTTAGACATAACAGTGATGATATTGATGTGTATAAATGTGTATATAAAACATTTGCATATTTTTACAAGCACTCTTATTATTTGTATGAAACCAATATTAATGGCAGTATAAGTAATTCTTCTTTTTTAGAACCAAATAATTGTTATCTATACATGAAACAATACACAAAAATAGATCCCAGTAACACCAAGCTATACCAAGGAAAAGATGTTATTTCAATCCCAGATAAAAGAAAATGCAGTATGGTATTTAAATATACCAATACAAAAGAGAATAGTAGAAAATTAGACAAAATAATAAAAAAAAGTATAGTCTATACTCACGCTAAGTCAGAAATCATTTCTATACCATATTCGCCGCACTACCATGTTCAGCTTGTAGATAACAGCACGCATCAGATGCACATTGTGCACATTCCCTTTTTTGTTTCTACTGAGGATGGCAGCGAAGTGTATCATTATATACATACAATTGAGAATATTGTAAATCATGCAAGTAAACTGTTGTGTAACAAAACTATGTATAATCAGAGATACAATAACACTATATATCCATTCAAGTATAACAGAAATGACAAAACCTGGTCATTAATCACAAAGCTTAATAATGATCAGATTAAAAAAAGAAAATTGGAAAATAGTAATAGTATACATGACATGGACAAAACCATAGAAGAAATGCATAATGATGGATTTGATATTGTGTTGTACTATATTGAAGAAGGGTTAGACGAAATCGAATTTTTATTTGCACAGCTTAATCCAATTAGCATAGAGACAATTAATACAGCATACAAAGAAAACAAAGCAGAGGCAAAGAAGTTGTTTGATAGGTATGAACCAAATATTGGTGTGCCACGAATCCCGCTCTTTCTACCTAGACTAATGACATCTGTTGTGCATTTTGGTCCATATGTTCTAAAGCCAGAAAAATATAAATTTGAGTCCATTAAGAACTATCAAGACTTGGTTCCTATTAAATTTTCTAGCTCGATAGACCGTATGGTTAAGAAAAAAGATCGAAAACAGACAATTATAGAAATACTTAACAAATTTAGACGTGAAATATATTATTACAGCGATTTCTACATACTAGGTATAAATAGTTTTTATGAAGACTGTGATTGCTACAACATGAATATTAAGCAAAAAGAATTTGAAGATAATGAAATAGAACTCTCTTGGTACATTAAAATACAATTTAATACAGAAGAGTATATTAACTATAACTTAGATCTAAGAATACCATATTATAGCATTAGCACCATAGAAACCAATATGAAGCTTGCTATTTTATCTTTATTACTAAAAATGCTTCAAAGAAAGCACGTATCACAGGATATTCTTCGATATGGATTGTGTATATATACAAAAAAAAGCACAGGAGAGAGCTTTACAATTTCTCTTTTATGTCCAGAAATGAGAGCTTTTATGAATGAATTGTTTAGCAAAGACAATGAAATGTATTACATACTTAGTCCTCCATTAAAAGAAAACATCGAAAGTTTAAAGAATAGTTTGCCCATAGATCTATCGGATATTTTAAATATATATATAAGTATAAAGAATGTCAACTATACAAAGTCCAAACTTGGCTTGCACTACAACATCATGAATGCTCTCTTTTAATAGATTTTTAATTGAAGGCGGTTTATTGAAATAAGATATGCGCGCTCTTTTGCTGGATGCTCTACAGTAACCGATTATTGCTGGTTTCGTCTGATTTGTATGGTTTTATTGCCGTTTTAGACATCTTTCTTCTTTTGCATTCAATAGATTTTCCTTTATCTAATTATAAATAAACTCATTCATATTTATAACTAAATTTAAAGACTTTGTATACATTTATTATGCGGGAATAAAAAGAATTTAAAATATTCTAAAAGGAAAAATAATATTTAGAGAATACCACAAAACCAAAAAACACACCAAGGAACAATAGGTTATGAAACTGTTGCAAATAATGTGATGGTAACAGAATAATCAGTATTTGGTGCTGCCATGGTATCATAACAACACTTTATACACTAAAATAAAATAGGCGAATAGTATTACAAAACACTTTCTATAGAGGTGGCAACAATCAGAATGCAGATGTGTGTGTATTGATTTTGTCTTACAATTGTGTATATAACCAGACTGCGCCCTTCAATTTATGAAAATACAAATTATTATACTAGCACTATTAATTACAAAGACTGTTCTAGCAGGGCAAAAGGGAATTTTTGGAGGGATCTGGATAGGAAAGTCAGACAAAAACAAACATGGCCATCAACATGACCACCACCACCATCATGATAAAAATAACAAATATGGGCATCCTGGAAAATATGACAAGTATGGAAATTCTAACAAATACGGCGGGCCAAGCGACAAGTATGGAAAGAATCCATACAAAAATGGGCAACATTACTCTAAGCCGGGAAAAAGCGGCGATCCAAAATATCACGGAAGTGGACACAGTCGTATGCCAGGCAGTGAAGATGGATACGCAAAGAATAAGAGTGTTAGCCCACCCCACGGATATTCCCAATCTCAAGCACAGGCAAGCGCAAGTGCAGGGAGCGGATTTTCTAATCATGGTGGGCCAGAGCTCACAGAGTCGGCAGTTGGATCTGGCAGCGCTATTTCAGGAAGCTCCCATTCCAGCTCTCATGCCAGCGCGCACGCTAGCTCTTCATCTAGCTACTCACTAAACATAAAGGACGGACTAGCTGCTGCAAATGTTATAGGAAACTATTACAACACTCTTGTAGAGAGAAAAGGCGCAATTGGTGGGATTTCTCCGATTACTGGAATTATGGCATATCCCATAGGAAATGGATTGTATACTGATTATTGGGGAAAGATAAAATTCCAAATGAACGAAGGAGGAACTCTTGTAGATTCAAGTGGATACTTCTCTGGTGTTCCTGTTGGAACCAAAGAGGAAATTGTTTCCACTGGAGATCTGTCTGATATTGGATTCTATCAGCAAAAAGGACTTCCAGAAGAAGTTGCAAACCAGAACTACATCAGCACAAAGATGCTAATAGAGGAAATCGCAAATACCACAAAGAAAGATGTTCAGCAGCTCCATGATGAAAAAATCGACTTCCAGTTTTTAGACGGAATAATGGGATATTACAAGAATCAGAAGAAGCAGCTTGAATCGGGGAAAAAGTCATGCATGACTGTCTGTATCTGCAGCAATTCAACGTGCACTGGCCAGTGCAAGTCTATTAAGTGTGTGGAGCCAATGTATTTGCTTTAAATAAACTAAAAAACAACTACTTACTTTTTAACAATTACTTCACTATGCTAGCACAAGAAATACTTATTTATACCCGAAACACCTTATCTATTCGAAAAGTCTTTGCGCTTCTAGGTTATAATAAGAAATTAGACTGTATTACAACCTGCTACAACCCAAATTTTAGTACTGAATAATTTTATAAATGACGGAGGGCGCACTATCACATTTAGACTAAATGGGTATAAAGTAGTATAAAATAGTAGAAATATTAAATTGCAATAGAAAGCAATTTTATAGTAAAAAGGAGCAATATACTATCTACTACTATTTTATATTAAACGAATAAATACAAAGTTTTATTTATGGGAGTTTTAGAAACAATTATTCAAAGACCAAAAACTAAATAAGCCTTGATTATAATCAAAAATTGGGTATCCGTATCTTGTAAAAGAAGTCAGATTATTCAGGCGCTGCTTTCTTTGCAATGGCAGCTGGATACAAAACATTTATTATCTAGCATTCTGGCCTATATTTAAGCTACTTCTTCTTAAGCAGGTCTTTTAATGTAGATATCTCCTGCTGGCCTTCTTTTTGCTTTTGGTCAGACTCATTTAGTTTTTGCTCATATACATTAAGCTTTCTTCTTAGTTCTGCAATGATATGAGAATATTCCTGTGATTTGTCTATTGTTTGTATAGGAGCTGTTGCTTTTGTAATCGTGATATACTTTGTGGTTATAATCGGCTTTTCGACTGTTTCTGTCTGAATATTGTACACTGGCTCTATTTTAGTGATGGTGGTAGGGCTTAATGACTTTGTCTTAGTTTCTGTTACTGTTTTTAGTTTTGTTTCTGTAGTAGTTTGTGTTAAAGTCATCAGTTTATTTTTCTGCACGGTTTTTGTATTTGTTATCGTGCGTGCGGGTGGAGTACTTGTGACTGTTTTGTATTTCGTTTTTGTATGATCAACCGTTTTTGTTTCTGTGGTTGTTTTGCTAATGATCAGTCTCACCTGGTTTTCAACGGGAATGCTGACCGTCTTAATAAGTGTAACTGGCGGGAGAACAATAGAGGACACGCTTGTTGTTGTAACTGTTACACTGTTCGTTATCGGCACCTGAACTATTCTTTCAACATCCACAGGAACTGTTTTCTCTACTGGTTTAGGAGTTTTGGTTTTTGTCTTGGTTTGAGTTTTTGTCTTGGTTTTTGTAATGGTTTTGGTTTTTGTGAGAACAACTGGGGTTCCTCTATAAGTTAAGTATTTTGTGGAGGTAGTTGTAATTTTTGGGAGCGTTACAAACGATGTGATCTTAGTGGTGATTGTCTTGGGCGGCGATAGGGGCGTTTCTTCTTTTGGTGGGAGAGGTGGACTCGGCTCTTTTATACTCGGCTCTTTTATACTTGGCTCCTTTGGAACTTTGTTCTCTATTGTATTGTTAGATCCTGGGGGAAGCATAACATTCACTTTTTTCACTTTATTGTTAGAATCGTGGAACTCAACAAGAACGCCAGGCTCGCTATAAAGAGGAGTTATATTAACATACTCATTGTACATAGTAGGCTTTACTTCAACTGTTTTAGTTCGCGTGCGCACAGATGTAATAGTTATTGGAACAGGAGAGGACTTTTCTGTGCTGGTAACTGTTTTAGTTACAGGAGGAGAAGGGACTTTCACTGTAGAAGTATGTGCTGGCTGCGTAATTACCTTAACGCTTTTTAAAGTCACTGGTTGTATAATGGGAGGAAGAGTGATTTTTTCCATAGTTGTTACTTTTAAAATGTCTGTAACAGTTTTTGTGGAAACCACGGGCGGTGGCGTGACCGTGATTGTTCGCCTGCTTTCAACTGTTACAGGCACTTTTTTAGTTACTGTAGAGGTTAATAGAATTGTTCTTCGGGTATGCCTAATTCGGGTTTTTGTCTCATATATCGTGCTATAATTAATTTCAGTAAAGGTGCTATAAATAGTTTTAGGATCTGCAGCAATCGTATATGTATATATGGGCTGCGCGGGTTGCTCCTTTGGAATGAATACAATCTTCTTTTCCTGTGTTAGTGCAGGCAATGGATGTCGTTGTACAATTTTATATGGGGAAGTTCTGTTTGCAAGCACTGGATTTATATAATTCTGGCGCATGCACAGAATAGCACAAACCCCGGATGGATTCACGCATGAGCAGAGTGAGTTAATAGAAATAGGAACGGCGCCGGTCTCTTTACTGCTTAAGCTTATAATTGCACTGAATAAGAGCAGAATTCTTATAAGATGCATTCTTCAATACAATGTCATGTCTAGATATATACAAAAACAATACGAAACTAATTGTTTGCTATGGAGATTGCATGTATAAATATATCTGTAAAAAAACAACACATGAACAAAGTCAGGTTGGCAATGACAATAGGCATGCTAATGCTTGCAGATACTGCACTTGGAAAATATATAGAAACAAAACTTGATCTTGTGACTATGTCGGATAGCTCTGCTAGATTATACAACGGAATAAAGCAAAGCAACGAATGGATCCTTAGAAATGGCAACTCTGGGTCAATTCTTAATTTAACAAACAAAAATGCAGACCATGACGAGTGGAGTCTGGAGATCAAATTTAAGGCGCCTCAGCTTCTCCACCCCGAGTTTGCAGGGCTATACTTTTGGTACACTGAAGAACCCATAAAGCATGGGGGGTTCAAGGGAGCAAGTGGCCGATTTAATGGGGTTATGGCTGGGCTAGAATTTATTGGCAAGTCTGTGGACATTGTAGTTTCAGTAAACCACGGAGAGAATGACTACACAAACCTAAAGCCAGAGGAGACAGAGCTCAAAGACTCACCAGATCCTTCTATTTTTAAGGGCCATACAGATCTTATCTTAAAAATCATCTCTACAGCAAAGAACTTCAAAATAGAGGTCTATGATGCAAATCGGAACATGCTGTATGACAGAGTAAGATATACTTCCATGACAGAAATAGGATCTCGGCTTTCTGGAAAGTACTTTGGTCTTACCACGGATTACTCAAGCACCAAAGGCACTGAAAATAATGGATTTCACCTGCAAGGACTTGATTTGTTTGAGAGAGAAGAGACTGAAGAGTATGACCCAGATACATACCACACCGAGGTTGCAGATACAACTCCTCGCCTACCTCATGAAATACCACATACGAATGAAGAAATTCAGCACACAATCTCTGGCATTGAGCATCTTACAAAGTACCTGCGGGTTGTTTTAGGGGATCCTCAAAGCAGGCCCGTTGCAGAGAATGTCGTATATATTAAAAAGCTCATAAACTTCCAGAGTGCACATACGCTGGAAATCAGGGATGAGATTAAAGCTATGGTGAAAATAAGTAAAAAGCATGCAATGGAAGAAGATGCCCACAGACAAGAGCTATTCTACCTAGTGCAGAATATGAGTGCGAAGCTTGCTGAAATGTCAAGAAAAGAAGAACTTGAGCCAAGAAGTAGAAATATTCCCATCTTTGGTTTGATTGTTTTGGGATGCAGCCTGTTTGCAGGTGGATTTGTGCTGGGAAAGAAATTCTCCCCAATCAAAAAAATCTCTTTGCACTAGCTTTCCCTAAATAAATGATATTCCAGTTAACATTTCTAAATTTCCAACTATTTTTCATGTAGATAAATTTATCTTACTGAAAATTCACACAATATAAAAACAACATAGCTTATTCGTCATATATGCACTACCAAAGCACACACAATATATTAAAATGCAGTGTTAAATACCACAGAGAGTCTATAATTCTAAATAATATTAATTTTTTATAAAATTATATATACCAGAAATATTACAACCAGTTACTTTTCTAATTTTACAACTTAAATATCTAGAAATAGAATAGCCAGCATAAGTAAAAATGACAATTCTTCAAAATAATTTGAACCAATTCTTTCAATATCCTATGAATATTTGTTCTATTTATGCAGTAATTTTCTATTTACTTTTTAACATTTTCTTTCTATTATCCAAGAATCACTACATGTCTTTTAATTCTATTTAATATGGAATTTCTCAGTGAATAAACAGATATTTATAAAATAAAAGTAAAGGGTTTACATATTTTATTTCTAAATTTATAATTGTAGAATTTAGATTTATTATAAGAACAGCAAGAAAGCAGATTAAGCCATTTAATTATTCTTAAACACATAAATACATTATAACCCGAAATACTTCAAAATATTTTTAATTATTTCTACTCTATATTCCTATAGTACTAAGACAGAATTGTTTAATAAACATCTTAATTATTTACTAGAAGTGCTTATTTTTAAAACAACTAAAATATATGCGTGAATTGATTTATATTAAAGAATCTGTCAATTATTAAGTGACATATGGTAAAGAGAATTAGATTAAAAGCACACCAATTAAAAGTAATGGTCCACAAAGAGAATGTGTCTATTTCGCCTATTATATATATAGAGCAGTCATATAAAAATTATTATACGTCTAATCAAAAGCAGAAAACTATTTATATAATAATGTTTATTTATTATCTGAAATGAAGAAAGCTTATCTTGCCGAACTTTTTTATATGCCAATGGCAATGATGTGCCTTGGGGGGCTAGTAATGTGCGCAGACACAGAGAACGAAATAAGTACAGAAAAAATACTTAAATCATCGCTTATAGAGTCAGAGCACACGCATCTCTATAAAAAAGCAAAAAGCATGTCTGAAAGCTATCCCAGGATATACCAAACTGAGACAACCAATGAGATTTGGAATTTATTTGTAGATTTATGTTTCTATACGGGAAGGAAGGATCCAAAGACCATTCCTGATCTTGTATCTAATAGGCCGTATGAGCAGGTGTTGACATACCATCAAGATATAGACATGGAAGAAAAGAATGTATCAGAACAAACTGATAAAATACTTGAACTATACACTAATTACTTCAAGTTGCCGGAAAATACTATTTCTGCACAGAAGCCCACAGAGGATTCAGATGAAAGTATAAACTGCTATGAAAAAATGAACATTGGGATAAAGAAAATTTGGGACTGCTTGACAAAGGATCTAAGAGAAAAAGAGCCCAAAGAGTACTTTGACAGCAAAATACCACAGAAAAACGATGTTGTAGTGCCGGGAGGAAGGTTTCAAGAGGCTTACTATTGGGACTTTTTCTGGATGGCAAAAGGACTGCTTATTAGTGGAAAAGAAAAAGCAGTTGATGGTATGACTAGTAACTTCATAGACCAAATAAATGCATTTGGGTTTATTCCAAATGGCACGCGATGGTACTATATAAACAGGTCGCAGCCCCCATACTTTGCACAAATACTGCTTGACTCAATGGATGAGTTTAAAAAGCTTAAAGACATTGTATCAAACCATTCAAGAGCAGCGAGCCAAAAATCAAACCCAGAGACTAGTGCAGATTATATGAACCTAGTAGTTTCTCAGCCATTGATTAAAGAATACCAGCCAGCATACCTGGATGACTTAGAAAAACAACTTACGAAGGAGAAGGTAGATGCGCTTTACAAAGAAATGAAATTCTGGGTAGACAGCAGATGCGTTGAGTTTAAAGATGAAAGCGGCCAAAGCCGGAGAATGTTTCGATATGGTAGCAAGACAGCCATACCAAGGGTAGAAATGCTTATTCCCGACTTAATTTCAAATGAAAACTATCAGACAACAAATAAATCCGCCGGGCCATTTGAATACTACACACATATAACAGCTAGCACTGAGTCTGGATGGGACTTTTCCAGCAGGTGGAGACAATACAACACGGATACAAAAATGTATGGATTTTTAAATACACATAATGTCATACCAGTAGATTTAAACAGCATACTTGTAAAGAATTTTAACATTCTAGCAGAAATATACAATATTAATGAGTACAAAAGTGTTGAACAGAATATATACTGGAAAAATCTTGCAAACAGCTTGTCTTCATGCATTGATGATTTAATGTGGGATGCAGAGCACACAAGATGGAGAGATTTAATATTAATGGAAAAAGAAAACGACTACCATTATAAGAAAAGAGAAGACAGTGTATTCTACCATAGTGACCTACATCCGCTGTATATGGGCATAGTAAATGATCCAAATAATCACATTCTTAGCAGAAATGCGAAAAATATTTGGATATCAGAAGATGTTATGCTACCATGTACAAGCACGAGAGAATATACAGAAGAAAGTGCACAAGACAGCCTATGCGGCATGCTTCAAAAAACTGCAGAGGCCGCGCTAATACATCAGAATGAAATAAAAGACCAATGGGATGGCAAAAACGTATGGCCGCCTCTGGTGCATCTAACAATAGAATATTTGATTAGATCAAATAATATAGATCTTGCACAGCGCACAGCACAGAGCTATATGGCCAAAATGAATGAGTATTACATAGCGCACGGCAATCTTCCAGAGAAGATAGAGTATGAAGCCAAGAACACTGGCGAGTATAAGGTGCAGAAAGGATTTGGCTGGAGTATTGGGGTAGCCCAGTGGATATACTATATATTTGATAATAATTTTAAGTAAATATATCATAAACATTAATAAAAACTAGTTAAAACAAAGAATACTGTTTATTAGTCTTTTTGTATTGATATAACTAATGCATTCTAGAAAAAACTAAAGCATAATTAGTAAAATTTTCAACCCAATATAAGATCTGTGGTTATATTATAAGGATTCAGGATCAAAGAATAATAAATGAGAAGTCGGCTAACCACATGGCAATTACTAAGAAACAGAAACAACTATATAGTACAAACACAGCCTGAAAATTACACAATTCCCTTTAAGAGAAACAAACATCTATTGCCTGCGTTCTATTATTAATGGAAAACTGTGTATAAATACTGTTTGTATATTATTTAAAGAAAAGTAGCGGATTTAATGAATAGATTTATTTGAATATTTAGATAGATATTTAGGGTAGAATTGTTATTGTGGTAGCGATTGTAGCATCCCCATATTAGAAATCATCATCCATGGCAAATCCCTGAGCTTGTGGTGCCCCAACAGATGCTCTTTTATACTCGCCCACACGCATCTCAAAGAAATTTGCTTTTCTTCGCAGTGAAATTAGCTCCATAAAATCGAATGGGTTTGGTGTGTTGTAGACCTTTTCTTCATTTAGGGCAATTAGTAACCGATCTGCGACAAACTCAATGTACTGGCACATGGAGTCTGAGTTGATACCTATTAAAGAAACAGGAAGTGCATCAGTTAAAAACTCTTTTTCAATCTCAACAGCCTCTAAAACTATTTTCTTGATATTCTTACACTTGTTTATGAGGTGGGAATGTAAAAGACAGGCAAAGTCACAGTGAAGTCCTTCATCTCTGCTGATCAGCTCGTTAGAGAAAGTAAGCCCTGGCATAAGTCCTCTCTTCTTAAGCCAGAAAATTGATGCAAAGGATCCAGAGAAGAATATTCCCTCTACACATGCAAAAGCAACTAGTCTGTCTGCAAAGCTAGACTCCTTGTCTGATATCCATCTAAGGGCCCAGTCTGCCTTCTTTTTTATTACAGGAATATTCTCCATTGCCTGGAATAAGAAGTTCTTTTCTGCAGTATCCTTTATGTAGGTGTCTATTAGTAAGCTGTACATCTCTGCATGTATGTTTTCTATCATAATTTGGAATCCGTAGAAACATCTTGCCTCGCTTATTTGAACTTCTGAAGCAAACCTTTCAACTAAGTTTTCATTTACAATTCCATCTGAGGCAGCAAAGAATGCAAGTACATAGGAAATAAAGTGTCTCTCATTTGCATTTAGCTTTTCCCAGTCGGCTTGGTCATTTGACAAGTCAACTTCTTCTGCAGTCCAGAACACTGCCACTGCATCTTTATACATTGCCCAAATATCATGATGCTCTATTGGGAAAATAACAAATCTATTGTTTGACTCCTGCAGGATTGGCTCATACACTTCTTCTGTGTTACTTCTGGCTACTGTTTTTTCTGCTTGTCTTGGTGTGTTTTGTATTGTGCTTTCTTGCATATTTCTCATATTTTCATTTTCTATTTATAGTTTTAAAATCCCGCCGGCGGGTAAAAGTCCGCTAAAATATAAAATGCGCGGGAATCTAAGATATTGCTGAACCAATTGGCATAGCATGCCCCCAGTCGGGCAAGTACAGAAAAGAAAAGGGCATATACCGGTAGAAATTTCAACCAAACAAAGAGACAGAATTTTTATTGTACGCCACCATAACAAGAGGGAAGGCAGAAAACAAAAGAACTCACATAAAATATACGTGAATAGATAGCATGTGACATGAAAATACGGCCAACGTTATAAATGCCTGCAATGCCCCGAGATAATAGAATATATTTTGTATAATTTAGGGGATAAGCATAAACATAAGAAAAATAGAAATATCAAAATACTTGCGCATCAGTTAATGTATAGGTATAGATCAGAATATTTATAATTTTGTCTGTTCATTACTGGATAGAGTAGAATGCATAGCTAAATGCTGCACAGCTTAAATAAAGCAAATATTTTTATAATTTTGGGCTATATCGTAATATAAACAAATTGCTGTGTATATTCTAATTGAAACAAACAATAAACGAAAAACACACTAGTAAATATGATAAAACTGTAATCGATATGCTAAAGGCAATGTATTCTTTTATTCTAGGGATTTTTGTCCGAAATTTCTATTTTACTGTAAAATAAAATATTTACGATGGAAAATGACCAGTCTTACTCTCTTACTAAAAAGATAGTTGATGGCCTAGAGAATGACTTAGAGTCGCTGTTTAGCCTTTTGAAGAAATGTGTAAAGGAAAAATTGAGTATTCCTTCTGAAATACTTGTTAATATAATAGAAAGCAAAAAAGCACTTACTCCTTCTAAAGCCCTTTGCATGCGCCTGCTACGGAGTAACTTAGAGTCTGAAGAAGAAAAAAGAAGCATTTCATATTTAATCAGCAGCATTAGATTTATGTTCAGAGTCTCAGAAATGATAAAAATAGACGCAGAGGCAGCAAGTGACTCAGATGACAGGAAAATGCCTGAGCATACATTAGAAATTCTTGAGTCATTGGCTGGGATTATGGAAAGCATTCCTTTAGAGAGGAAGGAGGCAGTTGTTGATGCAATGGAGAGGTGTGGCATTTTCATACTAATTAATCTTTGGTGTGGCCCAAGTCTGCTTAAGTTCTATTCTAGTATATTTAGTAAGATAGAAAGTGAAAGCAGCATATCTGAGAAAGTAGAAAAAAAGGAAAAAAGAAAGACAGATAGTACGCCTTACAGAATTGCAGTAGAAGAGTCCATCTACAACAAAACAACTATTCTTGTGCACAGAAGAGATCCTGCATATTTTATGCCAAAGTATTTTTGTGCCTTCCCAGAATCAACCACGGATGCGTATAGAAGAGTCTTTTCATTCCAGGATGAGTACGAGATATTTCACAAGTCCCTTGTGAATTGGTGTGAAAATCAGAGCGACTTAAAAGAAATAGAATCTGCAACCATATGGCATTTGAATAATTTAGTAAATAACATAGAAGTGCCTACGTACGAAAAAGAGATTTTATTCTGTCTTACTGCTATGTTTTACTCTGCTATACAGAACACTGTAGACGAAGCGGAGTCGCAACTTTTTAAGAGCTATTTAGAGCTAGTTAGAGCATCAAAACAGTGCGGAAGTGCTGAAATTAGAGGAACTTCTCTGGTTGCAGCGCAAAGACTTTCTTCATACACAGCCAAATATTTTTTATCCAGGGCGCTAACTATTACTAAGGAGACAAAAGAGAAGAAAAAGGCTGATTTGTGGAGAGAAAGAGTTCTGGCAATTGAAGGCCTTGCAGTGCTGTGTGATATTTTATCTGAAAGCGATTTGCTTGGAGTCAAAAAAATAGTTGAAAAAGATAGCTCTCGTATTTTAGAGCTGCTAGAAATACAGCCCAGGGATAATGTGAATAAGCATTGCACATCCGTGATTCGCGTGCTTTCAATTCTTGATAGCATTCCCATCAGCCTTTTTTCCCCCTCAAAGCTATCTCTTGTTATGTGGGTCGTTGAAAATGTGAATATTCCCGATAGACAGGTCAGAAGATGGACAATGCAGTACACGCAAGAACTGCCGTCTGTGTATAACCCAAATGAAGAAAACTTTTTGGGAAGAGCTCTCTATTTCTAAGCTTTACTCTTCATAGTCAAACACGAGATTGTCATAGTGCATTAAAATGTATAGGAACTGTTTATTTTTATAAATTTCCTGATGTGATTTCACTTATTACTGCTAGTGCGCATCTAATAAATAAAAGTTAATGGAAGCTAGCCACAACTTATTAAAAATAAATATTATTTATGTCTTGCATAAAATAATTTGGATGCTCATTTAATGCGTTCTATGCCTTCTAAGCTATGAAATCTTCTTTTAAAATAAAAACCATTATCTAGTTTTCTAAAAGAAAACATATATATTTAGATATATATTCTCCAAGCAATGCGGATTAACTTAAATAATATTAACCATGGCACATTGCACTGATTTAGTAAATTACTTGATATGTTGTAGTATGTAGTGTTGTGATTCGATAACATGCAGCCTACACTTTTGACTGATATTATACGATGTAAACCTTCTGAATTCTATGAGTAGACAGTTGTTATCTGACTAAATAAACACCAACCAGCCATATGTTTTTATATAAATAATTTATACATTATTTCTAGAAGAACACCGTGCTCATAAAGAGACATCGTTTCTATCTGTATAACATAGTCCTAAATAGACAGTGATATATCCCGAAAATTAGAATCACATCTTCTCCTATATTTTGGAGTAAACTGAAAGCTCTCTAACATTTGCATCCTTCACGTAACCTTCTCACTGCTAAATGCTCTGTACTTTTGTGCAGAGTACTTCTATTGCCTTATAACCCGTATTAATATCAACTTGTCTCATAATAAGTATTGTTTAAATCCTTCCATTGCACATGCCATTGCATACAATTCTTTATAATCCTGTACCTCTGCTGTGTTAGAATCAATCTGGGTGAAAAAACCTATAATATTATCCTTCTGGCTCAATACGGCGCCTACATCGGCATTCGATGCGGCTGCTTCTAAATTAAACTTCTTCTTTAACTTCAGTATAGTAGCTGTAACAATCTTACTTACATCTACACTTAAATTCTCAAAGGCTTGCTGGTGTCTTCCTGTTCAGGCAAACTTCCTTCCATTACTCGTGAACTCATTTAGGGCGCTTTAAGTTTAGAGAATTATAAATATGCCTTCTTGTATAGTTAATCTTTTCTAAGAAACTTTACACTTGCTGGTGCCCATGAAATATATATTTTCACCCCCTTCTTATTCTATCATCCATGAGTTTAATCTTATTTATCCATTCTTGTAAACTCTTATAAAGCACCTCTCTGGATACTTGCTTTTGTGTCTTTGTACACCTCTCCTATGTCTGGATTAATCATAACCTTTTTAGTGTCAGTCATTCTGTGAACCGTCCTTTTTAGGAAGGTTCCATCCTTGCCATGAACATTTGTTATTATTCATGTAGTCTTTTCTTCGATCTTGTTGAATTTCGCCACGGCACTCTCTTGCCCTATGTCCCCTCTTACCACATCGGTAGCAATTGCTAAAAAACCTTCTATGTTTGCTGTTTGAATTTCGGTGGATTTTTTCTTTTTTTTGGTTATGAATTATCCGACCAGCTTTCTTTCTTAGCAGTCTGTCTAATCTCTGGCACTCCAATAGAAGATTTTTATTTGCATTTTCTCGATCTCCTTTGCCCATATTCCACACGTCTGTAAATCTAATGGGGTACATGGTCTCTTTTAATGCAAATTCTAAGGCTATCTCATGAAACAAGTACTTGAATGGTGCTTCGGTCTGCCCTATCATAATGTAGCACCATTCTTCATAACCACGGCTCATTGTAATCTGTGCAAAGTCTCTGAAACACCAAAGGTTTGCGACAGCGGAGACCCTATTTCCTTCCGAGATTGACAAGACTATTTGCCAAGCATTATGCCACAACTCTTCTGGCCACTCTTGCAGCTGGGTCGAGCTAACATTAGAGATAAGCTCTGCTAATTGGTTAGCCATGGCTGCTTCTATTGAGCCAGAACGTCTGTTCAGCTCCTCTTGTAGGAGTAGTATCCGGGTCTCTGGATTAAGTTTATGCCATAATTTCGGATAGAGCGCTGTAATTGTCTCTAAATTTAATGTAAGTGTGGCTCTTCCTGCTCTAAAGTTTAGCGCAGCTAAAGCTTGTAGAATTCCCGTAGAGTTGGCGCCCTTGGTGTTCTCTTCTTGTGGTTCTAACTGTGTGTTGAAAGCAAGGGGCATGTCTGTTTCTAGATGTTTTCTTTCTTTTATTGCATGTGAACTACTATCTGCCATAGCTAAATCTGAATCTTTATTTACTTCCTAACTTCTTATATAGTTTTCTCAGCTGGCACAGCCAATCAGCATTAGAACCGGACACCAACCTGAAATGTTAATATTGGTTGGTTGGTACGCAATTTGCGATATGAAACTCCCTGAAAACAATTATAGAATTAATATGTCCATAAAAATCAGCATAATAAATGTACTGTTGCTATTATGAGTAAGATTCTATATTTTGTATGAAATGCTGCAAACAACACACTCTTAATATTACTAAAATACACATAGTCTTAAAGTAGTATATTATTTAGTGTAAAATCGTTGTTTAGTTGAACGGTGAAGCAATATCATAATTTCAGTACAATAAAGAAGCTATTTATTTTAGGTTATATCTTATTTAAGTATTAAAAAACTCATATATTTTCTTACCATGCTTGCCTCCCATGGCCATTGTTAGCCTTTCTTCTGATGCTGTGATTAAATCATATAGAGATGTGAAGTTACTGAATATTAGGTCTATGTTTCTGCTATCTACTCCTGGGACTGCCATGAGAGCCTCGAGTGTTGCCGGTGATTGTTTCTTTTGCGAAATAAGTTTGTGTGGTGGCTTGCGCGCCAATGCATTGATTAGTTCTGATGAGTGCCTTTCTATAGAAGAATAGAAAATATAGGTGTTTTTCATGTTTTGCAGCAAGCTAACTATTCTGCCTGTTAGATCTATCTCTTGCAATCTATTTGCATAACTCAGAAAGCTTATTTTTTCTTTTTGTGAAAATTCAATTAGTAGATATGAAGCCCCCTTTGTGTACTCAAGCACTTGTAGCTGTTTAAACAGCCTTCCGTTCTTTAAAGAGGATACAAAATCATCTATTCTTTTTCTTTCTATGTAATATGACTGATTTAGAACATAATCCCCAACTGTTAATTGCTTAAACTCAAATCTAAAGAGGTTATTAAACTTCTGAACTAGATGCAGTGGAAGACTGCTTTTAAGTTCTCGAATATCTATCTGCAAAAGAGGGGCCTTTGGATCCTCTGCTTCTTTTGCATATAACTGCTTTTCAATAATCTCTGGCCTGTTCTGTTTAAGCCCAATTCCATATAAAAATGCATCTTTCTCAGCAACTGTTTCTTGAAGATAATTTATCTCTTCTGATGAGTCTCTTATGTTTATTATTGTTAAAGGAAAATCCACCCCTCTTCTATGCCACCTATTTCTACACATATTAATCCTTCTTAACGATCCAATTGAATAGTTCATTAGAATAATATGTATTGGATGGGCTTTATGACTGAACTTTTTAGGCATTTCTGTTTCTAGTTCTTTCTCTGGCTCTTTAAAACTGCCTTTCTTCTTGGTATATCCAAGCGCTCTATGTACAGTAGAGCTTAGTTTTCTTACCGTGTGTATATTGTCGGCAAAAATATCTACTCTAGAATCTTTTGCGGTGCCTATTGGCTTAACATATTCTGCCTCAATGCTTTCTGTGAAAATCACTGGAGCCGAATTGCTGTTTTTCTCTAATACACGCCGGATGAGTGCTTCCTTTGGGAATTCTTTTTCCTGCAGATCCCCAGCTAATCTATGTATAACTTCAATGCCTGGTAAGTGCAGCCACTCTAGTGCAGATTTATACACTATAGTTCTAGAATGTTGGGAGTCTGCAATTCCATACATACTGACTATAATGCCCATTATGTAATTTATGTCTGTAATGTCTGTGAAGTATTTAAAAAACTCTGCTATAGACGTGTTGTGTAGTATAACCAACGCATTCTCTAATAATTTTAATACTTTTGCTATATATTCATTAAACAGCTCTTTACCAACCATACTCTTAACTTTCTGCTGGAGGTCTAATATTTCGCTCTGTATCACTCTTCTGTTCTGATCGATCTGAACAGTTAGCTCGTTCACTTCCAGCTCACCAAAAGACTTTATTACAGAATTTCTGAAAGATGGATACAAAAATATTCCAGAAGATGGTATGTATCCTCTTGCCACTACATCAGGAAAAGAGTCTTTTCCTGTCCATTCAAACAGTATATTTAAAAATCCTTTGAAGGTGAATAAAATAAAATCGTGGATAGTTTTAACCCGTGGTAAAAAGGCACTACTAATCACTGTGACAGTACGAATATTGGTGTTTAACACATTGTTTTTTAATATATCAGATAGAAATATCTGATCATTAACAAACACGCAGCCAATTTCATTGTAAATTCTTTGCCGGCGGGCGCTTGGTGTCTTTATGTCTATTTCATGTATCTTATTTACCGCATTACACGTTGCACTTCCTAGAAGACTCTTTTTTTTTGCTGCTTCTTTTACTTTTGCAATAAATAATTTAGTGGCTCCTAAGACTACAAGAGTCTCCTCTGACTTATCTATAATAGACTTAAGTATTATCTCTAAACGCACTCCTTTGTATAGCATGTGGATAGTTCGTTTTGATGAAAACACTTCTTTGACAATTCTCTTTTCATGCCCATGCATAGCTGTAAAAAAATAGTTCTATTTTTGTATATAGAGTGCACATGCCTTTTTTATTACCATTTGCTTTGCAACACTAGTTTTATTCTGTTATATTCAATACTAATTTATGTGATGTGTCTAGTTGTGCATGATGAGAAGTACTATTAAGTAAAAATGAGAAGGCTTTCTTAAACATAAAATACATAAATACTATTTATCTTATGGTGTATTATAAACTTACTTTGGGTTTAATTCTTTGATTATTTGCTTTAGCGTGCATTGTATTCTATTATTGGTTCTTTCTATATATTTTATGTGCATCTGTTTGTTATTTATTTTAAACAAAACCCGTTCTATGCCAATGAGAATCTGAAGAGGTTTATTTATAAAAGTCTACTATAAAAATAGAAAATAAAGTTGCCAGAATCTAATTACAACAACCTATTCTTCTTTATACACACACCAATTATATACGTTTAAAAACAAGACACGAGACACAATGCATACAAAAATATATAATTAAAAGCCACATCATAACAACTTAAGACAAAAAAGAACTCATAGTTCTTGTTAATATTGCTGCATATACAAAAATACAAAGAGCGAGGTGTAACAATATAAACCATTTATTGATCTGGTGCCAATTTGTGATTAAGCATATAAAGATGTGGGCATGGCCTCTAGCTTTGTCGCCTGCACTTTTTCTTTGGCCTTTGTGAAATCTTGCATGGTGACCTGCTTTCTTCTTTCTCTGAGCGCAAGCATACCTGCCTCAGTGCAGATGGCTTTTATGTCAGCTCCACTCAGGTCTTCATTGGTTCCTATCATGTCATCAAGAACAACTTCTTTGGACAAAGTCATTCGAGTCGTATGAATTCCAAATATTTTCCTCTTTGTTTGGATATCGGGTACAGGGAACTCTATCTTCCTGTCAATACGCCCCGGCCTAATAAGAGCTGGGTCTAGACTTTCTATCTTATTTGTTGCCATAATCACCTTTATATCGGATGAGGTGTCAAATCCATCCAGCTGATTTAGCAGCTCTAACATAGTTCTTTCTATTTCCTTTTCTCCGCTAGAGTTTGTGTCATATCTCTTTGCCCCAATTGCATCAATTTCATCTATAAAGATAATTGTTGGTGCATACATTTCCGCAGCCTTAAAAAGCTCCCTCACAAGCTTTGGCCCATCTCCTAGATACTTTTGTATTAGCTCCGACCCAACTATTCTTAAAAAAGTTGCAGATGTTTGGTTGGCAACTGCCTTTGCCAGAAGAGTCTTTCCTGTTCCTGGCTCTCCATATAGAATAACCCCCTTCGGCGGCTTTATCCCCATTTCATCATACAGCTCGGGATTTGTGAGTGGCAGCTCTACCGCCTCTTTTATTTCTTGGATTTGGTGCTCAAGCCCTCCTATGTCTGCATAGGTCTCAACCGGCGCCTTTTCTAGCTTCATTACACTGACTAGAGGATCAGTCTCCCCCTCAAGAACACCAACCACACCACTCTCTCTATGGTTCAAAAGAACTGTGCATCCTGGCTCTAGCGCATCCTTATCAACAAATGAGTATATTGGCACATAGTACTCTTGCCCAGAGCTGGTGCTTATAATTGCGTGGTCTTCATCAATAAACTCCTCTAGCGTGCCCAAGTTCATTGGATAGCCCCTAAACCTGTCTACCTCATCTCTTTCTGTTACAAATTTCTCTTCTCCCTCCTTTTCAGAAGAAGAGTTGAAGTACGAAAGAATTCCTTCCTCTAGCATAAAGTAGTCTCTTATTTTTTCCAGCTTTATCTGCCTAAGCATGCACTTGCTCTGAGGATACACTGTGGGGAGCTTGGAGAGAGTTTCTGCTCCTCTCATGCGCTTCTTCTTTTTTAGGTTTAAGTTCTTCTCTTGCTGGTCTTTTGGTGCCTGCGATGACCCGTTTGGTGAGGATTGTTGCTGTCCCATTACAAAAAGAAAAACAAAGAAATTAATAAAGAATAAACACATTAAAATATTCAAGATAATTTTATGCCAAATATTCTTTAATTTAGAAGTTCCTTACTATGCCTAAAACTAAATTAAACCATATAAAAATAGTTACTTCTATTCTGGCTGCACTTTGTTATATCAGCATAAAAACAGAATATCTCTATACAAAGCTTAAATATATTATAATATATCATAATACTTTATTTATAAGATGGAATGTGCCATACACTGGCTCTGCTGCAAATAAACATACGTTTTTAGTAATATTACTGCTATTTGGTGTGTTCTATTGGTTTCCGTTATTTTCATCTATTTCTATATTTGAAAAATTTAAAGAAGGATTTTCTCTAATGGAGCATATATATAAAGAGAAGTATAAAATGTTTACAACACTGCTGGCTTTGGCCAACGGGGTCGACTGTGGGAAAAATAAAATTTCATCGCTGTTGATTAGATGGAACAGAGATGCTTGCATGAGTTCATTATTCCAGGCAAAGAGATATGACGAGCTGTATAGCTGTGTGTTCAATCAATTGAAATCGGGTTCAAATTTTTATAAACGGATACTTGCAGGAATAGCAGGGTGTATACAAAACAAAGACATAAAGAGCGCCTTTATCATAGCCAGAGAAAACATAACAGATAAGGCTCCATATCCTTGCATAATACTTTCTATGATTATAGAGGGACACATGTACTTAAACGAGAACAATATATATAAAGCCAAACCCTGGGTAGAAAAAGCATTGGAGTGCCTTGAAAAACAGTTTAGCTATGGGCTCTTCATTCTTATTTATACAGTGCAAAAGGAAGTGCTATTTGAAGAGGAGGAGGGTGCTCTGTTTAAGTCGCTTTCTGTTATTAATTTGAATAATCCAAAGTACTTTGAAGTAATTGAGGATATTAAGGACATAAAAAAGCTAGAAGAATTTTTGGCATCAAAAAACCTCCCGCACTCTACATTGAGGCGGCTTTATATTCTGAAGAACCCGCTTTTAAACAAAAAAGATTTATTAAAATACTTTGAAGAGGTACCTAAAGATAAAGAGTGTCTGAAATATGTACTGGAGAGAAGAATCTGCAAAGAATTGATACCACTTGCAGAAAAACTGGGAATATTCTGCGGAGATGTAAAGGATAAGCAGGAAGAAAAGCAGTGGATGGCTCCATTCAGGGCCCTTCCTGCTGAAAAGACTCAAAGTAAAGCTACAATTAGGAAGATACAGCAAATGTCCCGAAAAAAACTTGCAAAAGTGATATACAAGTCTGGTTTATATAATAAAGTGCGAATACCAGCAAGTTTTGGCATACCTCACGATTTTTCTGAGGAAGATGATGATGAACAAGAAGATGAGGAAATGGTGTTAAATGAATATTATGAAGATGTTTTGCTGGATAACTTACCGCAGCCGGAAAGCACCTTGCGCGTGCCTGTGGAGCAATATGAAGAATTACCAGTAGACAATAAAGATGATGTTCACCTAGAAGACAATGAATTAAATACTCACAGTTCGCGTGCATCTCCTATAAATGGTTCTATAGAGAAATCCACTCAGGACATATCAGAAAAAGAATCCATAAAAAACCCTGAGGATGCCTCTAATGCTAAGCAGGATAATTATAAGGAGTGTTTAGATCATTTAGACAGTGACTCTCTAGATTTGGATACGGACAAATAATAATACATCTTGGCAAAATACATTTATATAGAAAATACATTACTTCTCTTTCTATTTTTATATAATCCAAAATAATAACAGAAAACACAAAAAGATGACTCATTCTTTGTAGTAGAAAGAGTTAATAGTTGTATTTAAATTATAAAACAATAGAAATCCTAGAGGAGGTGATCTTTCTTTTTATAGCCCAACATACACATCAATAAAAATATATAAGAATACTGTGGGTATTTTATAAGCAAGCAATTCAATGAGCAAAGCACTTGATATTATGTGAGATTATAGCAATTATATGAAAATATTTAGTTCAGTTTGAGTGGGAGTGTCTAAGAGTTTGCTGCATACTTTTAGTAGTTATGTCTATGTTATAGAGTTTTATCTTTATTTGTTTTATTTTTATTTTCATAAAAAGCGATGCACGCATCCCCCGAAGAATTAGAAAGAGAGGCAGACCAGTATACTAGGAAAAGAAGCAATTTTATTATTAAAATGATAATGAGCTATGACACAGACAAAGCAGTGCTTTTATACGAAAAAGCGGGGCAGGCGTACTCTCGGGCAGGCCGGCACGAGAAAGCGGCTGAGATGTATTCTTCCTCTGCAAACATTCTTATAGACACAAAAGAAGAAAACAACAAGTATGAAATATTTTCGTATCTTGAAAAAAGCGCAGAATCACTTTTGGCTGCAGAAAAGAAAGAGGAGGCCATTTCTGTATACAAGAAGGCATTAAATGAACTATCAATGAGCACAGAGGCTACTTCGGTGGTTGCCTCTCTTACAGCTAAAATAGGGGGGCTGCTCAGAGAGACAGATCAAGAGAAAGAAGCTCTGAAATACTTCTACAGAGCTGCAGATGTGTATGGAAGATCAAAGATGCACATAAACAAAAGAAACATTTTGATACAGTGTGCAGCTAGTGAGATTCGGTTCAAGAACTATGAAAAGGCATTTGATTTGTATAAAGCTCTATCAAATGACAAATCTGAAATCAGCCATGTTTTAGAAAAAACAAGCTTTCTGTTTCTTGGTGTTTTATGTGGGATTATTTTAGAGAAAACCAAGGATGCGTATGAGCTGCTAAACCAAATGGATGACACAAGAACAGAATCGCAGATTGCATATAGAATGCTTGATGTTAAAACAAAAAGATCATCAGACCAGGCAGACCTTGAAAAGACTATTGAGTACTTCAAGAGAACAAACAAGCTTTCATCAGAAGTCACAATAGCCATGCATGATGCGCAAGTTGCAATTGACCCCAACAATGATATACTGTAGAATAAAAGTATACTTATTAAACCAATTTATAATATTAGTTCTTATGTTTATATCCTGAAATGTACTTATGTGTCTATTAGACCAGTCTGAAACCAACTAGAAATCATACCCTTAGTATGCGCATAGGAGTTGTTTGTCCCTATACATCCTTTATTCTGTTTATCTATGCCATAGCACTGCAAAGAGAAGAAGCCCCCAGGTGTGTTTGGTTTATAGCAACTCTCAGTGGCAGGCTATTTCTGTATTTCTTGCCTAGCTTATAATAAAGAAAATAGAATTACTATTTTTTGCATATAATATTTAATAATTCGAAAGGGCTATTTAAATTTGGCCAGGTCTGATTGGTCTATTAAAAATAAATAATCCTTATTTCAGGTATATTATCTAGGATAATTATTCAAATAGGCGCCTCTAGAACTAAATAAAAACTATAAATATATGGTTGCGTTGTGTTTGTAATGAAGTTCATCACCTTGATTGCTATGCTTGCATCACAAGTACTTGCAGTTAACTACATTCAGGAGACTGTATTCTCTCCTGAATTTTCCAAAGGACCTAATGCAATTATTGTTGAGTCAGGGCCAGTTGGTAACACTACTATTCAGAAAGGAAACATGACATTCTCAAAGAGAGAGATCAAGCCTACTGAAGTTATTGATACATATGACATAATGGTTGATGGTGCAGCAGCAGGTACTGCTACAAGAACCACATCAGTTCATACAGACATTGCAGGAATGGGAGGATCTCCATACCTTGAGGCTAAGTTTGAAGTAACCTTAGAATCTCCAGCTGGGCCATCTGCATTCTCAGAAATGGCATACCTCACCTCCGACGAGCAGCTAAGAATTAGGGACCTCCAGCTTGTGTTCAGAGATGCATCTGAAGGCTCCAGTGTTAATGAGGTAGTTTCCAATGAGACAGGTCTTATTTGGAGAATAACCCCAGGACCAAGATTTATTCCATCCTTGAGTAGAATGGAAGAAGGTGGATTAATTGAGAGCCCAACAAGCAGATTTACTTTGACTCTGTTCCCATACAACTCTACCAAGTTAGATATCACAATCTTCGCCAGAATCCCATCAGGAAGTGGGCTTATTAACATCTATGATTCAGGTGTTATTATTCTTGCTGCAGCCACCCCAGAGGACGAGGAAGAACCAGAAGACGAGGAAGACCCAGAAGATCCTGAGGACCCCGAAGACCCAGAAGACCCAGAAGATCCCGAAGACCCAGAGGACCCAGAAGACCCAGAAGATCCTGAAGACCCCGAAGATCCCGAAGACCCAGTTGAAGGCTTCTACCGTGCTTCTAAACCAAGATTCCTAAACAAAGTACGCACTCCTATCTCTGTATAAAAAGGTTGCATTTGATTCGACACAAAATATACTGTAAAATAAAGTGCATTTCTTGTATTTATTCCTTTCTATGCCAGCTCAGTATTTTCAATTTTTTTTGCTTTTCTTAGCATACTCTTAGTACTATGTGTTTTTTAGTTTAGAGCAATTTGTTGATATAGGGTTTTGGTATTATGTGTGCCCAATATAGCTGTTCTTCTATTAGAGTTTGCTTTATAGAAAAGTAGAAAGTGTAAATTTTGTTAGAGGTTGGAATTAAAGCATATTTTAGTTGATATATTACACATGCCAATTGTTTCTCTATACTAATAAATGCATTTAAACTATAATTTAAAGGAACAGTTGTGTTATAGACAGAGTTTCCTCATACAGAAATACTTAGTTCAATGAATGTGATCTGCATACATTATTTCTAATAAACAAGAATTTAAATATACTAGTTTCGGGTTATTAATTAAATAATCAATTATGCAAATTGTAAATAAAAATACTAATTTACATAAAAAACAGCTATGCACAACAGCATTGTGGACTTTGGCTGATTGTTTGTATATGAAGAAAGTCTCATCTTTTAAAACTGCAATTCTGGCAAAGCCTATTTGTTTAGGAGCCTTGATTTATTTAAAATTTAAAATAAAATGAAAGTGTATACTTTAAAATACAAAAGAATACAGGTTTAATTTATAGAATCAATGTATAAATAAAATAAAACATTCAAATATGTGAGTTGTATTTATACATGCAGTACCACTACCAAATAGAAAGGTTGTTAGAGATCGGCTTTGTATGGATCGGAGCATTTGTTCTTTGGTTGTAGCAGTATTTCATCATAAGCTGAACCATTGCATTCTGATGGTATGGCTTAACCAAAATGTCATTTGCTCCCGCGCCCAAAACAGAAATGTACTCTTCCTGGGCCAGCCCGTCGATAGTCAGAATAACCGGCGTTATTTCGTCATACTGTCTGAAAGCAGAGAGAATTTTTTGTATGCTTGGAATCTGAAGACTCAGAAAAACAATATCGTACTTGGTTTCGGACAATTTTACAAGAATGTCCTTCTCCTGCTCGATAATGTCTGCAGAGCATCCTATTTTTCGAAGAATTGCACCTGCATAGGAGCTACACGTAACGTTATCCTCGGCAACAAGAGCACTTACATTCTCCTTGAAGAGAACGTCCTTCTTGCTCAGGTTTCTTTTCAGATCATTTACTTCCTCTACTAGCACTTGAAAATGCACAGTAAGCATTTTTAGTGTTCCAATAATCTGGGACTGTATTCTGTTAGAGGCCTCTAAATTGTCCGAGCTCATCTCTCGAGACGTCTTAAACCGCTTGTCTGCATTGCTTTTCTTCCGCACTATATGCTTTAACATGTCGTCTCGCCCCCTTTGGAAATAATTGTGCTTGAACTCCCACACCTGCTGCCCAAACTGCTTTAAAATACACTCTTGGCTCTTTATCTTGTGAAAGTCATATTTGTTTAGCTGCCGAACAAATGAGCTTAAGTTTCCATGCTTAAAGTGCTTGTTTAGCATGCACCTGCCAAAATCCGTCGGGTTTATTATGAGAAAACTTGTCCCCTGCCCTGTCCATTGAATGTACGGTTGATTCTGAACATCTTCCAGCATGCTGTACAACTTTTCTATAAATTCTGTTGATTGTGATGCGGTCTTCAGAACCTTCATATTGCTTCTTTTTCTAATAGAACCTTTAATATAGACAGGTTTTAATCAGTCTTATTTTGTATAGAAAATATTTATTCTAATTCTGTAAAAAGAATTGACTTTTTGCTATGAAGACCTCTTTTAATTAATTACTATGTGTTGTCTTTATATAAATTAAATATGTCACTTAGAAAGTTCGAATAGCATTAAATCAACCAATCTTTACAGATTGGGATATATTAGAACATCCCTGGTGTTTAATAACAATTCATTATAAGGCATTTATCCATAGAAACAGTATAACACATGGTATGTTGCATATATTATTTATATTTTTATATGTTAATAAAATGAGCTTCCGTATTGTTTTATAAAGTATAAATAGAGTTAGAAAGGAAGAAAATAAGTAGAGGGCAAGTTTAATTTTTGTTTTAATGAACATAAAAAAGGAGGAGATGGAGAACGTGGAAGAAAGTGAGGATTTCTTTCTTGGAAAGCACGAGCAGGCCCACTCTGAAATATCTGTAAGAGAGAGCGAATATCTGCCGAATGAAAGAGATCTTTCCACGCCAGCATCTGACGTAAATATATATGAGATTATTTCTATGTACATACCAGTAGAGAAAACAGACCAGATGAAAAGTCTTATAAGGGATGTTGTTACAAAAAAGCACACAAAACAACAAATTATAACAAGAGTGAATGAGATGGGAATAGATCCCGTGGCATATAATAGACTAATTATTCATTTTATATCTCTTGCCAGCCAAGAAAGTGCAAAGAATGTGCAGTCAGAGAGCAGGTCAAAAGTATTAAAGTTAAAGGGGGCGTTAAAGGATCAATTCCTTATGGATATAAAAAAAGACTTAGATGATCCTGCATACAACACAAAGACACATCAGCAATATTCACTATTTAAAAGAACCCCTGAAGATTTATCTAGTGCTGTGAGTAATAGGCCGCAACTTATCTCTCTATTCTCCGCCAACTATAACGTACTGTGCTGCAAGATAAAAAGGATTTTAAGTGTGAAAGACCTCCACAATAGACTTAAAAAGGGGTCATTTGAGTACAAATTAAGCGAACAGGTGACTTTGGAGACAGCAAAGTGTACATATGCAGCAATTCTCCACTATATTAAGGAAACAATAGGAAAGTGCTTGAATATTGATAGAGAGCTTGATAGAAATATGCTTATATCAGCCATGTTTGGAAATGTTCGGGGGGCGTATTTACTATACAACAATTATCCACCATCATAAAATAATTAATAACAGAAAGGATACAGAAAGAAATTCGCTGTTGTGATCGCATGTATGATATACAATGTAAAAACAAATTCTACTTCTGGATATTTTCAGATATTGCTAATTGCTTCGGGAGTATATTACTATTTTATGGCTACTTATATTTTCTGAAATTTAAAGCTGATTGCTGTAATATTTTGTGCATTTTGGCCTAAAATTTAGAGTTATCTATTGCATGTAGAGATGTTCTAAAGAGTTCGGGTTATTTACACCTTTTTGAGGCTTTTTGCATATTTCAAGAGGTTCTTAGCTTTGGTGTACCATAAAAGATTTTTATGAAACTTTCTCGGCAAGGATGTAGTAGAACAGTTATTGGTACAAGTGAGAGAGGATTCTTCAGAGCGTTGGTAAATGAGAATGGATTTTATCCAAAGGACTCTGAGGTGACTATAGAGGAAATAGAGAACTATGGTGACATAGCAATGAAAGGATCCAAAAATGGAAGCTCTGCAATTGTAAGCATAAGAATAAAAACAGAAGAGTCTGCTCCAATAAATGCGCAAAAGATAAAACTAAATAACGAGGTAGTTGCGAATGTTTCCGTGGATGTGCTTGTAGACACGGGGGCAGTTCAAGAAATAGTGCAGGCTTGTTTGGCAGAGGCACAAAGACTGCTGACTGTTCCAGACATAAAAGAGCTATTTAAAAACAGACATTCAATTGCCAAAAACATTTACAGGGCCGAGCAGCGGAAAATAAACAAAAAAACAGTTACATATGGCCTGGTAGATGACAAGTTTTTCATATCACCAATACTCCAGGAGTATGCAGCGTCAGATGCTATTATATGCATTACATCTGAAAATAATAAAATAATAGACATTTCTATAGAAAAAGGCGCAGTCTCGCCAAAAATACTAAATAAACTAATTCGGCAGCAGGTGGAATAATATTTACTGCCGCTCTAAAATGATTATAAACTAACAGGCTGCGGGGTAGGGCCATTAAATGAATTTATTGCTAGCATGCTGTGCTATAGGATAAATACACGAGCGTATATTTAATTTTCTGCCTATTTACTGCTGCTATAAGAAATACTTCCTGTGTATTTTCAATTAAACACAGTGTTTATAAATGTGTATCAGCTGATTTTTGGATATATAAACATTTAATATTTATGAGCAGTTATAATATACGTCAAATGGTTAATTGCCATCTATAAAGAGAAAGAAAAATAAAGAATACATTAAAATAAGAAACCATGCGATAAATATATTCATATATTATAAAAGAAATAAAAATATGCTATACAAACAGATAATATATATTTAATTTCATTTATTGCCATTATAATATTAATATAGTATAAACAATACGAAAATAAATGAGGCTTGCCATCAAATTTGCTTTTTTATTGCTAAAAAATCACAGAAGTTTACTAGAGCAGCAATTACTTAAATATACAAGTGACAAATGAATATCTGCATTTTCGAGTTATAAGAAGCCAGTTAACCACTAGAGCAGCTTAAAATCTAATCTTCTTATGGCATATTCTTAAAGATTTTTCAGAGTATGCACACACATGCATAATTTTAATTTATATATAATGATTAATTGTTCCTATTTAAAGATCTGAAAGTGTAAAGCACGTTTTAAGCTTTAATCTGTTTTAAATTATATCTAGTAGTTAGTCCATTTCTGCAGTGCTTAGTTCAATACTTACTGTTGAATTATTGCTGCTCATTACATCTATATTTCTTTTCTGCTTTCTTTTAGTTCCTTTCCCTAGTACCTTCCCAAAGTTTTTCTTTCCAGGATTAATAACCCTCTTCATATAGACGTATAATATTATAAAAGAGAAGACGAACATGGCTAGCGACAGGAAAAGAATGTCAAGTATGCTCTTTTTTTTTGGCTCTTCCATTTTTACAAAAACAAATGAAAACAAAAGGATTTCTTTCCGTGTTTCAGAAACACTTACAGCGGGAGGTACTAAGTACTCCAGAGTACAAGAACCTGCTGCACCATGTGCTATGTATAAAAAACAGTCTAATAAACAGGTATTGTATATCTCCCATATGCTCTCGGGTGTTTAAGCTTACCAAATCCACAGTGAACACTGGGGCTGCTACACTTAATATTGCAGATGTCTTATTAGAAATAGCCAGTACATCTATTATAGATATAATGGACAAGACAATTTCCCAGCCTCTAAATATACTGAGTGATATAGTTTACAAGCCGATTCTTCATACTGGAAGGCATATTTACAGTGGGCAGCCCTACAAGCGAAATATTGATATAGAGGCAAACAACTTACAGATGAAGGATCTGCCATTAACACAAGACCAAGCAAAAAAATTAATAACTGCAGTAATTGAGGGAATGCATTATGATGATCTTTTGCAAGAATATTCTCCGTACGCATGGAGAAGTATACGAGTGGGGTATGCGCCAGGTGAGCTGCTAGATGTAAACCATGTCGAATATAACAGAAAAAAGAAAGAGCTTTTGTTTATTGCAGATATGTATAATGAAATAGAAGACAAAGTGCATAAGAAAAAGAGTAAGTGGAAAATAAAAAATGATAAAAAAGATGGAGTAACAGTTCATAAAGTAGAAGTATCTGAAATTCTCTAATTTAGAAGAATTGATCCAACAAATTATGCAAGCGAGCAGAAATTTATAAAAATGCACCATAGAATATCCAAAAATTGAATTTATTTTTGGTTCTGTGCAGTATTATAAATATAAAATAGTATTATATTATTTGTGAAATAGATTTTGAATTTTGGGGTATTTCAAGTGAAGTGTGATAAAAATAGTATTAGCTCACATTTATTAACAAATCTGTATTTTTAAGGAATAAATAATTTTGTTTTTAATGCTCCCCTGCGCCTATCTGATAATGTAAAAATGTGTTGAACATATTTGTTTAATGCTTACTAGTTGTGCCATGATCGGCCATATGAGAACTATAATAATTATAAATACTTAGATATATCTCTAAGGGTTTTATATATTTAAAGCTCATTAAGATTCTTTATCATATAGCTTTTTTATATTTATAATATGATATGCACACAAGTAACTATTCTGCATTAAAAATATAATAGCATAAAGAAAGAAATGCTATTTACAAATACAAACAGCAGCATATATGCATTTTAATAATACCTAAGATTTACTAAGCATCAGGGTTAAACTGCGGTTTTTTGGATTTCGGGCTATATTGAGATGCACAGTATAGAAATTATGGTTAGAAGCAACAATAGATTGTATATTGAGTGTATTTATTGTTTTATACTCCACATGATGGCTGCTCTATTTGACATAGCAAGTCTTGCCTGCTTTCTTAGCTCAGCCCGCAATTTCTGCAGGGTTTCAGAAAGAACTTCGGTGCATGGGGTTTTTTGAAGAAGCCTTCCAAGTGCCCAGGCAAAAATTATTGGATTATCATCTGTTGGTATTTTGGAAAGTGCCCACAATAGCTTTTCTTGAATTTCACCATTCATAATGTCAATCGATTTTTCTATATCAGTCTTTGACAGTCTTTTAAGAGCGTTATAGATGTACTGTGGATCGTTCCCTTCTAAAGCAGATTCTAGCTCCTCTATTGCATCTATTTTATAGATCTTTTTGCTTTTTGCAATTTCTTTTGTTTCTGCCTCTCTTTCTTCAAGCGATCTCTGTTCTGCTATTGTTGTGCTGTAGTCTCCTTCTGTAAAAAGAGAAAGTGCCCTCTCTCGAATAATCAGAAGATGTCTATCGAGCAGCGCAATTCTTCTCTGCCCAGGAACTGCTCTTGCCTTTCCTGTCATATACTCTATCTTTTTGACCTTTTCAAATGTGTCTTTCAGGTAGTATATCATTCCATACCCAGTGCTGACCAGAAGAAGGTTGTTTTTTAGGAATATTCCAGATGGGTCGATAGGGTTCAGAGTTTTTCTGCATTCTCCATGCCTCAGCCCCCACACCTTGATCAGTTTGTCCCCTCCTAGGGTATATAGAAGGTCTTTCTCGCTACACATACACATGTCTACAACAGGAACTGAGTGGCCATACAATGAAAGCACCTTTGTTCCGTCTACCTTATGCACTTTAACTGTGTTGTCTGCCAAAGATGCAAATATCAGCGTGCTGTCCTGTGATATTCGCACACAAATAACCTCGTCTTCATATTCTAGCTCATCCTTTTCAAAGCTTTCAAGATCAGCTGCGCCCGCCTTGTTTAGATTTCTTTCCAGTAGCACCACTCGGCTTTCTGTGGACACTGCAATTAGTTGATCGTTCAAGTCAACCGAGCTAATTGGCTCGTCTGATATTTTTATACTTTCTATTTCTTCTCCCTCTTTGTTACGTATGCACATGTTTCCATCCTTCTTTCCAATATAGTATTTGCCATTGTGAACAGATATACATGTCATTCCTTGGTCTTCAAAGAGAAGGGTTGCCATTGGATGGGTGTCTATCTCATCTGTTTCAGGCGCAGATGCAAATACTTTGCCCTCAGTCTCAGTTATTCCTAAAATAGAGCCTGAGTTCTCCACCACTGCAAGAAGATTCTCCCGGCCTCCTTCAATAGATGTCATATACTCATTTCCTCTATAGACCAATAATCCATTATCTGCAAATAGCACTACTGCTTTGTTCTTAAACACCTGAATAGATGTGGGCGGGCGTGTGTTTTTAAACTGCCCCCTTTCAGTGATAACTCCCTGTGATACACTTAACCAGTGGTACTTTCCTTTAGTGTCCTTTGTAAATAATAAAGAATCTGTGCAGCTGTGCAATGACGCCCTGTGGTTCAATGGTATTTCAGCCTTTGTCTGCAGATCTGTGATGCATTCCGGCAACACTGCGTATAAAGCGCCAGCAACAAGAAAGTCTAAGATTTGGTTGCCGCTAAGGTGCACCATAGTGGCCTCTTCTATTCGATTGAACAGATCGCTGATATTGTATATGTGAACTATTCCCTGGATGGTCCCCATGTATATTTTGTCTCCAATCACTCTTCCTACCGAAATAGGAATGTCTATAGAGATGGTGCACAGAACGCTTTCTGTTCTTAGATCAAACACAGTGAATGCAGACGTAGTGTAGACCACAGCAATGTCAGAGCTGCAGTATATTCCTATTATCTTTTTAATATGCTCTCTAAATCCAAATAGCTCTCTGCCCTGCCTGTCAATGCACTTGACAGTTCCGTCGGAATGCCCTACCATAAATTGCATGTCTTCTTCTGACACACATGCAATGGCCGTTACTACACTTAATCCTATGTAGCTAACTGACTCTTGAATAGACAGCGTGTCAACATCCCATACAATGATGTTTTCGTATGCAGTGGCTGCTATCTTGCTTTCTCCTATTCGCGTAGAAACAGAGCTGCTCTCTCCAATAGAAGAGATACTTTTTGTGTACGCATAATTGGCTATGTACTCATTCATTCGGATACTAAAAAATTTTCATGTTTCAGTTAAATTTCTGCTGGTACACACTAGTAGCCAAAGACTCTCTGAAGACCAGACACCATTTCTAAATCTGCATACTCTGTTCAGTGCATAGGAATATCCTGTTTTGTTGTTCTATACTGCTTGTATATTTCAAAGATAAATTTTAAAGCAATTGCCATTTTAACCGTGCCTATTTTTAGTATGCATATTATCAATGGGCCATAAAAATTCGTGTACAGCATAAAATACTATCTTTCATCTTAAAATCCTAGAAGGCGCTTTCTTTGAATTTTCATTATTTATTTAATTATAGTGCTTCATACTGTGTCCATTGGTTTGATCTTATTTTATAGAGAATTCTGTGTCCGCATTGTACGCATCGAACAGCATCTTTTGGTCCAAGTATTGCTATTTTATTACACTCCGAGCATTGGTAACTGCATTTGCGCTCTTCCTCGTTCATTTTCTGCAAGTAAAAGAAGAAATAAAATATTTATAGCCTTGGCCCATTCTCTGGGGAGCTGTCCCCATCGTATCCATTTTGGTAGTATCCAGGAGGGTATGTGCTACCGCGGATAATTCTATCATAACCATATGTGTCGTTGTTTTTGTAGTATCCAGCAGAGTCTTGTGGGAATCTTTCTGGAGTGTCGTATATCCTGTTTACATCGTTTGTATAGGGGGTGTTAAGATACTGCTGAATTAGATTCTCGTGCTGCTTAATGATTGGCTGCAATTTTGGTGTGGCAAATGTATATACATGTCCTGTTTCTGATGCAACTACAAGAAGAATCTCACACTTTGTCAGCACATTCAGTTCGTATGCCTTTTTCATAATTCCTTTCTTTCTTTTGCTAAAGGTAACCCCTCTTCTGCCTTTGTCTTTGATGAAGTCCATGCGAATCTTCTTTCTGCCTTTTGTTGGCTTGGATGAATCATCTTCGCTTTCGCCAGAATCTTCTATGTGCTCTTTTCTAAAGAATCTAAGGCTAGAAAGCGCAGCAGATGACTTCTGCCTCTCTAATGAATGACTATCCATGGAAGAAAGGCTTGGCTCTGTAGGGGAATTGTGCGCAGTGTGAATAGGGGGCGAATGAAACCCCAGCATTTTGTCTCTTTCTATTTCTTGCCCTATAGATAATAAAGATCCCCCAGATATGCTATTACTTCTGAACTGTCTTCCTGGAAATGCCTGGTTATACATTCTTCTGTCTCTTGCTGTGTTTTCTTTTCGTGTTTGTGAAGGCGACTGCTCCATTATTGGAGACCTCTCAGCAGAAGAAGCCCGCTCATACATCATAGGTAAGTAGTCATCATTCCTTCGATATCTGTATTCTTTGTTTTGATTATATCTGTAATCTTCCGAGGCTCTGTCTTCATAGTCAGGCTTCTCTTGATATTCTCTGTATATACCAGAGGGGGCTTGGTATTTTTCATCTATACTATTGTGAAAGGCTTTTTGCTTCTGCCGTTCAGCTCTCTCGTAAGATGGGCCGAGCCTAGGAGAACTATCATCTCGTGAGTACCTCGGGTCTACCATTACAGGGGCGCATAAAATTAGCAAATATATTTTTCTAAAACAGGAAAATAGCCATGAGTTTAATTTTCAAAATTATAAATATTATTTTCTTTATGATTGCCATGCACATCAAAGAAATATGGCCAGAGCCACCACTGCCAAAGAAGGCCATGGAAGTTCCTCGAATACCAAAAATAATTGAGGCCTTTCAAAGGCCACTGTCTGTGGAAGAAATGCCTGCGCCCTGCCGTGAGTTAAGCCAGGTCTTATCAGACATAACTGCGCTCTTTACTGAGTCTGTCCATAACTCAGTGCGTATAAAAAAACCCCGGGGAATAGAGAGCGAAGTTAAAAAAATAGAAAAATTATATGAAGAAATAAATTTAATTATAAGCAGTAAAAGAGAGATAGAGGCTAAAGAAAGGGCCATATACTTAGTAAAAAAACAAATAAACAAAAAGCAAAACCTAATTAACAAACTTAATTTAAATGAAAAAAGAAAAAGAAAAGAAATAACTGGCCCCTGAGAATGTACTGGTAAATAGAAAAATAAAAAGAAAATTTAAGAAAAAGGTTTTATTATTAATAATTTAATTTCGGGTGTATAAAGGAAAGTTGGAATAAATACTACAGAATAACTCCGGGAATGTGAGCGATTTAAACATAGCACTTTTAGAACAAAGTGCCCACAGAATACATATATAAGTGTTGTATGTTGTTTTAAAGGAATGGGTATGCTCAATTAGAATTAAGAAGAATCAATTGTACCTTCAGGATATTCTATTTTAAAATTTATTTTAGGTTTATACGTAATTAAGCATTGTTATTAATTGTTTATTTAAATTTATTGAGTGGCCTCTCTTGGCATTTTAGGATATTAAAAAGAAAACATGTTCACATATTTATATATTAATTAATATACCCCAAAATGCGCACATTCTTTATTTTATTCAATATTAGGGTCTTGCTTCTATCAGGAGTATATTTTGAAATATATAAGTGTTTTTAGATAATTTAGTCTATTATATAGAAGTATTTTTCGGGTTATATCTTCGGGTTATCTGTTTCTATTTTATGTGTGTATAAATCTAAATCTTCTTTCCCATTTGTTTTCGGATATATTTCAATATATGTCATAACACAATAATTATATATTTAGATAATTTATTGGTTCTTTTGATGTTTTTAGATGTATCTAGGGAAATTTTGGATTATTTTATTTCGAATTAATTTAAATAAAACCTATTCACTGGTCTATGTAACAGTATATAAAGTGTACACTTTTGATTTTTTTCTATAAAATAAATAAAAAAATAAGTGAATGTAAACATATTTATAGCACAATACAGTGTATTATAAAAATAAAAAAGTAACATAGAATGGCTATTAAGCAAAATATGATATATCAACTAGTCCAGAATATATAACTAGGCATTGTTCCAGTATATAACCCGAAATTCAAAGAGATTTAATTATAACACAGAATAAATGTAAATATTTAATGTTGTCTAATATGAGTTATAATTAACTACTTGCTATATGGCAAAGAGAGAAAAGTTATTTTTTTAATTTAAAGATATATTTTATATACAGAGTGAATATAAGTAGCTAGTATATAATATTCTATAAAAACATAGTCTTATGGATGGTTTAATTCAGATATATATTTAACTCTTATAGTTAAAAGTCATCTGAATCAAACCATCCATAAGAAAATAGAAGAAGTATGACTAATACCGCCAAAACATTAATTAAACAATTTAATTACACTTTGACAGAAAGACATCATTAATTTAATGAATGACATTAAATTAATGGGATGGACAGAACAATTCGTTACTGCCGATTAATTAAAATAGAATATATACTTAAAATTTCTTGAAATAGATATTTAATTTATGCCATTAAGTATAATAAAGCCAGAAGTATATTTGTCCAGAATTTAATTAATTTATCAAAGACTCTTTATTATTACAACTGAAACTCCACTTATGCACTATTATGAAGTATTAAAGGGCATAGCAGGAAGCAGTGGATATTTTATCATGTAATTTATACATAAACAGAAACAATTATATGGTTTTAGCTAATTTATTAAAATAGAAATAATTACTAAATTGACAAAAAATAATTTGTCACATTTCTGATGTGAAGCAATCAACACTTGAATTAGAGATTCATTAAAATTAAAACCAAATACATCTAACCAATTAGCTGCACAATAATAAGCACAAATATATTATTATTCTCAGGATTAATTAATTAAAGTGTTATAAATAATTAATATAATGAGAACAGAAAATCTATTAATAGCGATGTACTAAAGTATAAAAGGCCAAATAGAATTTATTAAACTCAAAAATATAGAAGAGAAATTATGTCTGCGTATGCACAAAAGAGGCAATTGGCAAAATATACGAATTAAACGCAGAGGCTGTATTAACTATTTCGCTTTATAGACCGAGGCGATCAGCCATTTTCATTGCCACGCGATAATGTATCTATTTTTTTTATTTACATGAAATGAAGCACGCACCAGTTGGACCAGAGGAAAGAAAATCTATTTTAAAGAAGATATACCATGCACTACGACAGTCTCCCATGTTTACTCATTATTCTGTCGAGCACATACGGGACTCTGCTATAAAATCCGAGCAGCTGACGTTTGATCGTTCATTTACCAAACAAGAGTATATGCAAGCAATGCATTCTAAGCTTAAAAAGATAGAAAAAAGTTATGTAATGAATGCAGAGGAGATACTTCGAGAGATGGGGAACAAGCCAGGGCATATGCAGCCAGAGCCCATTCATGTGAGTCGGCCAATGGGGATGTTTAGGGATCAGGTAGACAAGCCATCTAATTCTGATATGGAGGAGTATTCTATGCACAGCCAAAAAAAGACAGGGCCCGAGTTTGTTTCATTAGCAGGAAGCCAGCAGGGTCGGGGGACAAACTTTTCATTTATTCCTGATGATTCGCACATGGGGAGAGCACGGCCAAGAAATCCTGCACCCCATATGGTTTCTGGGATAAATAGCCATTCAGGACCTTCTGGTATGGGAATGGGACTGGGTGGAGGGTGCGATATTAACAATTCTTCTATGCAGGGGTATTCACAAACCATTCCAGGAAGCACGCCAATCAACAATCCAGAGATGTCTTCCAGCCAAACAAATCATATGGGCGGCAATCAGTTTATAAATATGCACATGCAAAGGATGCCAAACCCGCAAATGGGCATGCATTCGATGAATAACAGCTTTGGGCAGCCTGCAGGGCAGTCAATAAATATAAACAACAAGCCAGGTGGGTATGGGCTTGTAAGTGTTGGAGCTGCGCGGAATGGCCCGATTGATATAGGGGGTAATATAAATAGAGTAAGCGTGCAAGGGCCAAATATCATAAAACTAGACCCAATGACAGATCTGGGCTCTATCTCTGGGGGCCGGGATAGCAGAAATGAGATGGGTCTAAAGGGAGTAGAGGTGAATAGCATTAACCCAACTATGCAGAGGGATACGCTGCGGGGCATAAACACCGGAATGGCGAAAAGTATGGGAAGGCTAGATCCATTTGTGCCGATTGGAGGATTTGGCGGCGCAGGCGAGGGATCGGAGTTTTCAAGAATGGGAGTAGACCACATGGGAGATATGCAGGGAATTGGCATGGGCATGGGCGGGATCACACTTGGAAATGTTTTGCACCGAACGGGAGCAGCAGGAAGCACAAACACTGCGGCGAAAATGAACAACACACGCATGGCACCGCCAAATCATTATTCAAAGGGGGGAGCGCTAGGGCCAATCTCGCATGAAGTAAAGCCTATTAAATTACGACAGGAAGAGAAACTTAAAGCTCGGCCTAAAATAGACAGAATAGAGTCTCCGGTGCACATTAGCCCAGTGGAGAGCTCGCCAAGAGCAGGAGGAAAGAAATACGAAAAGAAAAAAGAAGCACAGTCACAGACAGAAGAAGAATTAAAGAAAATAACAGAAGAGATCAAAAAAATGGACGAGGTCCTTTCAACACATCAAAGCATCTTTCCGCGGTGGGAAAAACAGAGAAGACTCTTTTATAATTTAGAGGATGTCTTAAATGCTAAAATAAAAGAGCCAAACGAGGAAATAGAGAATATTTTGGGAATATTTCAGCAGATGAAAAGACAGATCATAACACTATCGCAGGAAATAAAAGAGGGAAACTCTCTAACTTTTAAGAAAAGAATGGGAAGGATCTCTAGTGCATTTATGCAAAAACAAAAAGCAGAGCCAGAATACCAATTTGTGTCAACAGAAGAACTGCTTTTAGAATACAACTAATCAAATAAGGCATGTGTCGCTCTATGCTGCTAGAAAAGTCTATAGAGCCGTGTGGAGCCGCATTATGCATATGGAAATTCCTATAATAACTACAATATGAATAAAAATTAAATCTTCTTTATATATTTTCATGTTATGTTGTATGTTAAGAATAGCATTAGTTTAGCATGACATGAGTTATCGGAATGTTTGCATAAACAGGACAGCACAAATTAAATCAGAAATATTTGTTGACACATCAAGTCAACATAAATTAAATTGATTATACGATCTATAAATACGTATACAAATCCAATAGAGGTCAAAGTTTAAGAATGCCTTTTCCTAAGAAAACAACTTGCTATATACATGGCTGTTGCTTATAATAAGCTAATAGCGCAAAAGAAAGGATTTATATATTTGCAAATATAAATTATTCTAGGTAGGTAGAAAATTCCAGGAGCGCAGGGTTTTATTATGTAAAGGATAGATAATATTTATTTTTAATAAATCATGCTTATATTACGTAGTTTTAAAATCGCATTTATTTAAATCATTTAGAGAGCTATTTTAGACACACCCAGAGCAGTTTGGATTTCCGAATACTATAGCTAGCAAAATAGTTCTGAGTTATATTTGGAATAAAGGCGCATAAAAAACCTTTAGAAGAATTCTAATGAATGATTGTGCTAAGTAGATGTGTTGCCGCGCGATTTTTATTTCCATTAGATTGCGAGCTATCGGTGGGGCCGTTTTTCTGATATATATCAAATGCCGTTTGAGAGCATCTATTTTTCTTCTTCATTAAATTGTGAGTCTCTCCCATCGCCTTAATCTCCATAAGATACATGAACATCAACAAAGAACGGATTTCCTTTGATGTTTTGGCTATTAAGGTATTAAGCTCGGTTAAGAATACATCTTTTTTTGTGGTAGAGCTCATTCTTTCTTTATACTTTTCATTAAATTCATTAATTTTTTTATTGAGATTTTGGCGGCGTATGGCCTTATTCCCGTTTTTCTTGAAGTCTTCATTTTCCTCAATGGATTTTATTTTATCAATAGAAGATTCAATCCTGCTAAGAATAGAAAGATTGTTTATGTAGAGGTTTTTACAATGCTCAGCAGACATTTTCGCAGTGCAATTTTCAGTGTTTATAGCTGGTCTATTAGAGAATAGAGCCAAGATTTCTGTTTTATATGTGGCGTATAAGTCTATAAGCAAGTTTTCTATTTTTTTCTGATACTTCTTATAAAGAGGGCTTGTTTTGGTGATATATATTTGTTCTGAAAACTCAGAGAATGCTATGTTAGAGAACATTTTAACAGCAGAATCTTTTGTTTCATCATACATCATCTGAGAATTAGCTAGAGCAGTGCTGTTATTTGATGTCTTATGTTTAATATTGTGCAGCTTTCCCGCTAATATAAGCTGGGAGTGAAGGACCACGGGGATTATTTTGTTCATTTCATCATACCGCAAGGTAATTTCATTTTTTTTCTGTTTTGTAAAAACAGACATGAAGGAAGAGGAGGCCATGGAGGAGGAAGCAACCTGTGCAAGAAGGTCTTCGCTCAAATATAGTAAGATTGTATTGTTTATTTGCTGCTGCAGAATAGAAGTCACTCCTTTTGATATGTCTACTTCAGCTGGAAACAGTTTAAACTCACTGACTTTAATAGACTTTCCTGATTTGTAGTCTGTGTTGTTCATGTATTGGCTGATTAGCTTGTTTGTTTCGTCATTTAGGTAGCCACTGCACTCATTGTGGGATAGTATCTGATTGAAAGCATTTTTTATGAACATGCTTAGACTATCTGTGTACGTGTTGGAAACCATTCTGAGTGATTCAAGCGTATCCCTTCTGTACCGGCTGTTTTGAAGATGCTTAGGATCTAGCTCTGCTACTTCAATTGGCTTCCATGCGTAGAATGGGTTTTTCCCTATAGATGCATGCAAAGCCAGTTTTATAAAGTGGGATGTAGTTTTCTGAATTATTTCTTTTCCGTTTATCTGGTAATTGTGATCTAAAATGTTTGCCTGGAGGTAATTAAATATTTTAATTGTAGACGTGTAATCTTTGACTTTTCTCTGCCACTCTGAAAAAGTCCATTCGCTGCTGATTTTTATAAAGTCATGGATTGCGGCATCCTGAGATCCATCGGTGGCGTCCAGTCTTTTGTAAATATCTTTTGAGATTAGGTTGAGGACTCCATTGGTAATAATGAACAGATTGTTCTGAAGCGGAATTATTGTATTATTTATAACATTTCTGATATTTTGAGTTATGTCCCAATTATTTGCAGTAAGAATATAAGACTCCAAAATATTATTAGAAAGACTTTTTTTCATATGGAGGAGCTTTTGTATCTCCATGGTATACTCTGGTGATGTAAGCGTATTGGTCACAGAGGAAAGGGGCGTAAGGTATTGGTTTGTAAAGTCATCCATAATGTGAATGCTTTTCTTAATAATAGTAATCAATCGGTCCACTATCAGCATCTCATTCACTGCACTATTAGACGGAGTGTTGTCATTATTAGAATTGGAGTCAATAGTATGATTTACTATGTTTTTTTCATCTAAGCTCTCATCTAATATGGTTTTAGAAATAAACCCAGACAGATTGTCAAATGAATATGCGGCTAGTGTTTGATTAAGTGAATAGACAAACTCATTGAATGCGTTGTATTTTGAGTCAAAAACCTTTTGGGCTAGAGAAAGAAAACTTATCGTATATGGCTTTCTCAGATTAAGGTATGTCGCACTGTCGCTTTTATGCATATTCATTATGGCATATGAGTTATCTATTCCATTCAGATCAAGCATGCCGCTCACAATATGCATAAGTTTATAGCTTAGATGGACGCTTATTAGATTCATGTACATTTTGCTGGTATCAATTTTCAGATTTATATTATCTTCAGATGGCTCATCCTGCAGGGTTATTTGTCGGTATGATAGAATGTCAGTCCAGCTGGCAATTCCAGGGGAGTATGTGTCTCTTTCATCTGTTAGGTAGAAAATCATTTTGTCTGCATAAAGAGGAAGCCCAGCTTTTTTAAAATTGATTTCTTTATACTTTCTGATATTAGAAACTCCAATAGAGTACTGCTTAAACAGTGATTTGTAGTAGTCAGTGTGAGGAAAATTAAGCTGTCCTTTTATCATTGAACTTTTCGATGAATAGCTAGTTTGATTATAAGAACTGTCACCAAGTATTGAGGCCATCACAGTTAAGTGCTTTCTGTTCATGGCGTTTGGGTTTATGTTGTCTCTAAATGGATTTTTTTGGGTTATATTCGGGTTATTCTTGTAAATTTCCAACAGAAAAGAGTATTCTTTGATTTGGCGCAGTGACTTGTATATGTTTAGCCTGCGCATGCGGGTCTGTGAAGCCATTTTTAAATCATCTTTTGATATAATCCGCAGCCCACTGACTTCTGGGTATGGATCAGAAGAATTGGGATCTCTTTTTGCATATATCTTATTTATATATGTTTTAACTGCAGTCCAAATATCTTCCTGGCTGGATTCTTTTATATAAGATAGCTGGCCACTAAGTCTTTGGTATATAGTTGCCGTAATTGTTCCATCTGGTTTTATGGGCTCTTGCGAGAATCTGTGCTCTATAGGACTTTCCTTAAAATCATTTACCAGCGGGGTGTACGAGCAAATACTAACTATATTAATAGAATTTATATTTCTAGAGATTTGTACAAAATATATTTTCGGCGTTTTTTTTGAGAAGGATAGTGGTGCTGTTGGGTTATAACTTTCCATAATTAGGGTGGTTTTCGGGTCAAATGCAAGTTTTGTCTTTATAGCGATATTGCTAGTTTGAATAAACTCAGAAGAATGCATTTTTGCGTTAGTAGGTGTATGTGTAACTATTTCTGTAGAGATGTGCACTAAATTGCTTTTTAACTGTCTATTCTTAGATTGTCTACTCGTCACAAACACAGGAGAATTACAGATTAATAGGTTTTGATTTTCTACTTTGGCCCAGTTAAGAACGTATACTGTTTCACTATTTGTATTTACCTTAATTACAGTTTTTTTCGAGTTTTTCTTGGCGCTTACTTCATAATATGCTGCCGCTTCACTTCCATTCGCCTTAATCAACAATGATACCGCAAAAGGGAATACGTGATCTGTGTTAAAGGCATCAATAATAGTAAGGATTAGGTCATTGCTTCCTTTAATTTTGTGAAGTATATAATCATGCGATGTGGAGTAGAAAGAAACTATCCCAGCGTTTTTAAACAATGTATCCACCAAAATATGGCCATGCTCATATTTATACCTGCGGTCTTCATTGATCACAACGCTAGAGCAGTTTTTAGTATTGTCTTTTAGGTTTTTGTCAAACTTCATTTGTATGGTAGAAGAGCCTATATCATCATTAAGAAAACTATAATTTTTGATAGCCGGCATAGACGGATCCGGATGTACCATTTCTTTAATAGTGAACCCATACCAAGAGGAAAACTCATTAGGAATCGCAATAATTGACTGGTATATAATTGTTTTTTCGGGAGTATAGGCGCATTCCTGGCTGGATTTTATGTATTCAAGCATATTTCTCATGGTCAGTGGTCTGTCTTCTTGGATTTTATTAATTTTCGTGTAGTTTAATGATTTTTCGGGCACGGCCCTAGTGTTCTTGCTTGCTATTGCAGAGTTTCGCTTTTTAGACGTTTTGTTTTTATTGGTAGATCTTTTGTTTCTTTCATGTGTATTTTCTGCTGTTTCTGTGCTGTAAATATTTTGAGATTCTTCATCATGGTCTTCTATAGTTTCGAATCCAGCACATTCTGGAGAAGTAATGGACTCTTTCTTGTATAGTGGGGTGGGGGCTTGGGTATAACCAGTGCTATAAATTGGATTATAGGAAGTAGTTGCTTCATGCGGCATTGTCATATTTTCTTTAACCTCTGTAGCATAACTTGTCTTTTCCTGCAGAAGGTTTTTGCTATTAGCAAATGCTAATATATACATATAGATAAAAGAAATAACATAATTAAGATTCATAAAAAATACATAATTTTGGCAATTATATAGACAATTCTTGATATTAATAGACATGATATATCTAAAAGTACAACCATACGTACAAAATACCATATATAAATAGAAGTACATAAGAGCAGTATAATATGAAGCCAAAATTAAACTGCGCATTAATTTGCTGTATAAAGTGGAATATGTGCAAATACACAGAATGTATTGTATTCTACGTATTGTATAGCTCATATTGCATGTGGCATTCGGGTTATGTGGTGGATATTGTGTATAGGCCGTGTTGTGTGTTTAATTTAATATATGTACCCGGTTAGCTCAGTCGGTAGAGCATCAGACTCTTAATCTGAGGGCCGCGGGTTCGAGTCCCGTACTGGGTGTTTTTTTGCTTTGATTTGGCAGAAGTTAAATAAAAGAAATTTTTGCTCCGATGAATCATGGATGCAAAGAATTACCCTGAGCTAGGAAATGTACTAGCAAGCACACAGTACATTAAAGAGTTTGATGAAATCATGGAAAAGTACACAGATCGGTATAGAGATATGTCAAATATATATGGCGTGCGAATGTACATAATAAGAGACCTATTCAATACTTTAATCATATATTTTATACGCATAACTATGTTTAGGCATATGCCAAAAGAACTATATAGAACTATTTTTTGGGGTGGGCTTTTGCAGGTATACGATGAGACTCTTGAAGAGCAGTTTATAGGCATGCAATACGCAGAAAGCCTGCTAACAATGCGAATACTGCGAATCAATATTTATACAGAAATTCAAAAGATGTTTGTAGCAGTCCGAAATAACATATATCTGTGGATGAACATGGTGAGTGCAAGCAGTCTTCACCAGGATGCATACTTTTCGATTGAGTATATTTTTAGGAATGCAATTATTTTGCAGCGGCAGAGCACTTGGCATATAGCAAAGGACGTATTGAGAGAATTTAGTGTATTTTATAAAGAGCGTGTGCAGCTAAGACTAGATGTAACAGCATACACGCTGGATGAATTGTATACGAAAAAAACAGAGCACGGGGATAGGTACATAGAGTATGGAATGCGCATGCTACTAGAGAACAAAGGAGTCCTTGAGGTATTTAATAATAGGAATACCCTGGGGCATTCTCTGAAAAGCTGGTTTTATTCATTAATTACATGGAATTCTGCAGACAATGAAAAGGAAATAGAGGAAAGAAAAAGAGACATAGGCATTATTATAGGGATGGATGAGCACTGGGAGGAAATATTAGAGGCCGAGTATAACTTTCTAAGCTGCTTTTCTGTAGAGAACATTATGATTCTATTTCCAATGACAGCTCCATTGCGCACTCCATCATTCAAAAATTTCCGGCAGCTAGAGCGGCTGGTCAAGGAAAAGGGAATTTTAGAATCATTTATAAATTTAGAGAATTTAGAAAAGTTATTGACTAATCCGTTTGTTTCTAATAGAATGAAAGAGATTATTTCCAGGAGGATTCTAAGAACTATTCATTCTTTAAAGGCCGTGTATAATGACAAACGCCAAGTTTTGATATATGATATGATGAAAGATATGCAGACTTCAGGGAAGATTGTGAAATTGCCTAAGTTTAGGCCTGTCGTGTGCTATGGTATAGGGATAAAACAGTGGGCACAAGGGATAAGAAATATGTTTATTAACATATACTGGATACCATTTTATGCGTGGTTTAACCTAAAATATAACGAGTATTGTGGAATGCTAATGAAGTTAAGTGCGTGTATTTGGGTAATGAATAAAATGGCAAATTTACAGGTGATTTATTACAGAGTGTATAATGACTTAAAAGATAAAAACAATTCATTCTGGAGTAGCGATATTGCTAAGAATATTCAAACTTGGAGGATTTTTTCGTATGCAACATACAGACCAACTATTACAAGAATTAGAAACTCATCAAAAGTAAACAGCACAATTAAAGTAATTGGGTCCACTATAATCACGATTACAAGCGCCTGTAGTGATGCCGTGATAAATATAATGCCAATGGGATAATAATAGCAGGCGCTGGAGTAGATTATATTATATTTCTAAAATAATAATTTGAAGAACAAGAAATCTCTGTCTACTAGAATATATAAACAAATGAATAAAAGTTCTGGGCATTTTCGGCTGGACTTTGTTTATATAATAAGAAGCCCTATCTATTTTTAGTAGCAAATGATTAGGCATGTATGTGCAGTATTCGTGCCAGTAGAGTGTGTGCAGCGTATATGGAGGATTTTTAAAAGAATTCTGAAATAACTGGATTTATACTATTATGTTTATAATAAATGTTGCCAAGGGACTATATATTAGTAATTAGTTTAATAAAATTTTATCTTGGTTTAATTTGTTAGCAACAATAAATATAAATAAAACTGTATTTTAAAAATAATGTGTAAAAATAAAGACAGAATACTTTTAATTCAGCATTTCAGTGAAAACAGAAGAGCGTCTGTAAAATTTCTGGCCACTTAGATATAACTACGTGTTTATGGGCTTAGCGGTAGAAGATTTCTAATTTTTTCGGGTTAAAGAGCAAGCCAGTTTAAAACAATTTGTGCAATGTGTCGAAATATAATCTATTTAAGCAATTTTCTTTTCTATTTTTAAATGAAGAGAGAAAGGGAAGAGGACAGTGATGATGAGGTATTTGAAAGAAGAAGAAAAGTCCACAAACAAGAAAAGGATGTAAAGGACGAGATAGAGGATCTTTTTGAGGAGAATTCATCGGAACAGACAATAGAAGAAAAGCCTGCAGAAATGGAGGGCTGGAAAATGACAGGTGGAGCAGCAGCAGGCATTCTTCTGGAGATATTTGGCAACGGAACTGACTATTTGCACGTAATGGACTACTATGTGAAAAAAAACCAGCAGGAAGAAGAGCGGCACAAGGAGTATTTGCAGCCCAAGGTGGAGGTATACAGCAAGATAGACAAAGAGGAAATTATAAGCAAAGTAACGGAGTCGCTAATGGAGGCCAATTCCTCATTCCCGAAGCAAGATATTGAGATGTTAGTGAGTAATATTGTAGATGATAAGAGTCTGGTTGATGCGGTTGCAGAGTCATTTCACTTCTTGAACAGCGAAAAAAACCACACGACTCTTATGGAGGCGCGAAAGCTTGTTTCTTTGTACAGAGAGAAGGACAAGATACTTGCCCAGCTGCCCAAGGTTATTGACAAAAAAGTAAAAACGGTTATTTCCTGTGCGCACACGCTTAAGACTCCAGAGGAGTACACGCGCCTGGTGCGGTATGTATATAGGCTGCAGTCAGCAGAGTGCACGGACGAGGACAGGGAGTTGGCTGCCAATGTTACGCAGAAAATAACAAATGTATCAATATACTACACCGACTATACTGCCGTGAACAGCGATGACCAGCAGGTAAAAAATGATCTTGAGGAGAAAAAGATGAACAGTGAAAAAGCAAGCGGGGAAGAAAAGACAAAGCTGACAAGTGAGAAGGGGCTTCTTCACAATCCGTGGATATTCAGGGCTGCTGTGGAGATAGGCATGGTGATTTCTTCCATTGAGATACAAGGAATTGAAAATATAAACATACCAGCCAGTAAAATCACAAAAACCGACATGTATCTTCTGCAGCAGCTTAAGACCAGAGGGGTCATTTATAGAATAGTTCTGAATAAAGAAGAAACAGTGAAAAGAATAGTGCAGCGGCTTGAAGGAAGTGCTCCAACAGAGGGGGAGTTGGAAGAAAGCCTTCTGTATTTTATTGAAAAGTCGGCTGAAGATATATGCACTGGCATAGAAAAAGAGCTTGCTGCACTTTCAGAAGAGCACGTAAAGATAGAGCTCTTCAATAGGGTTCTAAGTATTCTGAGCATAAAGCCTGGGAAAGAGAACGTGCTAGGAGTATGGATGGACAAAGGAAAAACCCGATACACAAAGGTAGATAGCAAAGGTGCAGTTGTATCTAGCGGGATATCAATGGGAAGGGATGGGATAAACCTGTCTGACCATGCAGGGATTGTGGCGATTTCTGGGGAGGGGTACCGACTGAAGCAGTATATGAAGTCCAAAAGCAAAGTGTACATAAGTGAAGAGATGCTCCGCGTAATAGGAGGGGCAAAGGACCTTTCTTCTGTGCTGTGCCATGTTGTGAAAAATCCCGTGAGTTCCCTGGAGAGTCTTCTTTCCAATGATGGGCATGTGCCAAGTATGGTTTTGATGCAGCGGATGCTTAAGCCAGAAGTGGTCACTGCTGTTTTAGAGTATGCAATTGCATACAAAAAGGCAGAGTCTGAGATATTCCAGTCTTCCGAGTATGGACAGCTGAAGAAGGATGTGCTTGAGTTTATGAAGAGTGGGGGAGACCCAGAAAATGTTCTTATTGACGAATATGCTACGTATGACTCTATAAGAAAGGCCATAAAAGAAACAAAGGTATCACACACTGGGTGGTCCAAGCCGGCTGCAGTGGCTGTTATAGAAAACAAGCTGTTTAAGGAAGCATACATGCACTGTTTGCACCGGCTTGAGAATTTCTTTGAGGTCTCTGGTGCCCCAGAGCTAAGCAGCAGCGAGGAGTTCCTTATATTTAACGGAATACCAGAGGATGAGCTTTTGGCAGTGCAGACAACGTGGTCACTTTCTTCAGGAATTACAATAAACATGCATGGAAAGGAGATTGAAGGGGTGGTCACGGGAATGCGGCAGGAGACGCACCTGCGGCTGGCCAATAAGGTCTCTGCTGTGCTCAACCAAAAGGTGAGAGAGAATGTAGTTGACGGGCAGAGGCTTACTGTTAGGATTCTAGGTCTAGACATGATACACTACAGAGCAGTTGTGCAGGAGAAAAGAGATAATAAAACGTGCCTGCGCGCACAGTCGCACTGGCGGGTAAAGAATTTGACTGCAAAAGAAGCAAGCCGTGTTTTAAAGCAAAGGCCGTTTGGCTCGTTTGTTCTTCGTCTTTCTTTAACACACCCAGATTCACTCATTCTTACTCTGCGAGTTACTGACAATCCAGAGAAATGTGTTCTGGTGCATCTTCGAATTAAAGAGCTTGCGGGTGGATATGAGCTGGGTGGGCGCATTTTTGATGATATAGACAGTATTGTAGACACGTACGTTCCAAGCTATTTAAAGTCTTTTAAACGAGTCATGCTCCATCGAAAGTTTACTACAGAGCCAGTAGAGGCAATAAAAGCGCGGTTGATGCATGGTAAGTGTGAAGATGCTCTAGATAAATACGCACTGTCGATATCAAAGGCCTCGCCAGGATGCATTTCTTTTGTGTACATTCGTAATAAGGAAGAGGCAACTGAGGTTCTCTTACATGCAGTTGAAAAAGGCCTTTATTTTGACAAAAAGATATATCCCAAGCCAGAAGACTTTATAGCGATGTTTAAAAAGTCACTAGGTCACTAAAGATAAAATAAATAATATTCAAACAGCTCTGCTATTTTATGTTATTTCGAAACACATGCAATTAAAAGAAAACTGTATGCATGCTGGCAATTATGGGCATATTGCAAATTTTCTTATTGAACTATTCGGGCTCTGCTAACTGATTTAGGCGCACATATATATTTCTAAAGCACCTTTCAAAGCCATGTGTGTTAATTTTAAGTGGGGTGCTTTACACTGTATACTTTGAAGTGTAGAGCGTAAATAGATTAAAGAACATGGAGTATTAGAGATGTAAAATATAGAAAAAACGGAATTTCGAATGCGGTAATTTGGATAAATTTTCTTTTCTTTCAAAAAAATATGAGTTCGCGCCAAAAGGAACAAGTTGCCACTTCGCATGGCAGCAAGAACATTCCGTACAGCATATTTACCGAACGGTTTCTGTACGAAAAGGGGCTTAATAGGCACCACATTGAATCATTCAACGATTTTGTAGAGCGGGAAATAAAAACTGTTTTGCGAACAAATAACTTCATAGACTCTGATGTGGATTCAGCCTTTTACATGAAATACACAGACATACGAGTTGAGCCACCATCAGTTGAGGAGAATATGGTAAAAAGATATATCACACCAGAGGAGTGCAGAATACGTAACATGACGTACTCTGGTGATATTGTGGTGGATGTGGAGTACACCCGAGGAAAGGATATTATTTCTTCAAGGAATGTGGTGGTAGGAAAGATGCCAATTATGCTTGGCAGTCGCCTCTCTCTTCGGCAGAAAGAGTTCATGGAGAACCAAGTGGGGATAGACACAAGCAACATGCAGCGGATCACAAATCCCATGTATACCAGGCCAAAAAACGAGTGTCCGTATGACATTGGCGGGTACTTTATTTGCAAGGGCGTTGAGAGGGTGCTTCTAATGCAGGAGCAGTTGGCAAAGAATAGAATACTGATTGAAACAGACTTTCGCGGTGATCTATGTGCAGTAGTGACCAGTTCTTCTCTGGAGAGAAAAAGTAAAACCAAGGTGGTTATGAAAAAGAAACTGCTGTATCTGTCGCACAACTCACTGACTGAAGACATTCCACTGAACATTGTTATGAAGGGAATGGGGGTCACCACAGACCTGGAGATAGATATACTGATTGGGCAGCCAGTGCAGAGCATAGCTCATATAAGAACCGAGCTTGAGGCGCTTGCATGGATTGGCAGCCGTATAAAGACTAGGTCTGGTGGGATAGATGAAGCCCGGCTGCTGCTCTGCGATATTATTCTAGCACACATACCAGGAACAGGGACTGACATGCGCAGAAAGGCAGAATATTTATCTGTAATGGCACGGATGCTTATAGACACTGCTAATGGAAACACAGACACACTGCAGAACGATAAGGATTTTGTTGGAAACAAGAGAATAGAGCTAACTGGGCAAATGCTTTCCCTGCTTTTTGAAGACCTTCTAAAGAGACTAAACACAGAAATAAAGAAGGCTTTAGACCGAGTGCTGTGTAAGAGAGCAAGAGCACAGGAGCTAGATGCTCTGCACTTTTTAGTGATGAATCGGGGGATGATTACAACGGGGCTACTTCGTGCAATCTCCACTGGATCGTGGTCTCTGAAGAGATTTCGTATGGAGCGGGCCGGGATTACGCAGGTGCTCACACGTCTCAGCAGGCTTTCTGCAATTGGAATGTGCTCCCGAGTCTCTTCGCAGTTTGAGAAAACAAGAAAGGTCTCTGGGCCTAGAGCTCTGCACTGTTCGCAGTGGGGGGTGTTTTGTCCAGCAGATACACCAGAAGGAGAGGCGTGTGGTCTTGTAAAGAGCCTTGCTATGCTAACAGAAATTACACCAGCAGAAAGCGAGGAGAGTGTTATTTCTGCCCTTTCCTTTCTTGGGATAGAGGACATTTCTGTTATTTCCACAGGAGATATGGAGAAATCCAAGAAGTGCTGGGTGAATGGTGTGATTATTGGTATCTGCAGTGATCCAGCCCGCATGGCATGCGAGCTCAGAAAAGTTCGGAGGAATGGAAGCATTCCCAGCACAGTGGGTATCTGGGTAAACAACGATTTGTTTATCTCAACAGAAACGGGAAGGCTCACTCGTCCTCTTATTATTGTAGAGGATGGCGAGCCAAAGCTAACACAGACTCATATAAGGCTGCTGAAAGAGGGGTATAAAACTGTGAATGATTTGCTAAGAGAAGGGCTTATTGAGTGCATAGACCAGAATGAAGCAAAAAACTCCTTAATAGCAGTATGGCGCACTGAAATAACGCAGGACACAACCCATTTGGAGATAGACCCAGCTGCGATTCTGGGGTATGTAGCGGGGGTTATTCCCTATCCGCACCACAACCAGTCTCCGAGGAACACATATCAGTGCGCCATGGGAAAGCAGGGGGTGGGAGTTACTGGAGTTGACCAAAGAAGGCGAATGGATGGCGCCAACTTCTTTATGGTTAACCCGCAGCGACCTCTTGCAGCCACCCGAGGTATGGAAATAATTAAATATAATGAGCTACCAGCAGGCCAGAATCTAACAATTGCTGTGATGAGTATGTCTGGATATGATATAGAAGATGCTCTTATTCTTAACAAGGCATCGATTGATCGGGGTATTGGCCGTGCTCTGCTGTTTAAAACACATGCTTTGTCTCTTCGGACGTATCCAGGAGGCGCTGCAGACACTATAGTTGGAGATGGAATACCTTCTCCTGGAATGAAGGTCCAGGAAGGAATTACATTTATTGATAGAAGAACGCCAATGGGTAGCAAGGCCGGCGCAGTGTACAGAGGGCTGGACAGCGCATCAATTGACAAAACAGCCATTATGCGCACAGGAGATGATTTAATAACAATAAAAGCCGTAGTGAAGGAGCACAGGATTCCAAGAATAGGAGACAAGTTCAGCAGTAGGCACGGGCAGAAAGGGGTGGTTGGTTTGATTCTTCCGCAAGAGGACATGCCCTTCAATGAAATGGGGATTTCTCCGGACCTAGTCATGAATCCACACGGGTTTCCATCAAGAATGACAGTGGGCAAAATTTTAGAGCTGGTCACGGGCAAATCTATTGCAAATGGGTCAAAGAAGCTGACCCAGTACGCAGCCACAGCCTTTGGCGGAGTCAAGGCCCAAGACATTGCAAATGAGCTGATCTCTCTTGGGTACAGTGAAACAGGAAAGGAAACTCTGATATGTGGTACTTCTGGGGAGCAGATTCCAGTTAGGATCTTCTTTGGCCCCGTCTTCTATCAGAGATTAAAGCATATGGTGACTGATAAAATGCACGCACGTGCTCGTGGGCCTAGGGCAGTTCTTACTCGGCAACCCACAGAAGGAAGATGCCGAGACGGAGGGTTCCGTCTGGGAGAAATGGAGAGAGACTGCTTAATTGGCTACGGTGCATCAGAAATCCTGATAGAAAGGCTTGTTATCTCATCGGACAAGTTTATGGCGCATGTGTGCAGTGGGTGTAAATTAATTATCAGCCCAAGCGGCTGCCCTGGGTGCGGAAAGGGCACAGAAATGCAGAAAATACAAATGCCATATGCGTGCAAGCTGCTCTTCCAAGAGCTCATGGCTATGAAGATAGCCCCCAGAATTATATTGAAAGAGTGAAATAAAGATAGATCTATTATTATATCTTCCCTCCAGGCGCAAGTTTATTTATATTGCATAAATAGCCTAGTTTATACTAATAGGGCAAATCTACTGCTCTTATATAGCCCGAAATGCACTCTGTAATAACTTGAAATTACTTTGAAAACATGTAATGTATCTGTGGTGCGATGTAACCCGAATATAACCCGAATTTTCAAATCAACTATATCGATCTAAATAATATATCAGTTCAATAAACCATGAGACTGACATAGATTTGTTATGTAATCTATAAAAAGATATGAAAGATAGGACAAAAAATATGAGTGCTGAAGAAAGAACAAGAGAGATTAAAGAAGAATTATACATTGACAGAAACAGGATAGGAGAAGCATACAAGAAGATACTTAGGTCAATGCCTCTAGAGGCCAGTCCCAACAGAAACAAATTCTTGCTTGAGCTGGGTGCCTTTCCTAAGAAGAAATCCTTTAAGGAGAAGATTACCAGCAAATTATCCAAATGGTTTAATCGATCAAAGTAGTTTTAATTATACGGCTATCCAACCACTGCTGCGTATAATTGCCATAGCCTACCGTTACTCACACACTGCAGAGGGTTCTGAAATAATTAAATATTATTTTGTTATTATTAAGTATATATCCTGTTGTTTATTATCTACACTTAACTCAAAAAGGTGTTTTGCAGCAGCAACTACTGATTGATTAATTATACTAGAGCCGTATACATTTTAAAGATATTATATAGCCAATATGACAGATAACCCGAAACAAAGAAAATATAATACTTTTTAATTTATCAAACACATGCATTATTAGACTATAAATAAATAGATCCATTGGGATTGTTTTGGATATTTTGAGTACAAGATTCCCAAAATATAATATACACAGACTGTTTTTATTTATGCGCATAAAATGAGCAATTTATATCATGGTGTAGAGATGTAATAGCCAAAGTCTGTATGTACCTCGAAATCTTCTGAGTAGAGTAGAATATATCTTTATTAAAGAACTTCTTTTAAATTTAATTTTTAGCGTTATTCGGGTTATATACAATGGAGTATAAATAAAAAATATAATATAAAATACATCTCTCAAATATTCGAATATGCAGTGTATTTAACTTTTAAATTGCTTTCTACACGTTTTTGTTCTTTTATTTATATTCTTTAGGCCATTTTGGGCATATCTTGAAATAGCCTGAAATTACTTCCTAAGAAGGAATACATATATGAACAAAAGAATAAAAATAGCTGTAAGTGCTTTAAATATCCTGTAATCGGTGATATATCTATTGGATATTTGGTCTATCACTCTATCAGACAACCCTAAGTACTGCAAGCCGTCTTCTAGCTTTTTTCTGCTGCCTTTAAGAATGCCACGCTGTTTCTCTATTGAGCTAAGGGAGTGCGATGCAATTTTTATGTATTTGTTGAGCTTGTCTGTATTTCGGGTTATATGACAGTCCTCATCCGGCATCCGATGCTTTTCTCTCGTATTCTCTGCATTATATGACATTTTCATTATGTTAACCCGTCTGTTAAGTGCCTGCACTCGAGTGCTCAGCTGCGCTAGCGTTCTTTCTCCATTTGGTGAGCTTTGAATTATGTGTTTGTATGTAGTCAAGTCCTGCCTAAGCTCTAAAAGAAGAGCGTCAAGTGTCTCTGTGCGCGTGCTGTGCGACAGTGCACTTTCAATATTATTTGCTTTTTCTGTGATTCTTTCTATTGCATCCTCCCACTCCATCCAAATAAAATTATTCTGTATACAGTTTATTCTTTTGTTTTGGATTTTCTTTAAATGGCTGCCGTGCCTTTTTGTTTATGGACTTGGCCTCCTCTTCTTTTAACAAAGCCAAGCCCTGCTCTATCTTCTGTATGATCTCTAATAAAAGAGTTCTTTGCTCTGTAAGAATTCTTTCAGAGTCAGACTGCATTTTGTACCGTAAATATTGGTGTTTTAGTGATTCCTGTAAGAGAGTGTTTTGTCGTTCTTTCAGGTCTTTTATTTCTTCTTTTAATTCAGTGTTCTTTGTGGCTAGATCGTATCCTATTGGCGGGTGTTCTTCTATCTGCTTCTTCCGTTTAAACTTCATTATTTGAATTACTACCACTTGTCTATTTATTATAGGTAATATAATAAGAATTGCTCAGACTATAAATAGATGCGTAGTATTCGAAAAATCAAGAATATTATACGAGGAAAGCAGTATTTATTGGTGTTATTTCATGCTAGAATAAAAATAAAAATATTGGTCCGGTGTTAGAGTGATTAACAAGCATTCAATGAATTATAACCCGAAACTTCTATATAGATAATCTGCAAATTATGTGTTTTTGTGTATTTTGGATTGTGTTTTGGGACATGTGAGTTTTTTCTTGAGGGAAATATTAATTTAGTTGGGATAGTTAGCTCTTTTTGGAATTTTTTGTATATGTGGTTAGTTGAAAGTAATATCCAAAAAATACTTTAATGCATTTACAAAAATATCTTTTGGAATCTATTTAATGCATTTGGAAGTGCATTGCAATATGAAATTCAATGCGTTTTTGGTATATTATGTATAATACTGCAACAGAGCAAAGAATTTAGGGTTATATATTTAATATTTTATATAATCTCTTGTATGCCTTGTTATATTCTTTAAATTAAAAGATCCCTGCATTTGGTATAATACTGTAAAATTGGTGTTTCTGTGCTATACTAATATATTATAAGTTCAGAAATCATATTTTGTATAAACTTTACCAAGCAAAAGACAAATATAAACTAGGCTTTATTCTTTATTAGCTAGAGTGGCTGTTTATATCGATAGTTTCTGGGAGAAGTTTGATATAAGATCAGAGTATACCTGCAGTGGTGATGGGATTGGCTCTGGTGTTCCCCAGTTTTCTGGTGAGTAGAAAGTGTTACACTTCTGTAATGCAGAAATAGTTGCTTTAGCAAAGTTTTCACTTGCTGAAGTACGCCCGGATGAGGCAGTGAACACGTCCTTAACTCCGGCCATCTGGAAAATCTTCTTTGGGATGGTTGCTGCTACAATTCCAGTTCCCTTTGGTGCTGGAATAAGAGTAATGTTGACACTACCACACTTTCCTGATCCTCTTACTTTAACTGTGTGAGGCTCTCCAATCTTTCTGTCCCACCATCCAAAGTCAATTGGTTGCATGTTGCACTTTGCAACCTGTGTTGCCTTTTCTATGGCACCTCTGGCTTCCTTTGCGGACTTTACTCCAAGACCTATACTTCCATTTCCGTCTCCAACAATGACAACGGCCTTGATTCTTGTTCTCTGCCCAGCCTTTGTCTGTTTCTGGATGGACTTGATGCACAGAACCTCGTCCTTAAGCTTGGATCCAACTAAGAAGTCAATAATTTCTGGCTCCTGGATCTTTAAACTGTTGGTGTAGATGTCATTCAGTGTCATCTTTCCCATCTGAACAATCTTTCCTAAGTTTGTCATTGGAACCCATTTCTTCTCTTCTCTGGGCTTTCTCATTCCTCCTTTCTGTCCTTTTTCTTGTCTGTCAGTCTTCTGTGTTTCTGGCTGTTGTGCTTCTGTTTTTAACTCTGCTGCCATGCTGGGGTCTAAAAATAAAAATAATTCTATAGTTTTTCTAAAAATGAAAAACTGCCCACACTTGCCTGTAACTCATAAATATACTGCACACTACTTTATAATTCTGCATTTATAGGAACGTATTACACTATTCTTCTTTTACATATAAATTGTGCTACTGGCCGCATAAATTAAACTATTTACAAAATTGCTACTGTATAATATTTTCTTATAGCCGGAAAGAAAAAGCTTTAAATTTTCTATTAATATCCTATAAATATGTAAGTTAACTAAACAAGCACGAATACACACTAATTTCAATGTTTTATATTACTTCTTAAACAATGCTTGAAATATTCGAATATTATTATAAAAAGAAAATTTAGCTGTTAAAGAATCTAATTAATACTATTGCTCATAGAATTACTGACGCTTCCAATTTTCTAAAAAATTGAAGATATGCATATCGGTGGTTGGTTTATATTTTTATGATATATACTATTCGTGCAATTATATGATTTCTGGGTATTTATAAAATTATATTCTTTTCTGGTGCTGTATTATTTTACATATTTAAGTATATAGTATGGGTGTGTGCAAATATGTTTTTGAAACTCTTCAACTATACTATTATATTGTGTTTCGTTATGGTGAATAAATAGAAAAATAGATTTTCCTACTTCTACTATTATATATGCCAGCGTACTGTTGAAAAATAGAATAAATACAAAATAGTTTTATAAATCCAATGGATACATCTAAAAAAACAGCAATTGAGTCACTACATGACATAGTGGATGGACTGGCAAATATTCTTCTTAAATTATCTGAAAGCCAATATCCAAATGAAGAAATATCGCACTTTGTTGGTGCAGTGGAGAGTTTGAAAGAGTATTTTGAAGAAGTTGACTGTGAAGAGTGCCCAGCAGGGCAGGACTTAGGAATTGGAGCTCGTCCAATACTTCCGCATTTAGAGAACAATTAGAAATATATAGACATATATATACAAAGACTCTTTTCGCCGTGCATAAAAGGCACTCTTATTAATTTGTAGTTTATAGTATAGCTATTAGCCAAATGTAATTTGAAACACCAATGTTAATAATTAAATAGAAAAATAAATAATGATATAAACTCAGTACCAAACTAAAATTGTTTATTTTAGATAGTCTGAAATTCAATCTAAATAAAAATCGAAGTGCTTACGTGTTTAAATATGCATATGTATGTTTGTAGTACTCAGATTGAAAATAGCTCGAAATTTAGTATAAATATTTAAGTGCCTTAAACTCAATAATTAAAAGCCCGTCTAGTAATTTAGGATTAAATTTTAAATATTGTTGCTGTTGGTTTTGGATAGTAAGATTCAGAATTTCAAACAAAATGATGATGTTTGGAGTATTAAAATATGTGAGTGACAGCTTTTGTGATTGGAAGTCGCCTATATAAGGACCGCGTGGATTCAATAAATAATAAGTTTTTGTTTGTCTCAGTCTTCAAGGAAAAAGCAGCTAACTCAATAATTAAAAGACCATCTATTAATTTAGGATTGAATTTAGGATATTGTTGCTATACTTAATATGCACATATTTTATATCCATTTCTCTTGTTTTTCTGCAGTTGCGGCGCATGATTTTTATTTACAATTTCTTATAGAGGTTTGCTTTGGCTTATGTTTATCGATTATTTTATAGCATAACCCGAAAATAATTCTACAGCAATTCAGCTCAAATAAGGAGAATTTATTTTATATGATAGGGACACTTCTCTCCCCATGCAGTAGGAGAAAGATTCAATTGGCGCATACAAAAATCAACTCAGAAAGCCATTTGTGGAATTTATAAGAAATTAATGATAAGAAAAATATTAGCCCAAAATCACATTAATATAATATATCAACAATCATATCACGTATAATTTGTCTATATAATACAAGCGCATTCTGTAAATGCATGAATATAAAAAAAATAAATATATATACAGCAGCAATAGTTGTAGGAATAATATTTATGTTAGGGATGATAATTCTTCTGTATAGTTGTAATGAAAAAAGCAGCGGAGCACCACCAAAAAAATCTAGTACCAGCCCAAGTGGAAGTATATCTAACGCGAAATCCGGCAAAAAGCCAGAAGAGGTGAATAAAATAGTTCAAGAAGCTGAAAAAAAGAAACTAGAGGAAAAAGAAAAAGAGGAGAAAAGAAACTAGAGGAAGCTGAAAAAAGAAAAAGGAGGAGAAGATAAAGGCTGAAGAAGCTGAAAAAAAGAAACTAGAGGAAAAAGAAAAAGAGGAGAAAAAGAAACTAGAGGAAGCTGAAAAAAAGAAAAAGGAGGAGAAAACAAAGACTGAAGAGACTAAAAAGAAAGAAAAAGCCCCAATAATGAGGAATGAAAAAATTATAGATTCTAAAGATGTTCTAAGTATAAAAATAGAGGACAAAAACAAATTTGTTGAATTTAATTACCCTGGTAAGAAAGGAATAGAAAGCTTAAAAGAGAATAATAAAGATGCTATAGAGGCACAAAAAAAGAAAAATGATAAGAATGGCAAGCTTTTAGAAAATACAACTAATAGTGTCGTTTCTCGTGATATAAAGCACAGAATAGATGAATTAAACCACCAAATAAAAGAGGGCAGAGATTCTAGCAAATCTTTTATGCACCCAAATCCATCTAACAAGACTTCCTCTAAAGAAAAAGATGTAATACTTAATAGACAGAATGTAATTGTTTCTTTATTGAAAGCCAACCAGTCATATAAAAGCCTAAAGAACAATCAGCTCTCTATGAATATAAATGAAATTGAAAAAACTCTTGAGGACTTTTGTGTAGGAAAAAATATAAAGGGTCTAAAATTAAGCAGTAAAAGTCTGTCTGCGCTGAGATACTCTGCAAGCCTAGCTTTATTCTTGCACAAGATGCAAATGCCAATAGGTACTTCAATTCTAAATGAGATAGAGATGATCAGAGACATTACTGAAGCAGCAGTAAATTCAGAAGAAATATCTACTCTTATTAAGAACGGCGCCTCAACAACAATCGCTATATCAAAAATTAGACAGAATATAGAAAGCAGCGAGATGCAAGAAGATAGAAAGGCGCGGAAACAGGAGATAATAAGTAAATACAAGAAAGGAACATCTACCGTGATAGAAAACATGGTGAAGTCGTTAGATGATATTATTGCAAAAATTAATAGTGAAATTCCTGTTTTGGATAAAACAAAGCTCAAAACCCCAAACCAATACGACATTTCTTCAGCTAATGCTACAAAAAAAAACTCTTCGCCCAGCAGTATATACTTTGCCACCTGCGGCCCTATAATATTCAAGCCATCTACAAGCAGCAGCGACTCTAAGAACACAATTGACCTTACAAAGGAGATTAAAGTAGAAACCACCGAAAAAACAATTATTGATATAAATGGATTTTTAGACAAGTATATGTTAAGCAGCAGCACTAATGAAAAGAAGCAATCTTTAATTAAGGAAATGCTGTTTAAGCAATTGAATGTTAAAGCACGCAAAGAATCTAGCATAAAAACAACAGGCCCAAGCTGCAGTGTTAAAAAACAGAACGATGAAAACTCTATTTACTTCATTGACATGGATAAGATCAATAATATTGCCATGTGCATCTTTAAGGAGCTGGAGAATCGCATGAATGAAATAAATACAAATGAGAAGGGAATGCTTGAAGAATCTGTCCACCGGGTATGTGTTGCCATACGTTTCATTATGACCCGATGCTCTTTTATTAGCATTAACCAGCATAATACACTTTCATTGATCCGAGAAAAAACAAAATCACAATTTGTTATTGGCTATTCAAAGGTAGCCGACATAAAACCAGACGCCAGTAGCCCATCCCAGAATTTGATTGATGACCAGATTGTCTACTTTAATATGTTAGACAAGTACTCAAAGCCTGCTTCAGTAGACAAAAAACCCGCTAAAGGAGACAAATCTGCTCACACACTGCAGGATGATATAGCAGCATCTACTGATAAAAACTCTAGTTCAGTTTCTATTGAAGAATATGATGTTTTGAAGAATAATGTTTTAAAACCATATGAAAAGCATCAGAGTGAAAAAGAAAAAAGAGCATTGTTTTAAATAGAAAAAATATAAAAAGTCTGTCCTAATAAATAAATGGAGAGTTTTATGTTTCTATAATTTAAATTTTATAGTCAAGAATTCTTTTTATTTTTAGGATGTTCACCATATTCATCATTAATTTTCATGGATGTTATTGAATTTTAATGGCATGAAATAGTCTGAAACTCTAAGTACAGCCCATTATTATAAAAAAGTTTTGAATAAACACCTATTATTGCTTTTTCCAAAATATTAATTAGATCATTATAAATATTTTAAGTGTGGCTCTTTATATTATAGTCTTTTTCTATATCTATAGTAAGATTTATGAAATATTTTTATTAGAATTAAACTACTTTCTATGCTTTAATTTATATATACTCCAAACTATATTTTTAGAGTGTTTTATTTACTGTGGTATTTTAATTTGATTTGCACCCGCATTTATATATGTCTATATGCTGGGGTTCTTAAAATTTTAAGTTGATTCTTTCCAGAATGCCATGCATGCTTCGGAGTATAGAAATATTTACTTGGATCTCTATGTTATTAATATTTTTTTATTAAATCCAAAGTGTGCGTTGCTCTTTTGTGTTTAGACGCAGTAAAAATAAAAATTGTTATGGGAGCAGGCGAACAAAGACTTGCAGTTTTTCCGACACGAATGTCGCTAGGGCAGCTTCAAGGCCGTGTGCAGGGGGCAGAAAAGGGAAAGAATCTTATCAAGCGAAGAGGAGATGCTCTTCAAATGAAGCACCGGGAAATTGCTTCAAAGCTTTTGCAGAAGAAGCACGAGCTAGAGAAAGAAATCGAAAGTGCGTTCTTTTTTCTTTCAAGAACAGAGTTTTATGGAGGGGATATGAGGTTGGCTCTGCAGCAAGCTAAATCCTCCCCTCTTTCTGTGCAGATAGGTCTAGAAGGGCTTGCAGGGCTAATAATACCTTCATACAAAATAGCAGAAGAAATTACCCCAATGGTATTTATGGGAACATCTGGAAAGCTTTTGAGAGACACTAGAAACCAATTCATTCGGTGCTTGTCTCTGCTTGTAGAGATGGGAAGCCTTCAGGTTTCATTTGAAATGATAGACCAGATGGTTCTGGCTACAAATAGAAGAGTAAATGCGCTTGAACATGTGCTTATTCCAAAATTAGAAAATACAATTTCATACGTTCAATCAGAGCTTGATGAGCAAGATAGAGAAGAGTTTTTCCGATTGAAAAAAGTACAGACAAAGAGACGCAGTGAATAAACATTTTTCTAAAATAATTTTGGATATATTTTGGTTTTTACATGATTTTCATAATTTCTCTTGGCATGTGTAAACTATTTAGCACTATTTAGCATGTTTAGTAAAAATACAAACCCGATGTAACCCGAAAATAAACTAGCTTCAAAAGGCCTGTTAAGTGCTCTTGTATTGTGTACATACGCAGATACAACTGATTTAATAGGTTTTACAATGCATTATACATATTGCATGCCATATAGCGATTCTTCTTTCAAGTCTAAGTATTTATAAAAATGCATGAGTTTGCTCATCCCGAATTATTTTTATAATGAAGAAGCTGGATGAAGTAGACCCTATGATACAGTATGCACTGACAAAAATTAATACGGAAAAGGACAATGATTCAAGTAGCAGCGGCGTAGAGTTTGTAGAAATGACTGACTCTGCCCAAGGAAGCACGATTTTAGGAGAAAGCACTATACAGAACATGCATGATTTAACAACCGAAAACACATTTGAAACCAATAACACAAGAGACTCTAGCGAGATTTTTCACTTTTCTTCAAAGCTGTCTGTGTCCAAGGAAGCATCATCTGGGAAAAGAAAAGCAACTCTTGAAGATGCACACGGAACAGGAAAGAATGCCTGGGAAGGGCATGCAAACGCAGATGAAGAGAGAAGAATAGTTGAGCTGAGCCATGCTGTTTGCGATGCCATGGATAGAAGCATGCGCGAGGTATACATACTTCTAGAGCAAAGAGCTCAGTTAATAAGCTCTGTGCTGGAAAGAGCTCGATCTAGTGAGAAAACATTAATAGAAAACAGGCCGCAGCAAGGAAAATATGCGCACATGTCGCATGGAAGCAAGTGCATGAATAAGGAGATTGACTTGAAAGCAATAAATGTAGAGGATACTTCGCGGTATCCTTTGGGATCTTCTGATCTATCATATTCTGATAAGACAAATAGAAATCTGCACGAATTTGATAGATGCATGAACGCTAGCAAAATAAATGATGCGTACACTGGCATTGGCAGCAGAACTAAAGAAAGCATTTTTCAACAGAGAGATATGTCAGAAGAATGCGAAACTGTACCCCAGTTAGCAAGAAATGGAGTATTTAAAATCCCTATGGAGAGTTTGCAGAAGCAGAGCGCATTGGAAAAGCATGAGCCCATGCCAGAAATCTTGCTGTCTGAAGATGGTGACACACAGGCCACACAGGCCGAGGCAGACCCAGGCTCTCGCGAACTTACATTTAAACAGATACAGGCGTATGTGTGTCTTAGAAAAGTTTTTCGTTTATACGACTTTCGGCAGAATCAGCTGCAGATCATTAGTGCAGTGCTTGATGGCCGCGATGTGTTTGTGCTAATGCCCACGGGGGGAGGAAAGTCTCTGACATTTCAGCTTCCTGCAATAATATCCAGGGGAATCACTGTTGTGGTAAGCCCCCTGTTAGCACTTATTCAAGACCAGATAAAGAATCTTCTTGCAAAGGGAATTCCTGCTGTCGCAATTAATTCTTCACTTACTAAAAGTGAGCGAGACATTGCATACCACATGATTTTAATGGTTGGGCTAGATAAAGACAAGCACGAACCCACAGAAAAGAGAATGCCAGTTACTAAAATCGTGTATGCGACTCCTGAGCTGCTTGTGGAAAGCCAGACTTTCAACCGGGCATTAGAAACTCTTTCGCAGCAAAATAGGCTCACGCGGTTTGTGATTGATGAGGCACACTGCGTTTCGCAGTGGGGACATGACTTTAGGCCGGACTACACACAGCTGTTTCGCCTGAAAGAGAGGTATCCCAATATTCCCATCACTGCACTTACTGCAACTGCAACTGCAGCAGTTAAAAAGGATGTGACTGATGCTCTGCGGCTAAAGAATTGCAAGATATTTACCCAAAGCTTTAATCGTCCAAATCTGAAGTATCGAGTCATTCCAAAGACAAAAAACCAGATAGCCGAGATTGTAAGTTTTATAGAAACGCACTATCCTGAAGACTCTGGGATTATTTACTGTCTTTCTAAGCGAGACTGTGAGTGGCTCGCTGAAACTTTGCAAAAAGACCATGGAATTAGAGCTGGGTACTACCACGCGGGCCTATCCACAAAGGAAAGAACTGAACGGGCTCGAGAGTGGGACTCCTCGCACATTCGTGTGATTGTTGCTACAATTGCATTTGGGATGGGCATTGATAAAAAAGATGTTCGATATGTTCTGCACTACTCCCTCCCAAAGTCATTAGAGGGGTATTATCAGGAAACCGGGCGTGCTGGAAGGGACCAGCTGAACTCCGAGTGTGTTTTGTATTATACATACAGCGACAAGAAAAAAATAGACTATATGATTGATAGAAATGAGAGCGCGTCAGCAGAAGCCAAATCTCGGCAGCGAAGACATCTACAAGAAGTTATATCGTACTGTGAGAATAAAACAGATTGTCGGAGACACCTTCTTCTACACTACTTTGGAGAAACATTTAATAAGTTCTGTGGTGATGGATGTGATAACTGCCAAAGAGGTGGGTCTGTTCAACAAATCAACTGTTTACAGGAAGCGCTGCAGATTATTAAGGTTGTGCAGAAAGAAAAGCTTATTACTGAGGGGCATCTTATTACTGAAATGCGGTCTTATTCAAAAAAAACTAAGGATCTGCTATCCAGAACTATCCGATGGTTGGTAGGAAAGGGCCACCTAGAAACAAAACTAGTCATGGGGGCCCGCGGGTTTTCCTGGAGCTATATAAAGCCTGGGCAAGGCACTCCAACAGAAGTCCTTATTAGCATGCATACTGAAGAGAGCAAGCCTCGCGTACGTCCAAAAATGCTTAAACAAATGGCCAGTGCACACACAAAGTCTTGCTACCAAGCGCCAGATGGAATGGATAATATAGATGTGTAATCTGTCTTTATGAACACAGCCTTTCTATGCCTATTTTATGTATTTCGGGTTATAAGCTCACAGGCATAGGTACTGTTCTTTAAGATACATTTAAATTATAAGAATAGTAGTTTTCTTGTGAACAATTTTACTTAGGAATATACGGCATTATTGTTATTCTGCGCATACGGATTTCATAATCGCCATCCGGGGCGTTCTCCCCGCTATGATCCTAGATGCGACGAATAAATCTTTTGTTATCAAAGGAGTGGCGTTTAGTGATGATCAGGGGATGCCATTGGCGCTAAGTATTGATGATTGAGGTTCATGACGAGTGATTATCAAAAACAAGAAATTATATAAAGACTTCGGAAAGTAAATAAATATCCAGATTTGGTTGTGGTAAATAATAGTTCACATTTAAGAAGAGGAAAAGAAAACAAACTTCATATCAAAATAACTTAAACTCTGGATAAACACTTCTATCTTCTTAAAGCTATATTGTATACCTAATAAATCTGGATTAATTATATTTAAATTGTGGTTATCGCTTAGTTTAAATTTTTCTAATGGACTAAAACCATTCTTTTCTATACTAATTTAAACTAAAAAGTCTTTCTTCTTAGTTTAATGCATCCTTCTGAAAATTTACTATTCTATTCTGCTTCTCTGTCTATTTTTATTTTTTATATTTTTTTTTATATTTTAGGTAATCTAATTTATTAATGAATATTTTAAATATATTTACCTTGCTATACTATTCTTAATGTACTTCTTTATTTTTCTGTCTTATAATACACAGAAAGTTAAAATTTTTATACACGAATTCATATTAAATAGCATATAAATTATACTTTAATAATACATTCTTGGTTATTATTTGCTATAAATTTTAAATTATCTATATATACATAGAAATATTCTGAAAAATCTTATTTATTCACTTAGTATTTCTATTTTTCTATTTAATAAAAAATCTTGGTGTATACTATTATTATAAATAAATGTTTCTTTATATTAACCTACTTTAAGCTATAATTTTTGACTGCAATCTCTTTAACACAAATGACATACTTTCTTGTTTATTTCTGTTGACAGTGCGAAGATTCTACTTAGAATATGCTCTTAATTGCTAGTTTTTGTTTTTTCATATGCAAAATAAGTTATTTTTGTAAGTGTTTAGTATGTTCTAATACAGTATATTTTATTTCTATGTTTATAATTTTCTAGTAAAAATGTGTCTATTTACTACTTTAAAATAATTTATATATGAAAGGTTTATAAACAAAAGAGCACAGAAGTTAATAGAAAATCAAATAACCCGAATACCATTGAAATACTAAATAAGAAGGAGAGAAAGGCTATGTAAAGAAAGAGTACAGAACACCTAAAGTGTATTATAACACCCAAAACGATAGCCCTTGCAAACCTTATATCAATAAACCAATTTTATTAAAAAAATATTGAAAACCAAACTAAGCAATAAAAAATATTTTATTTATACCTAGCATGAAAAACAGTATGATCATAAAATTGTTAATAATGATGTACACAGTGTGTGCAAGACTAGAGCTCAGTGACATAAAAGCAGTATTAGAAAGTTCGGGCTATATAGATAAAAACACACTAATCAATCACAATGGACCGCTAAACCCACTCAGAACGTACATCATGCACAAGAGCAGTTATATGTACAACAAGCGGATGTTTTCACAGGAAATAAATACTGATTATAGTCTGAAGAAAAGTGACAAATCGACAGAGAATGAGCATTTCTATATATATACCAGAAACCCAGAAAATGATAATGCATATAAATGTAGTGGTATTGGGCGTAGATATACCCCTAATTATTTATATTACTACCACAAAACAATGATTTATATGTTTCCGTGTGAAAATAATAATCTTTCTATTGAGCCATGTAGAAATGACTCTTTCACACGATTTCTAAGAGCGCACTGCAGCCAGGTGGACAGTCTGTATCTTCTTGCTGCACTGCTGCTTCTTTCAGAGGGTATTGATGTTCCTATTGCTATAGAAAAAAATATACATAGTGGTGAGAGAATACTTTTAAAATTTGATTTTGACGAATTTTCCTTTATTGACCTGCCTTTATGGTTGGAAAGCATAGTGCCCAAAGAGGCAGATCAGCAGATGCACGATGCAAACAGTGTATCAGAGAACATTGATTTATACATACGCCAGGAGAATATTATGCATGAAGTGGAAAGAATGATGGTATACCAGAAGGAAGCAGAAGAGATTGTGCAGTTTTTTAAGAGTCTGTGTATAGAGCCTTTTTTATCTGATTTAGAAAGGTGTAGAGAACCAGAAACACAAAGTAATTTTAATATGGGTTATTTTCTTGACAGTCCAGGATTCCTTATACAATCTTATATTTTTGAGTACATAGACAATGTAGAGCAGTACAAGCTGTTTTTAGACAGTGTACATACGTTGCTACAGAAATTATTATACTACATGAAAACATCAGAGCAACAAAAAAACCTGATTAAGGAAATTATAGATTATTACTTTATAGACATGAACGGTTTATATGAAGATACGCGCCGAAATCATATTATAGACATGTGCAGCCTAAAATATAAAATAGACAGATCTTCAATTCTCCCCTTCACAAGTATAGAAATGGTACCTTCCTACACCCGTGTGCCAGAGGATGAATACAATCCAGAGAGCATAGAGGACTTTGTACAAGACGAGACATTACAGTACAGTGACCATGTGGAGACAATGCTTTTGAATCTGTTCACGTGTCTTACATACAATCCAGAAACCAATGTATGTTCAACTGAGCACATGCACGGTGCCTCTGTAGGCCTAAAAGTATTTTTTAATAAATATTCAGTACCCACAGAGAGTGCAAGCCAGGAAAAACACAGAGACTGGTGCAGAGTTGTATCAAGGTTGAGCAATCCAAACATTAGGTATGTAAGAGAGAGTAGAACAGAGCTGTGTGGTGGGCTAGAGAACATTATATATGTGATATATGAGCTGTTTGGTGAAAATATTAATATAAGAGTTGCTATAGAAGGTACAATTAACAGTTCACACAATGGAGGGGTAGAAAGAATAATTAATATGCAAAAAGTATTGTTATTTATTTTTAACTATATTGCAGGTAATCATAAAATCAGTATTGACTCATCAGGGCTAGAATACTTACCTACTGAGAATCTGATGTTTGGTATGTTTGGAAGCATTGTACTCGGTTTTGAGGCTAAGGGTAAAAAAGAAAGTATAAAACTAGACATTTTGTCTAAGTATTCTAAATTTTCTCTTGTGTCTGATTTCAGTGCCTTTTCAGAAGATGCAAAAAACGAGCTAATGGATATGCAAAGAATATATAATTCTGCAAAAAGCCATATTAAAATAATTATTTGGAATTATTTAAATAATAGCATAGAACGGCTTAATAAAAAACTGCCGGCTCAAAGCTATAGTGCAATTGTTGGCATGATAGCTAAAATGAAGATATCAGTAAACTATATTTTCTTATGTGGGCGTATAAACTCTCTATGGTATAAAATGTCGATTATAAATTATCGTTTAATACACAATACTATACAAAAATTGCCAGAGAGCAATCAAATATTACGGATTACATCAAATATTATAGGGAGTGTTTGTCTTGATAATCCAAGAATAAGAAAGATGATTTTACTAACCCCATTTATATGCAATTTTAACCATGAAAAATACTTTCCAAGCATTGAATATAATACAGATAATCTTCCCATATCAGAGCTTGGAGTTGATGATGTGAGAACCGCACTAAGCGCTTTAATAAATATAAGCGAAACAAAGAAGTCCTTTCAAAACTCTTTCCATAGTATATTGGCACATGCCATTTTCAATAGGGAATTATTTGGCATATTTGAATCATATAAATCATTTGAAATAATGTGTGTTAAACTAGTTAACAAGTACATGCCTGTAACATTATCATGGGCATTACAGCATATAAAGTCATTCAGAGTAGATCATAATAATGTGTTAGATGAGATTTGTTTCTTATGGCTATCATATGCATGCATAAATACCCCATATAATTTAGAAGTAATTTCTTATCTATATACAAACATAGATCCATTAAAGATTACCAGCAGGTATATAGCGCATATGACAAGTATAAGAGGAATGGACTTTAATCGTATTTTGATGGTTCTTGAAGCAGGAAAAGGCTGGCTGTATTTAGAGACGAATACAGAAAGTGTAGAAAAATACGAAAGAATAAAAAAACATTTTCAAAGCTGTGCTACGCATGTAGTTCCTGGGAGTTCTTCAACCAATCCAATTACTATATGAACAAGAAAGCACTAAAATGCGTAGACTATACTTCTATTACAATTATTATAAGCACATATATATATATATATATTATAAAACCCAAATTATTATTAATTAGACTGGAGTATAGTATATATTGTGTACATTCAATAAATAACTGGATTTATATAGTTTACTATTTATATGGCTAGGGCATTCTACTCTATTGTGTACTCATTAATGTATGCAGTTAAGGATAGCATTCACAGGTATTTCTTTTGTAATATGTTTAACAATTCGTATTATACCACGGCAATGGTCTATAATAAGTAAGTTTTGATTATTGTCCACTGGAATCTTATTTTTATTTCTATATAATTTCAAAGCACTCTTACAAATACTAAAGAGAATAATGCAATGTAAAAAGTAAAAATATTAATAGGCCATGCTATTATATATAAGTATAAATAATACTTCTTAGACGGTGTAATATATCCTCAAAAGAGCACGGTAGCGCACTATCACTATCTATTTATCTCAAGTTATACACATCTAGTAGGCACGC